GTAGTTGTTTCGTCTACCTTTACTTATTCCATCGACTTTCTAAGTGGGTGTATCTTGAGCAAATGAAAAGTTGCTTTCGTGCTATGATTGTCGCTTCTTTTCATCCTCACACATAAAAATTCCGAAAATTTGTTGATAAATTGTGTAATGTTGCAGCAATTCTCGACTCTCCACTTGACCCGCGAAGCTCGCAGCTTAAATGATTTATACCAGTCACAATCACTGCTTCATTTGAATATGCGGGCACCTAATTTGTGTTCGGGCAAACATAAAATATAACTGATATTTATTATGAAGGGCCTGTTGCTGTGGTGGTCAGTGATCCTGACTGCTGAGCCAGAGGTTTATTCTCACCCCAGAAAAATAATGGCGTGAGGAGCAACGGTTAGTCAAGTTTAAAAAATGTACCTATCAGGCAATAGACTTTAGAGTAGATTCTTTATTTTCTACTTCATAATGCACGTACTTATATAAATATATTCATAAATACTTTTTTATTGAAGTTCAGAGGAGTGAAGCGCGCTCAAATAATGATAATTAAAATCCTGAGAAATGTTCACCTACATTTTTTTTTAGCGGTTATAACAAGGAAAATAGGACATCGTACTAGGTAAACTTTTATTAACCCAAAAATCGAAGTATAAATCATTATTATTTATTGTTAAATATACCGCAAACAATATTTTTCACATGCGGCAATAGGCAACTAACATAGGTAGGTATTATAGTAGGGGAGCCCATGATGCGAAATGGGGATTCCTCACAAGGCCTATTACCTATAAGAAACGAAATAGACATGTAAAAATGTAAGTAGTAACTTCGATTTTGAATGTCGTTTTTCTCAGTATTCATTTCCATTTCCTCATAATTTTGTATACCTATTCTTTTATTTATTTATGAGTGCTTTTATTCGTATTATTAATTGTGCTATTGTGTGATCTTTTATTGTCTTTATATGTGGTTCTATGATTAATAAATGACGACGAAAGAAAAACCGAACGTTTCCGTCTATGGTAGGTAATTCGTTGAGGCTTATCCTATACCTTGTCTTTGGTCATCACTAGGTTGATAACGTAAGAATGACTGGTGAATTTTCCAACCACAATTAGGTATTATTTGACAATACATTTTGGTCATGGAACGCTTACCTAATTCTGTTAATAAACAATAAGTTACCTATCTCTACCTAATCGGTGAAAAGATTCTTCGGCACACCCAGGTCGTCTCGGCCTGAGTAATACCTCACAGGAAACCGTTGCTCTTTAGAAATTCTTGGGTTGCTTTACCGAGTGAGTGATGTTAGTTTAGCCCACAACTTCCCTCCCCCTGTTTCTAGGAAAGGGGGATTCAAATCACACTCAAATAGGGTCTCAAAGGGCGCTAACGCACTTGTCTCTTGAGTTGCAGGTATCCATGAGCCGCGATAGTCTTACGCTATTGGGTGACTCAGGTGGTGCCCCCACACCTTAAAAAAAGAACTTTCCCTTCTACCCTACTCAACTGTACCTTATACCTACCTACTTATCTAATGAAGGAAACATTCCATAAGCTGCTAACAGGCATCCATCATCACGATATTAATCAATCAATACCGAGTTATAGATATTCACAGCCACTATCAGCACATCAATCCCATCACACCTGTACTGGATTATCGTTAATTACTCTCGATAATTGCCACCGGCTTCCGATCCGCGCTAATTGGCGTCTCTGCTACCGAGACGCGGTCCGCCCATGGCGCGATTAATGCCATCAACGCCACCATAATCCCATTACCTCTTGTATACACGAATATAGACCTTAGTTTGTCGGCTTAAGGGCTATGTTGCCGACGTAGGTAATGTTGTAGGTCGGTACAGAGGCGCGGGGGTGGAGAGAAACGAGGCGGGGGTGAAGTGCCTCTCCCTTCGCCCCGCCCGCCCCGCTCGCCGTCCAATCGCTGCTCGACAGCCGAACGACTTCACCTTGCCCACACGTCCCAACAGATCCTTTTTATTTTATTTTTTAACGATGTTAATGTCTTTGTGTGGTTTCTTACTTTGAAGTTTGAATGGAATTATTGTTATTAGGGATTACAATAGTGGTTTGTTTTGTATTTTTATTTTGATGTTGAATGAGGGCAAAACTTTTTTATTATGATGTACCTATTTAATTTTATAATTTTAAACATTTTACAAAACTTGTTTCTTATAAATTTATACGCTTGGTATTTTTTATGTAAAATACGTCCTAATTATTATTATTTTAATATTTTTTCGTTCAAACAACAACAATTTTCTGTTCTCTCAAAATACTTAATGTGCACTGCCTGAGCTTTTAATTCATATATATTGATAACTCAACTCCTTAGCTATTGATGTCTGTATCGTGTTTATACATTTTAACGAAAAAGGAATAGAAAAATGTAAGTTGAAAAGACGCTCGTGCAAGGTTTACGCTTGCAGTTCAATTTTCATTCACCCTTCGTCAGTAAAACCAATAAGACGCGAGGGTCTTAAATCTCTGGTTCAATTACGATACGCCCTAAACGACAAATACCACAAACGACTTTGTGTCTTATGGCTAAAATGTTTAAGTGTTATTTTATGTTGCAAGTTTAATCAAATTAAGTGGCTGAGGTGAAAGGTTGGTAATAAAATATGCTATTTCGTATTGGGGAATGTCCACGAACGCAGTATTAGGACTTTGACACAGATGTTTTTAGTCATCAGATATACAGTTACAGAATTGTACTTTATTTTTCTTTTACATGGGAGCAACTTAAGTAGGTACTAAAGCACCTACGTTATACTGTATTTCCAATGTTTATTTGTATTAAGTTCGCTTAGGCTTTTGAACTAAGCATTAATTGTAGTCGTAGATCGCCTAGTGTCAAATTCCACCATTTTGTTTTCACAGGTGTAAATTAGGTATTTTTTATTTTTGGGACAAGTAGACAAAGTAACAACTACTTCTGTACGATTTTGGAAAAGTAGTTGTCTAGTCAAAAAACAATAGAAAATTACAATAAAATATGTAAAAAATGTGTTGAGCATGGAACACGAACCAGCTCTGTATAGCCAGATTCAAAATAAAATCGCCTACTTGCACCACCTTAATTATTTCTTTATTTCTTACTCCCGTCCGGATACGCGACAGCGACGATAGAACGCTCCTGACACGGGCGCCTATAGCTCGCACATCTTCCACATTTAGGTATCAAGTCGTATAGTCGTACGCTCGCCGGTCATGGGCTCCGCTCCGCCGGTGGCCTGTGTTGCTCTATGTGGGTCCATTAAATAAATGACAAGTATTTTGACATACCCAATTGGATTTTAGTAGTAGGACAACAATTTTATATAGCCTATTACTTAGGTAGTTATGCAATGGACTTGGGTACATCGCGTATACATTGCTGGCGGGGAAAACTTTGCCACTATATTAAAAAAGCGTGACTTCTCTGATGCCACTGATTGGAGGAAGAATGGAGATTGTTTATTCTTCAAGGCACAGATGCGAATAGGAACATGTTGCGTAACCAGAATAAATCAAACCAGAATCCAGAATAACTCAGAGCAACTCATATGTTCTTGTTAGGTATTTATTTATTAACTTCACAGTGTTAATAAGTTTACTCGCTACAAAGATGTTCTCATTATTTTGGCATTGCGTTTATACCGAATTTAAATAAAAACTAATTTTGAATACGACTAATTGGCAGTTCTAGAGATAACAATTCAACAAAAAATACAGCTTCATTATCTGTAAGTAATTGTACCTAAATGCCAAACTGTCTTGATTTCATGCCTAAAACGATGTATCGTAAATAAAGCTTAAAGTGGGTGAAACGTGACATGAATGGGGTATTCCGAGAGATACCGGCTGGTATTACCTAATAGGTAAATGTTAATAATGTGTGTCTATTATAGATGGTCACGCGTAGGTTAAGTATGCCAGCAGTACCTAGGTGTTTCTTTCGAAGGCGAAACCAGAAGGCCAATTCTCGTACTAAAAGTACGGTCAGAATTTAGTTTCGATCAACTCTCGATCTTGTAACTGTCATGAAAGGTATTATAAACAAGCTCAAAAATTCTATCTCATCTTAACTAATATTTAACATAAGTATGTCATCTTGAATTTATTTCACACACCTTAGGTAGCTAAGTATGTGAAATAAATTCAGGATGATGATGATGTTGCTAGAGATATAAAATATCTTTTCATCAACAGCCTTTAACAGTCCACTGCTGGACATAAGCCTCACCTTAGAAAGGAGGTTTTGGACTACTATACCACGCTGGCCAGACGGGTTGGTGTAGGGTTTCTATCAAGTTTTCCTGCTGTCTGCAGCGCTGTTGTTCTGCGTAGTACTAGTAAAAAAAAAAAACTGTCACTCATAGCTATAAGTTACCTATATGCGAGTTGTGTAAAGTTTTTAAAGTGAGGTACCTATTGCACTTTAAAAAAAATCACACTACCTTATGCTTGTTTTGCATGGTAATGTTAAAAGGTACTCGTATATTATATAAGTATTTGATATGCATGCTTATTGTTCACATAATTTGAATGTCCTTGAAGTGTATATGTTGTAGTGTAGGTAGAATGTGTACAACGCTAACGGTACTCATGTGATATAATGTGCAATAAGGGCGCGGCGCGAGCGCGCGACAGCTGGCGTCGGCAGGTGCGCGCACGCTCGGGAACTGCATGTACGACGCGAAGCAACAATGCTAATATCGATAACTTTGTATATATCGTCCTCCTACCTGTCGTACTTGTCAACATCAGAAACCGCTGGCTATATTTTCTATTACGCTTGATCTCGAGGCATGAATGTATTTGCGAAACTTACATTGCACCTAAAATACATTTTTGTCCGTAATTTTATCATTGTGTAAGATCTGCAAGGTTGTGTGCAACCCTCCGCGCTTTGCACGCCACCGGCAGTCGCGCCACGTCAGTGCACCGCTCCGCACGTTACATGGAAAAACGTTTTTAACCGTCATCTCCGCTCTTTACAGAACAAGGTGGAGTACTACGTGAAATGGAAAGGCTGGAAGCCGAAGCACAACACCTGGGAGCCCGAGGAGAACATACTCGACCCGCGGCTCATCGAAAGCTTCAATCGTGGCGAAGAGCTTCGGCGACAGGGGCGCAAGCGCGAGCGCGAACACTCCCCCATCGAGCGCGCACGCAGCGGATCAGAGGAGCGCCATCCGCCGGCCGGGAAACGTAAAGCCGAAGTGTTATCGCGTGAGTCCGGCAAGATTGGCGTCACCATCACCATGAGTCCACCTGCCAAACGTCATGATCGTACTGAACGATCCGACCGCCATGACCGCCCTGAAGCAGCTAAAGTCAACGGCACTCGAACGCCAGTTGTAGTAGTAGCAGCAGCACCAGCAGCTCAACCGTCGCCGCCCCCTCCTCCATCAGCAGCACCGCCTGGCGGAGCGGCTGCGCCTGCTTCACCTGCGGCAGAAGCTGCCGCGCCCCGTACCGGCCCTCGTCGAGCCCCAACTTCGCCCGAAGAAGCAGACGCGCACACGCCTCCAGAACGAGAAAGACGCACAGACACCCAACCCACGGCGACGGCACCCGCAGAACCTAAGGGCGCACAGCCACCCCCACCGCCTATAGCGCCTCAACCCGAAGACGAGGACTCGTGGGGTGAACCACCTGTAACGGTAGCACCTCCACCGCCCCCTCCCCCACCAGCACCGAGACGCAATGCTGCTTATTGGATGGCACGTTCTCCGGTCGCAGACCAGATCTTCATCACAGACGTGACTGTGAACTTACAAACTGTCACGATACGCGAGTGCCGCACAGAAAAAGGATTTTTCAGACCCCGTGAGCCCCGGCCGTTAGACGTGACGTAAACCGTGTTCACTAGTGATGAACCATATCGAACTCTGTACAGTCATAGGTAGTTAGTATCTATTTATTTAGTTACTACTAATGTTGAGTTGAGTAAAAGAGAGGAATGAAAAGTACTTTGTAGGCCTAATGTATCAGGACTAGTGTAGTGCATACCTGTGCTACTTTAGGGTTGTTAAAATGAAAAGTTATGTAGCTAGTGAATAGTCAATTGAAGATGTCACAGAGCATTATTTTTACAACACTAATTGTATAATGTCCATGGGTTCCCTGTTACTATTTGTGACACACTATGTTATATTAAATTCTAATGACCAGATGAAGCAAATAGACAAATTGTTGTCAATTGTTGAAAATAGATACTCTATATTTTATATGTTAAATTTATTGACGTCTGGGTGTACCACCGAGTAGATACAATAAAAATGTCATAAAATGTATACTAATATAAAACGTAGAATTTAGTGTCATTATGATGCGCTGCTTGTTTACACTTTACCAGTGTATCAAACACGTCTTATTGATTTAAGAATCTCCTATTTAAATCAACAATTTAGCTTCTGGTAACATTATGTATATTGGTAAATAGATACCTCCATTAATTTATGTCCATTTTTGTAAAATATTGCTAGTTTTGTTTAATTTTGTTGTTGTTGTTATTTATGTTAACTTGATTTGATGTTAACACATTATTATTTGGTTTACCCAGTTTTTACTGATTTAGCTATACCATAAATAATGTCTAGGTTGTATTCCACTGTTACAACTTTGGGACAATATTTGATTTCTCAAAGAATATCATGTCCAGTGTTGCAATTATAAATAATAGATTCTGAAAAAACTTACGGCATCAAAGTTGTTATTTAAATGGCCGTTAGTTTATAAAATGAACTGATCGTTTTTTTCCTGTATATACTTAAACTTAAACTAATAAGTTATTTTAATATATATTTAATTTTAAGATTATGATTCCGAACATTTTCGTTCTCCTTATTTGTTATTTGGTTCCTTTAATGATTAAATAATAATATGGTTGTCCTAAATAGAATGGACGGAGTCTCCTATTAATTGAGTTAATATAGATTTTACCCAATGCATTTGTCTGTGGAAGTAGTTTGTGTAAATATTGTAAATATAATTTTAGTGCACTTGTTTTATAATGTGATAGTCTCCTTATATGATATATTCTGTAAATAAATGAGAATGAATTAGAAGTTTAGTGTTTTAATAAAACAAAATTATAAATATTTTATGATTTATTTTTATTATTTTGATTTATTGTTTAGGATCGTCTTAACTTTTCTAATACTTACTAAACCAACTGTAACGCCACCCGCACGTAGCTCCATCTGTATGTGTCTAATCCCATCGTCATTTTCTATTACAAATCTTGGTCTTGTTCTGATTCGTGTCTTGTTTTTAAAATTTGTCATTATCTTTATTTTATTTCATAACCGTAGTATTTTAGTGGTTTTTTTTTTCATTTAATTTCGTTTATAATTTTGCTCTGCCACGGTACACATACGCTATTCGTACGGTGTCTTTTTCCGAGAACACTAAGAAATTTACAAACTCCGATTGACAGTCATTGTTTTTGAACATAACGTAAAAACTTCTATTTTTGTGCTACTATATTAAATTTTGCGACACATCTCCTAAAATGTGGTGGGACTAAAGGGGATTCTATTTCCCCATAGTCTTACCACAATGCAGTGGAGCTACGGGTAAAAAAATCGAAACTCGAATTCGAAAAAAAAGTAGGGCGTGAGGGTCCCCAGGACCAGAAGCGGGTATCTACTACTCTTCCCACAAACTCAGGGTCCATAGTCGGCGTCAGTGGACCCACGGAGTGAACTTGCCCTATACAAGTTTGTACGGGCGCCCGCATGGGTCCCTGTCCAGTCCTACGAGCTCTTTCCAGGAACGAACCTTGGCTTCCGCGATCGCGAGGCTCGGTTCAGCGATCTCCTCGCCTGTGTCTCGCCGTCTTTTATGGGTTTCCTGAAAAAGGCGACGGGCTCTCTAGCACGCTGTGCGAAGCTGCTCGAGTTCCGGTGTCCACCAGTACACGGAACCCCTACTACCCCCCCGGCCTGACCCGCAGTGTAGGTGCCTATTTGGGAGTGTAAGTTGAAATCAAGTCCATATTTAGGCACAATTATGAAATGTACGCGGGTACTTAATTCTTTAAGCTGTTTTTTGGAAATTGTAAATACTTTTATAGATTAAATCTAGTTGATGTGCCGTTCTTAGTACATGCATGATTAATTATTGATGGCCTTGTTGTTGAGAAGATATCTATAAAAGAAGAAACTGACAGACTGATTCTCTGACTGATCGATCAACGCACAGCTGAAACCGCTGGGTCTAGAAGCATGACATTTTGCTATAATGTTCCTTAGGTGACGTAGGTGTGCGGTAAGAAATGATTTTTAAAAATTCCACCCTTAAGGGTGCAAAATGGAGGTTGGAAATTTAAATAAAACCCCGTTATTTTTGGTAGTAGCGTTTTCAAACTCACATTAAATACTCTTAATAAAAACTACTAAACTTACTTGTCACTATTTTTTCAAAATTACCATGAAAAGCGGTGCAAGTTTGTATGCGGAACTTTTTTTTTAAATTATCGATTTAAACTTCTCAGTATAATATGTTCTCTATCAAAAATGATAATGAGAAAGAAAACATTTTTGTTTTTGAAATACACGTCGGCTTTCACCAACGAATTTTTACAGCTTTCAAAACACTTAACAATATGTATGACGTGGCAAATCATTTTTTATATTAGAACATTAATAAAGGGTTACAGTTACAGAATACTTTTGTTACAAATAATCAATGTTGTTAGTACAATTAATCAGTGTTGTTAGCAAGCGAGGCGTCGTGCATTAGAAACTTGGATGGACGATATACCCCACGAAGATGGATATATCCCACCCCAGTAACTAAGGAATTAAGATTTTCGGTGCCAACCACGAGTGTCACTTGACCTCGTCGGATGACACTACCCGATTATTTGCCTATCAACTAATTTAGCGAAATAAAACAGTATAACTCCGTGACAAAACTAAAGTACAAGTACTACATGACATACTAAGCCCGTGGAACAGACTTCTGTGACGTAGGTAAATTATAGACAACAATGGCCTCACCTGTCACCCCCAGGCCTGCGCCTATGGAGGACGGAGGTCGTTCTGCGACTTCCGGCGCTTAAGTCGTCGGCGGTACCTGGCCCGTTCCCGAGCCTGGCGGGCCGGGAGAGTTCTAAACCTCTCCCGGTCCCGCTCCGCCATCGCCTTCGCAAGCATAACTTGCTCACAGAAGGAGAAGGTAAAGTTCCACGCACTCTCGCTCCGCACAATGGCTGCGATTATGTTATCTAGCGAGTTCCACGTGGTCACGCCTGTGCTCCACCCACGCCGGGCATTCTGACAGCGTGTGGAGCGCCGTGTCCACGGTCCGGCCATCGCAGTGGTGGCACTCAGGCGTTGGCTCCTTGCGGATCAGACACAGGTGATCCCCGAAGCATCCTTTTCCAGTGATCACGTCAACTGGTATGAGAGGGTCCGCTGGGAGGTGACTTGAGCCAATCCTCCATAAGGGGTCTTACCGCCGCGATAACGGCGTGCCCGGCGCTCGGTTGCCCAAGTCGTTCCTTCCACTCCTCTACAAGGACCCGATGGAGTCGGGATTTGTGGTCATCGATTTCTCGGGTCTCAGGACTCCGACCCAACTCCCGCGCCTCCGTGGGCCACTGATACAGAGCCGCAAGGCCTCTCGCCTCCAGGTCCCACGGTGGACTTCCGGCCAGGAGACTTACCGCCTCAAAGGAGATCGTGTGGTACCCCCTTATGACCCTGATGGCCAGCACTCACTGCGGTAGTCGCAGTATTGCGACATTGAATGCCCATAAAGAGCCATGGTCCGCACAACCAACAAATGTTATGCAGCCACCGCGCCGATGCACGCGCTGCTCCAACCAACTAGGGGACCAGACCTCGGAAATGATATCCGAAGTTCCATCGGACATCGAGTACGAGCCCCTGAAACCACATCGAGGGCTCGATGCCAATGCAAGAACCGATGAGGCTAGATCCCTCAGGTGGCTTCCTCCGAGACCCATGGGAAAACAAGGTCACGGATTTGTGCAGAGCCACCTCGAGACCCTGCGCCGGATCCGCTCAACGACTTAGGCAACCCAGGCCTCGGCCCTTAGGGTTGCCTCACGGTACGTCTTGCCGCACGCCGTCACAAGTGTGTCGTCCGCGTAGCACGTGATGGTGAAACCATTCAAGAAGGCACCACAATGTGCGCATGTGATGCGTATGATGCGTATGCGATGTGCCACAAGAGTGGTCCTAACACCGACCTTGTGGAACATCCGCACGACATTTCAAGTCTACCGAGACCGGTCCTACTTGGGTAGACGACGGCTCTCTACATTACGATAACCTAAACCAAATGATCCACCAATAATAGCGAGTATCTGGCGTTAATGGCCACTCTTCTAATCTTACCTAAAAAATTCAATAATATTAGATATAAGGAGAATAAGAAAACAAACAAAAAACAGTAATAAAGTGGACGTTTTTAAATTGGTTCGAGGTCCGGCCTGTAAGTCGGATGCGTCATTAGTTCCACATTTGAAGCCAGCATTGGAAAGTGAGGATGCGCTATCGTGGTGAAGACATTGCTTCGAGAACGCTTTTCATCTCGATCTTTAAGCGATGCTGTAGTGAAAAGTCCTGATTTTCCGAAAGAAGAAGCAACAATTTTTTTACCAATACTTCGACTTTTCTTAACTTTCGTCGCAAATCATCAAAAGGAAAGACCCACTCTGCCGACTGGCTTATTCTTTCGGGTTCAAAGCAGTACTCCCAGGTTTCGTCACCTGTCACGATGACCAGTAATGGACTGCTAGAGGCTGTTGATGGTGATGATACATTTTACATTCAATAATTTTATTTAGAGCCTTAATTCAATTACAAAATTCAAGTTTACGTTTCTTTCTCGTGAAAACGACCGAATAATCTTTTCTGAGCCATTGAGAGACGCAACTAAAATTTTACTTTTCGAATACTAGAAAACGATCTCTTTGCAGTAGCTACGCTGATCGGGAGAGTTGCCAGTACGTAGGTCACTTTATATATTTTAATAATAATACTTGTTGTAATATATATACTTACAGCTTGTATTACATTTTTTCAAAACTCGTCATCGCTTGCTATTCAAATTTTCATCCGCCTAAACCAGTCTTGGAAACACTTATTCCAAACTTCCTCCGATAGGTAAAAAATGGCTGATGCGTAGGCAGCCACCGCTTCTTCGACACTTGAAAAAACTTGCCTTTTATCTTATCTTTTATGGTAAGGATAACAAGAAGTCACAAGAAGCTAAGTCGGGACTGTAAGGTGGGTGAGGTAGGGTTTCCACTACCCGATTCTTGATAAACGCCTTAGTTCTCAAGGAAGACTGTCAAGACGCATTGTCGTGGTGCAGCATCATTCCCAGGTCTTTACTCGTCTCTCCAGCACAACTTTGGAAACACTTTTGTCAATGCGACTGTAGTGTACCATTCTGAGTTAACAGACTAACAATTTGTTTAACATTTTGTTGACAACTGGCCATCTGAAAACACCCATACCGAGGAACGCTTCTTGCTTTCCGGATCATATTAATATATCCATGTTTCGTCGCCAGTAATAATTTCAGAAACACTTCTTGACCTCCCATTTTCAAAACGTAGACGCATCTCACATCACCATTCCACACGGATTTCTTTTTCCGTTTTAGAGGCCAAATGCGGTATCCAACGATAACAAAGCTTCTTCATTCTAAAATGTTCATGTAATATGGTGTAAACACTCACTGAACTGATGCTTAAAGATTTTTCTACGACCCTGTGTGTAATTCGTGGGTCATCTCGCACAAGCATTTCAGTAGTCCACACATTTTTAACAGTGACTGCTGTTGGCGGGGGTCCACTTCTGTCAGCATCTTCAAGGCTAATTTTCGCCCTTTTGAATTCGTTAAACCATTTAATAATTGTTGCCCGTGAACGAGCAGACTCACCTGAAGCTGGTTTTAAACGTTTTAAACTTAAACCTTCCGTGCCGTGTTGTGCTGGTTAAGAATAACTCCACCCTATCTCTGCCCGTAGGTGTCGTAAAAGTTGAGTAAGGGATGTTATACCAGAGGATGGACAGCAACATTTTACTGAGCATAGTATCAACTCACTGCGATCGCCAACGCGCATGCCAAGCGTGGCGATTATGGCAAAAACCCCTCTATAGCAAGCACAACTAATAAACGGCCAATAGGCCCCTGCTGCTTCTTGAAGATAGAGCGTGGGCAGGCCCTCTGGATAGATGGTGGATAGAGCCTTGGGGGTAGCCTATGTCCAGCAGTGGACGTCTTTCGGGTGAGATGATGAAGCTTAAACTGAAGGTTAATGAGATATGACATTAAAAGTAGTAATATATTGTGGCGACTCCCACATACAAAGAAACGGAAATATACTACAGTGCCATCTAGCGAGGACACGCGGAACTACGGAGTAACTCCTGAATGAGAAATTGCTAATCCTGTATCGCGATATGAAGAACTCTCTCGCCGATTAGCATACACATGTACAACATAGCTTCCGAACCTTCAGATGCACATTTAAAATGCACTTGGCTTATTCCAATGCCTAACAAAGCAGAAATTAACTGACAAGTATTTTTTTGTTAGTTTCAATAAGTTGTCGTAGGGTGTCAATATTAGAGTCTGTAACCGCAGTCGCCCGCCGGCCTACACGTACCACATTTAAATTATCGAAGCCACGAATACACAAAGCTGCAACATGGTGCTTCATCACCAAATGCCAATCGAAGTCTCTGGCAACTCTCTTGGTGACTTAAGCCACTACGAAAATCACAAAATAATCATTGAACGAATTGAATATTTATATGAATAAACAGCATAACGCTATCAGTGTCATTATTTCTTATTATTTATTTTTTCATTTGGTCACCTGGTATGAACAGGTTTTTAACACTTGCACCAGTTGCTGTGCTGCTCACGGACTTTTAGTAGTACTAAATAGTTTAAGTAGTACTAAATTAGTACCTACATAACTACCTTGAACATTGAATCGATCAATGTCTGATTGAGAAGTCACGACCCTCCTTTCGCAGCTAGGCAAGATTATAATAACGTACATACTAATCATAACATTAAATAAACTCACTGAGTAATTGAGTAATAGGAACTCAAACTTTGATTCTTTTCACTAAGTAATAGGAGTAAAAGAGACAACACGTTATTTATGCCCTAAAACATGATATCAATACAAGGAACGTGCTCGCTTTGACAATCAGTAATTGAAAATAGGTATAATATTGACGTTTAAGTCCGACAAATAATCTGAAGATCGGTCGATGAATCCAATGTTTTTGTTTAAATTTGTGCGATAGTCTACAAATCGAGCGATGGAGTGGTCGAAAGAGAAGACATTGAAATTGATTGAGTTGTTGCAAGTGAATGCGACTTTGTGGAACCCCTCTTTATGTGATACCAGGAGAGTTAAACAAAAGCGTCGAGAGGAATTACGCGTGATAGCTGAAATATTGAGGATCTCTGTGCCGGACGCTACTAAAAAAATCCAACACCTTCGGACGCAATATAATAGAGAATCGGCTAGAGAAGTGAGAGCATACGTCGAAGACCCGAACGATAGATATGTTAGCAATTGGTACGCGTTCGACTATTTGCATTTCTTGAAAGACTCAAGCAAACCATACAGAATTTTACAATCGGTGCGTATAAGATTATTTCATTTTCTGTTTTTTAAACAAACATTCATGCCATGGTAGAGAATTCTATTAGGTATTGATATCAGTCTCAATAATTCGTTTAAACCAGTACATTAAAATTTTTCATTGGTTTTAAGATTACTTTTTAGGCTTCAAGTTAATTTTTTGCAACAACAGTAAATAAATAGGCCTTCCTACATGTTTTATTTATATTAAATATTTACTAAAGATAATATGTCAGCTAATTCATTCTCATTAGGCAAGTTTTATGATTTTTTACCCATTTAAATACATTCATAACATTTATGTCAACAAAACCAGAACAGAGGTACTAACAAATACGTATGTTTACACATATGGAAAAAACTGGTGAGTAAAATACCTTATTTGGTTTAAATTCCATTAATTTCACAATTGACTTTTGCCCAGCAACAACTATGTACCACACATGTTACATGTAATCGGAGATATTGTGTTGACAAAAAAAGTAACATATTTTCTAAAATTGATTGACTTAATATATTGGTAGTGTTACTATTTACCACCTTCATATAAACAAAACTATTTTCTCTAGTGTAGTGTAGCAACATGTTCTAATATTATAATCATATTCTGTTCTTGCAGGAGGAAAACTCAGAAATAAATGGTGTTCCACCTCACTCTGACAATGCACCTAATCCCTGCAAACTATCCAGCCCCTCACCACCTCACAAGATTCCCAGGTTCTCAGAGCCTCTACACTCAGTCTCACCTGATGTGATATGCCCGAGAAATAGGGATGAGTTCTCAGTATTTGGAGAATACATAGCCAATGAATTGAGATCTCTAAAAGGTGAGAAGAACCTTCTGGTAGCTAAAAAGAAGATTCAAGATGTAATATTTGAGGTTAAAATGGGTATGATCAGTGAACCTAGAGCAGAGCAGCCTATATGTACAGTATACACGCATACAACCCAACCCCATAACAGAACTAATCATAGCAGTAAGCTGTACACAACACCAGCAAGGTCGACCACCTCACACATCGAGCCACTGTCATCCCACGGTCCGCCGACTTCAGGCATCACAGAAATATTAATTAGTAATAATAGTACCTGTCATTATCCTACTTTTAAAGTTGATACTCAATAGCAGTGTCATCCACTTCCAAGTGAGGAAGTGGATAAAAATGAAACATACAGTATTAACAATTAGAATGCATTCCTGTAATTTTAAGATGATAAGATTAACATAATCATAGTCTTTGCTGGTGATACATATTAGGGTTGTTACGGATGCAAAAATTTCGATGCGAATATGGATACGGATTATTAGAGGGCCATATTTACCACAGGGAATTACAGGTTTATTTTTAAATAAAATTTAAATTCAATTTTCAGTACGCTGGACAGCACGTCAAGTTATTGCAGTACACACAATTGAACTCTGTGTTTGACATGTAGTAGAATTTTTTTGAGAAAATTTGTCATTTTTGGATAGGTTGTCATGCTAATGACTGTTAATGTCGGTAAACGAAGGAAGATAGCAAATAGCAAAAACAGGCGCGGCACCTTTCTTTACATGTCATTACTTGTTGCAGTTATGAATCCGCATTCGTTAAAGCTCTACATTCATTTGATGCGGATGAAGATGTCTAAATTAATGCCAATATTCCGCATTTGCGGACGCGGATGCGAATATCCGTAAAACTTCTAATACATATTTTCCTAACCATACCTGGGTTGTTAAAGTGGTTAGTCAATTAATTTTTTTTGGTGTATAATGGTTAATAATAAGTTACTTAAAACGACTATGTTTACTCCTCTCGTCGCAAATTGGATTAGCTTACGATTCGTCAGAGCCGTCAGCTGCACGCCCTCACCACCCTCTATTTCATATTGAACTCCCCTATTTCCCCTTTCTACCTGACATGCTCATTCCAATTTATATGTTCCAATCATAACAGTATCCTCCGTTCCTTAAACAATCCACTTCTGTTATGCCCCACTCATACTTCCGCATGTGTCCACTCTTCGTTCCTAATGCAATCTGTCCTCCTCTGAAACGCTCTACCTCTCGAAATCAGGATAGCACCCAGTCGCCTCTCATCTAAGACGAAAGTCCGAGCTCGAATTCTCGACACTAGCAGATTTATCACATCCCTAAAGCTTTATATATTGTATTATATGTATGTACATATGTAACACAGCAAGTATATATTGTGTATCTCAGTATGTATGTATGTACATCTGTCACATTGTTTCTGTCCATATACTGAATTATTATTATCTCCTTACACAAAAAACTTAATTTCTAGTGAACCTACTCAGACATTTCTCCACTACCCAAAGGTAGACTGGGAAAAAATGCCTGTGGCATTAAGTCCGCCATTGTACAATGAATTGTTATTTGTGCAAAAAGAATTAAATAAAAATAATAAATAAATAATGTATAATGATAGTAAGCCTAGCAGTAACAATTAGCATTTAGGCATGTGATAGTAGTGATAATACTGATAATTATAGTCACAATGTTTAAAATGTGAATTTAATTAATGAAATATGTGTATCTAAGTGTAATGCTAATGTGACATAACTCATAAATAGTTCCTTGCTTCTATTTATACGCAAAAACATTATAAAAAATCATCTCATTTTGTAAATGAGACAGACTCCTTATCATCTGCGTAGCATAGAATAGACATCAAATGGTGTAGAAGCACCTGATTATATGCCACAGGTCTACCCTCCCTAAGATGGGGAGCAATATTTATGGAGTACATAAAAGTTTTAACAAATGTGATGACTCTTTATTGAATATGATTAGAACCCAGCTCTTCTCGTAGTAAAGTATTTCAAATAGTGTCTTCACCAATGAACGGAGCGATCGAATAAAACTCATGGCGATTGCTCTATTGGGTTAAAGTGTTAGATTTGCCACTAACCTAATAACACTCGCTAAATATTACGATTCAGTTCGATTATCACAAAGATTAAAACTTTTGTGATCCGCAAATAGTTGTTCGAATATGAGTGTTCTTTGTGTCCTTTGTTATAAAGTGTGTTAAATCCCCTTTGCCCAACTGAATTATTCCTAAAGCAGTCTAGTGCTTAGAGCAATCTTAAAATCAGGTTAAAAAGTATTTTTGTCCCGTGTGCAGCACACTAATAATAATCGCCAAAATGGGTAAATGCGTATTCAAGGAAACAAAATATTAAAAGAATTTGCAAGACACCCTTTAGATTATTTATCATCAGTACAAGCTGATCATTCACTTTTATTATTAAATGCCATTATTTATACATACGTTAAAATGAAAGTGTATCATGAAAGTAAATTATCCACACAAACTTATAAAAAAAGAGTCTAAAAGACAATTGTATACAAAACTGATGCTTCACAGCGGAGTTTGATTTTACACTGAATATAAACCCTTGTAGCAAAATATTTCCAGTTATTAGTATTTTTTTTTTTTAAGACAACTCCCGCATTAGGAATATATCTTGTGTCGCGGGGGACTTTACAAACATACATGAAATGGACACAAAGAATACCCAGACTCAAAACAACAATTTGTGGAACACACAAAGTGTCGTCCCATGTGGGGATCGGACCCACAACACTCAGCGTAGTAGTAAGCGGCGTGACGACCGCTTAAACCACTACGCCATCTGTGCAGTCAAATTATACCTGTTCCATTCAATAAGAAATATATTATTTAAAATATTTAAATTAATTTATTTTACTAGAAAATTGTTTTAAAAACTCTTTTTGTTTCTTGGTTGTTATGGGTAAAATTTCATACGGTAGTCAACACTGGCCCACCATCGTAAAGTTATGTCTTTGTCTAGTCTAATCCGAGCGATGGTATTGTTCTTGTCACGCGTGTAAATGAGACATAAATATATTTACTTTCAAATGTTTGGTGGTATCAAAGCTACGTCGTCAAAGTTCAAAAGTGGTTACACTTATTTCGACGTGTGATAATGAGGTTTGCTTCAGTAGTGTTGTTTTAACTCAATGATGAAGTAAGTATGATTAATGACTCCTTGGAACTTTCTAGGGTATACCCAAATCCCTTGCAAAAGACATGCAGGTGTCTTAACACCGTGTGGTTTTAGTTCGTTCGATTCCGACCATTTCATCGTAATGCCCGATGAGACATTAACCCGTGGTTTTGCTGAAAAATTAAAAAAAATAGGGATGTAAAAAAATAAACATTCATTCTTCTTTAATGTCCTCTGGATAGGGTATTGGATCTCCACAGCAAGTATTCATCTCGATCGGTTCTGAGCCTCGTGGTTCTTTTCGCTCTACGTATATTGCCGATCTTCTCCTCGCATCTTCTGCCGCTGTTCGTCGCCAAGTTTGCCTTGGAGGACCATGCTTTCGCTTTTCCTGGGGGTTCTAGTCCAGAGTCTGCTTGCGGATGTTGTGATTGGAGTCCCTTCGGAGCCCAATCCTGCCCCATTTTCGGTGTTTAATCTGCTGGTCGACTGGGGTTTCCTGGCAGCGTTCTAACAATTGTTGGTAGGTGATGTTCTGGGGCCAGTATATGCCGAGAATTCGGCGAAGCCGACGGTTGATGAAGACCTAGAGATCTTTTTAGATACCTTCCACGTTTCACACCCATACAGCAATATATATACGGATTTGACGTTGGACCCGAATAGTTTGAATCTTCGAGTCAATATCTGTAACTGGCACACAGGTCGAAAGTTGTGCAAAGACGGTTCGAGACTTGGCAATGCGCAAAGGAATATATTGTCAATCATTAAAGCTTCGTATGGACTGCGCGCTGCAAGCGTCCAAAAGATGCGCGTGGCAGCCGCGCGTAGTCGCACCCGGTTGGCGCGCGCGCCGAGGCGCGCTCGAACATGGAACGCGGTGATCCAACCCGCCGTCAGTCTCTAATCACGCACCAAAGGATTCTCAGGGTGTTTCGGTTCCGTATGTTATTACGGGTACGTAACGACATGCGGAGCCGAGAGCTGGACAGTCACCGTTGGACCGATCCACAAGTTTAACTTCGCTCAGCGTGCGATGCTAGGTTTTTCGCTAGTCGATAAAATTCGAAACGAAAAAATTCGACAGTGAATTTAGGTTACCGATGGATAATCAGTACACTGAAGTGGAAGTGGGCCGGTCATTGTGTTTCGTTTATCGATGTTTTTTACTTTAAAGTATTAGGTGCTTACAAATGAAATTGGCGTTTTGCACGGGTGGAATATAAAATCCTTTTTTTTTTGTAAAATATATTTAATTAATCAAAGTATTCACCATTGTTATCTATGCACTTTTGCCATCTCATAGTTAGTTCATTGATCCCTTCACTAAAAAAACCATGGAGGCGAGAATCAATATACTCTTTGAAGGCGGTTTGGACTGCCGCATCGGAGTTGAATTTTTTTCCTTGTAAGAAGTTGTCCAAATTCCGGAAAAAATGATAATCTATTGGAGCAAGGTCCGGGGAGTACGGTGGATATCGCAGACATTCCAACTGTAGCTCATCTAACTTAGTGGTTGTTTGTTGTACAATAGATATCTGCCGTAATCGTTTGGCCAGATTTTAGAGAGCTGTAGTGAACGACACCGGCGCTAGTCCACCAAACACTCACAAGTAACTTCTTCTGAATCAATTTCCGTTTAGGGCAGAATTTGGGTGGGTCTCTAGGGTTCAGCCATTGCGACGAGCGCTTCCGATTATCGTACAGTATCCACTTTTCATCACAAGTAATGATTCAATTTAAAATCCCTTCATTATTGTGTCGGTTGAGCAAAGTAACACAGCAGTCGACGCGTGTTTGCAAGTTCGATTCACTCAATACATGAGGTACCCATCGTTCAAGTTTTTTTACTTGCCCTATTTGCTTCAAGTGGATTAATACAGTTTTATCACTTACCCCGAAGCCTGCAGCTATCTCTGAAGTGCTTTGTGATGGATCCGCTTCCACAATAGCCTTTAATTCTTCATTTTTCATTTTGGTCTCCGACCGTTCACGGGGTTGGTTCTGAAGGTCGAAATTTCCAGAACGAAAACGTTGAAACGAAAAAAGTACTGTGCTTTCTTATGCGACACCAGCGCCGTACACATCATTAATCCTTCAAGCTGTTTCTGCAGCACTGGTGCCACGCAAGGCCGTCTTAGGCCACGCCGAGGCCCCTGGGCACACAAGAATTAGGGGCCCTGTTGGACAGTTAACAAAATGAACGATGAAAATATTTTTAGTTATGATCTTTTACTTAAAATGATTTATTGGCAACAATCAAATATACCTATAATTAGAGATATTAATTAGATAGATACATTTACGAGTAAGAATAATAGAAATAAATATGAGATGTTAATTAGACAAGCATCTTTGAATTGAAGGTTTGAATCAGTCATTTCTTTTTCATCAGGGATTTCTGTTGTGCAAATTCTTCTATTATATCTTCAAAGTCAATTTTTTTGAGGATATCATTTTCTAAACACATAATTGATAAATACGTTAGTCGCTCTTGTGACGCTGATGTTCGTAATTCATTTTTTATTCGCTTTGACTTTGAAAATGAGCGCTCTCCGCTGCAATTGGTAACCATTAGGCATAGAAACATTCTTGTAGCCACTTCAACATTTGGAAAAGTTTCTTCTAATCTGTCGGACTGTATTAAATTATGTAAGTTTGAGACACTCAAATCAGCTGATTCCTTTGATATATTCTTTAAATACTGTCTTAAATGAAAACACTCATGAAATTTGAGCTCATATGCATTAATGTCTTCGGGATAGAATTCTTTAAATTCATTGCATTTTTTTGTTAACTCGTCAGAATCAATTGTTGTTAAATGTGAAAGAAAACTAAAACGATCGTGCATTTCTTGATACGCTACCAAACGATTTTTTAAATGTGCATATAATGTATCTATTATAGGGATAAATGTATCTATACGAATTTTTTCCTTCCTATGCAACTGCACAGTCTCTGATGATCCTTCAAAGAAAGTAACGCGTGTGCTGCGAATTCTATTCCTGTCAAATTTATCTTATAGTCAGCATTTGTTTTTTTTTCTTTAGCAGCTAATTCATATTCATCAAAATTATTGCGTGCGTTATTGACGTACTCGATGAGAGATGCGTAAAGCTTTGTGGTAACGTCCATGGTAATAGTGCTATCCTGTAAGCTTAAACTTTGTTGTTTTGTTCATAATTCCCAAAAAATCATTCCATATTTCCGTTAAAAGTATTGTGTTCAATTTTTCCATTTTTTTTACTAGGCTTTGCGCTTCGTTTCTTGTTTCTCCTGGTTGATTGACATCACTTACTATCGAAGACAAAGCTTCAGAAATATTTAAATAACCATTTTGTAAAGCATTAATGGCATTTGCACGTGCAGACCATCTAGTATCCGGCACAGACTTCAAGACTTTATTTGTACCTAAATGCTCTACCATAATTTGCCATCGTTTGGTCGAAGCGGAGAAGAAATTGATCAATTTTTGTATAAACTGAAAATATGCTGCAGCTTCGGAAACACAATCAATAGCTTGAACACCTACTTAATTTAGCGAGTGTGCTGCACACGGGACAAAAATGGAAAATTTGCATTTTTCTTTTATTTTTGACTGAACACCAGAATACTTTCCAGCTAAATTTGATGCATTATCATAACTCTGTCCATGACAATCTTTTATAGGAATATCAAGGCTTTCCAAAAATTTCAAAATGTTACCTGCTAAGTATTCTGCATTATGTTTATCTATAGGCAAGAACTGTAGAAATCTCTCAATAGGCTCTCCATCTTTTACGTATCTAACGATGAAAGTTAGTTGGTCAACGTGAGAGAGATCTGGCGTAGAATCCACGCTTATAGAGTAGTATTTTGCTGATTTTATTTCACTCACAATGGTTTTTAAAACTTGCTGCCCCATTATATTGATAAATTCATTACAAATATTTGCAGACAAACATAATGTACTTCCATTTCCGCAGTTCCGCATATAATCAGCAAGAAAAGAATCAAATTCATCAATCGGTTCTAAGCATCCTAAATAATTTCCATTGTTTTGAGACCCCAAAATCTCATTATCACCACGAAAAGCAAGACCTCTAGAAGCCAAAAATTTCACTACTGCAACTATTCTTCTAAGTACATTCTTCCAATAATTGACTTCTGTATTATATTGGGATAGTAACTCACTGTCAAGTCGTCCAGTAGATTTGCTTCTTGCGACATAATTCATCATTAATTGCCTGTGCTGTAAACTATTCTCATGCTCAATTAATAAGTTACTTATATGCTTCCAATCTTTATATCCATTTGGAGAACTGAAAGTACATCTAGTACCTGTACTAGTATTAAATAGACGGCAGCAGTAACAGTACACAGATTTTCTCAAAGGTGAATAAAGGAGCCATTTTCTTTCTAACGACTCGCCATTCGTCAATTTACGGGTAAAAATACTTAGACAAATATCTAGTATTTGTTTTACCGCTTGAATCTGGAAAACGTGTAGATGCTTCGGCAAAGTCACAATTTTTGTTTTGAAAAAATAATGGCCTTTATTTTATATACGTTAATAATTTAAAATACATTTATCATTGATTTAACTATTTTTGGTGTTTAAATATTCAAATTTGTTTTCTGTTGCTATAACTTTATTGACTTTACTGAGTTCAAATATTTAAAAAAATAAATGACTAGAGTAGTTAGTAAAATGCTAGTATAGAAAACCTCAACTATTTACGTGATTTTATTAGTCCATCTTATTCTAATTAATTTTGGCGCGTTTTTTTCAAATTTATCCTTGGTTACCGCAGCGCCACCCTTATTGGACGCGTTTTTACGGATACGTAATGGCAATGCCACATTTTCTGACAGAGCCGGCCTTTGGGGGCCTTTGGGGGCGCAGACCACGCATGCGGGGGCTTCGCGCACTCGCGACCCCATTTCGCGCTTTACGCATCGCATTCTAAAACTCACATACTTAAATATTAAGGTGTTTACGATTTACGTTCAGGGATTCCCCGTGTTTAATTTCGCCTGTAACATTGTAGAAACTGTCGTCGGCTTATGTTTTTATGTGCGAGCAGCAGTATGTGTTGCGATGCAATTTTTTTGTTTAATGTATGATCATTAAAACTAATTCCCGGGGCCTGGGGCCCGGGGCCTCGCAATGGCTAAGGCCGTTACTGATCATTGGCTTTTCAGTGCTTAGAGTTGCCATAAAGGTGCTAAAAAGGCCCATTTACTTTTATTTCGGATATTTTCGATATGAATTTGAAAAAAAATGAGGTAAGCGAATATTTAACGTGATATGTAATTGCTTTTTGGAGGCTCCTTGACGATGGAGGCCCTGGGCACGGGCCCCGTGTGCCCTTATGGTAAAGACGGTACTGGTGCCACGGTAGAACTCGTACTCGAAAATATACCGATATTTCATGTTTTCCAATAATGTACCTGCTAAATGAATTTATAAATTTGAATTAGCAATTCTTAACCAAAAATATCTCCTATATTTCAGATCAAAGTGGTCAGTACAACTAAACGCTAATTTCCTATGTAGGGACCTAATATAATGTCATAAAGCCAAGACATGTAGGTACGTAGATACTTACCTGTAAATTTTAACTGTAATTACCACGTTCTAATATAATATTTATAACAAAAGGAGTTTGAGTTGCATCTGTTATTTATATTAAATACAGTGCTGTTTTTAGTTATATCATATCTAGTGTGTATTGCGAATTTCATAATTGACAAAAACATCGAACAAAGAGTTTGTCCTAAATTTTGTATCTCCAATGGAATTTCGTGTTCGGAGTGACTGAAAATGATACAGAAGGCTTACGGTGAATCGACTTTATTAAAAAAACGTGCTTATGAGTGGTACAAAGCGTTCAGAAGCGATCAAGATGTGATGGAAGATTTGCCTCGCTCTGGTAGGCCATCAACGTCTGCAACTGAAGTTAACATTGCAAAAGTGAAGGAAATATAGTGATTGAAAATCAAATCAAATCAAATCTTTATTTTCCAACCAAGTGTACATCAATGATCTTATAATATTATATGTAGTAGTCCCAACTTAGAAGCCTTTTCCAGGCATTGCAAAAATTTGAGAGAGAACGCAGAAGAATAAATTGTTACACAAGTACAAGCATTTTTTGAAAAATACAAATTAAGTGACTCAATAGTACAGTATAACAATCGAACAAAGCATGCAAAAATACGAAGGCACCCGACATTCTACATCACTAATACATATACACATTTTCCTACTGCCCCTAGCATTTCCGTGCATCACGACCGATTTTTCTTTTTATGATTTGTACTTAGGTATATGCTTTCTGTGTTCCGTGTAATAAGAAATTTAGTTTGTTAAGTGTTTTTTTCCTCAATGTATTCTTTAACAGAATAGAAACATTTTGTAATTAAGAATGCTTTTAGTTTTTTAATGAATAGTGTAGTCTTCGTTTCATTTTTTATGTGGATAGGTAATTTGTTGTATATTTTTACAGCCATGTAGTAAGGGCCCTGGTTTAGCATTTTTATTCTTGATGGTGGTAGGTATAGTCTGTCTCTGTGGCGTGTGTTTAAATTGTGATTGTCTTTTACTCTCGACTCATGTTCTTGGATACAAATATGCAGATGTCAAATATGTATAATGATGGTAGTGTGAGGTTGATGTGTGTGTCTATAGTTATACCAAGTAATTTGAATGTATCTACAGTTTTTAGTTGTGTGCCATTGTATGTTGTGTCGATGTTTACGGGGGTGTTTCTGTATGTTCTAAGTTGGATAGTTTTTGTTTTGTTATAGTTAATTTCTAAGCTATGGTCGTTGAGCCAGTTACTTACTGTATCTAGAGTTTCCTGAAGTAGTGGTGTCGGCTTTGTGGTTTTGTCATAAGTAATTAGTATTGATATATCATCAGCAAATAGGACAGGTAATGTATGTTCCTTGTTTATTACTTTTGGTAAGTCGTTGATGTATATCAGAAATAGCACACAACCCAACACGCTGCCCTGCGGGATTGAACACTTTATGTTCCTTTTTTCAGACCGCACTATTTTAACCTCATTCGTATTGGGGTCGAAATGGTCAATTTGGACCATTTGTGATCTATTTTCTAAATATGATCGAAACCATGTGCAAGCTGGAAAATCCTCATTCAACTTTGAGAGATATAACCGCCGAACTTTCTGTATCTCACGAATCGATACGTACCATTTTAACTAATCATTTACGTATGAAACGTGTTACCGCTCGGCTAGTCCCAAAAGACCTACATTTTCTCCAAAAACTCGATCGCATGAGGGTCGCTGAGGACATGCTAGAACGAGTCAATTCAGACCCAACATGAAACGCATTGTTGACGTGGGTTTACAAGTTTGACAAGCAAACTAGTCAACAAGCTTCAGAGTAGCGCCTTCCAACTGAACCGAAACCGAAAAAACCACGCCAAAGTCGATCAAAAGTCAAAGTCATGTTGACTGTTTTCTTTGACTATCGCGGCCTAAGAATTTCGAGTGCACAACAGTGCACTCGAAATTCTTGCCGGAATGTCAAACGATAAATAATGAATATTTTTTAAGCGTTATGCGGTATTTAGGACTACGACTTCGAGAACAAATTGGACGGAAAAGGCCAGATTTGTGGAAAGAAATTTCTTGGATTTTGCATCACGATAATGTTCGCACAAGGTCATCATTGTGAACGAATTTTTGACCAAACACTCAACAAATACCATCGAGCAACCACCATACAGCAGCGAGCAGCCGACTTCTTTCTTTTTCCTGAACTCAAATTACCACTTCGTGGCACCCGTTTTCAATCGGTAGAAGACATGAAGGAGAATTCGCGGGGTTCTTAACTCAATTCCGGAAACAGCGTTTATTATATATGTTTTGAGGATTGGATTGTGTATCGTTTTTGAAGGAGCATACTTTGAAGTTGAAAAAATAAATTTGGATGAATAACAAACATTTTGTGTATTATTGATCTTTTCCCGGTATTTTCTTGACAGAGTAGTATGTACTTTCATAACTAACAATTTAGTGTTGCTTGCTATATCGCTAACACAGTAATAATATTTAGATCGTGAACTAACTATTATATTTAGAGATAAGTAAATGTTACTTATCGTTCCACAGTCCACAACACTTTGTTATCCAGTGTTTACCTAACCGTGGTTGGGTTTATACGTATTCTTCAAAGCTTGTCTAAAGTGAACAAATTGACTAAACCATCGTGTAAGTTATAATTTTATTATTCTTCAAAGCTTGTCAAAAGTGAACAAATTGACTAAACCATCGTGTAATTTATAATTCTTGTACAAATCCATTCACAATTTATTTGAGATCGTTCTTCGTTCTTGGTTTGTAAATTGAAAAATAGGGTAAATCGATTAATAGGATTAATTAATCATTTATAAGTAAATCTTATAATAATATAAATTAATTGTTGGTATAAAATATACTACATAAATATCTATAAATAGTTAGAAAATAAAAATAAACGTGAAATGTGGGCAGATACTAACTGCACTCTTAAAATCCGATTACAAATGGCACGCAAAAGACAGATAGGATGATTGTTTGCTACATTAGAGTCTGCGCATTACTGACTTTCGGAAAAGAATTTAAGCAACTAAAAATCAAAACTTGGAAGTAAAATTCTGTGTGATATTTATGGTAGTGGGCGCAGTAATTAAAATCGTAGCTACTACGAGTAATTATATCAGAATAATTGACCTAAAAACTAAATTTATTATCATGCTTGTGTGAACGTCATCAAACGACAATAATCAATGTCGATATTCCTGTCTGTGGGTTGGCTGGCTAGCAACGCAACGGTGACAGCCGGTCAATCAAAGAGACAGTTTTCTGTTGTTTATTGTTTACGAAACTTTTATCTAGTTCTGTATGGTGTTGTTATTTCTCTTTACAGTATGGTTGGATTATTAATGATTTGCGGGATAATGTGCCTAGCACATGCTGGGTCATTGGACATACAAGTTTTGTATGATAATAGCTTAGAGGAGATCGAAATAATAAGATCTAATAAAACCTTTCGTCCCGAATGGTCTGACCTAGACACTCGAGAGCTTCCGGAGTGGTATGATAAGGCCAAAATAGGCATATTTTTGCATTGGGGCGTCTTCTCTGTACCCAGTTTTGGTTCAGAATGGTTCTGGAGCAATTGGAAAGGTACCTATCTTTAGTGTTATAACCTCCTAAATGTACAATTACACTATTTAATAAATAAAAAATACGCTAATACGTATATTTTTATTTTCAGCTAGCCCTAATAATAGCATTGTAACTTTCATGGTAAAGAACTATCCACCTGGGTTTACCTATCAAGAATTTGCTCCAAAGTTCAAAGCGGAATTTTTTGAACCCGATAATTGGGCTGAACTATTTGCCAAAGCTGGGGCAAAGTTGGTTTCAATTCGTACCATTACTATAAGAATAATTTGTTGGCTTAGAAAAAATATTTTTAAGTTTCCTTGTTAGTAGTTTCAAAAGTGTGATATTTTCAGATATGTTGTCCTTACAAGTAAACATCATGAAGGTTTTACAACGTTCCCATCCAAGCGTTCCTTTAGTTGGAATTCTGTTGATGTTGGCCCCAAAAGAGATGTTGTTGGAGAGCTAGCAATAGCTGTAAGAAATAGAGACTTGAAATTTGGTGTATACCATTCATTGTATGAATGGTTCAACCCTATTTATCTAGAAGACAAGAAAAACAATTTTAAAACCCAGACTTATGTAGATACAAAGCTGTGGCCTGATATAAAGCAATTGATAGAGGATTATAAGCCATCAGTGTTATGGTCCGATGGGGATTGGGAAGCTCATGATGTCTATTGGAAAGCGACTGACTTGCTAGCTTGGCTGTACAATGATAGCCCTGTAAAAGATGAGATAGTTGTTAATGACAGGTGGGGCATTAATATTCCTGGACATCACGGAGATTTCTACAACTATGCTGATAGATTTAATCCTGGTAAGTCTTGTAAACATTAAATAATTGTAAATTTAAGTAGCATGTTACTTTTTATTTTTATATAAATGTTATAGTATGAAGACATAATTTAACAGCTTCAAAACAAGCTTATATAAATATTTATTATTTCATTTTGTAGTAGTTAGAATGTTGAACTTATAGTTTTTTAAACAATAGTCCCTAAACCAGTATAACAGTGTCTAATATTATTATTTATAATGTAGAACCCTATGTAAATAATTAAATACGCAATTAAATAATCTAAAAACTAAAACTAAAAACTAAATGGTTTTGATGTGCTTGCAACAGTCTCCTGCTAATATATCAGAAGAATGATGATGTCTAGAAAAGTATCTATATTCAATATCTATTCAATAATCAACAGCCTTTAATAGTCCACTGCCTGGCCTCTTCTTAGATAGGAGGTTTTGGCCTACTATACCATGCTGGCCAGACGGGTTGGTATAGGGTTTGTTTCAAGTTTGCCTTCTCTTTGGAGTTTCTGTTGTCCTGCATAGTTTGCTCCCTTAGTCTCTTCTTACAACGTCCATGGGATGAATAGTGGTGGTGATACTCCGTATTCTTAATCCGTCACCACACAGACAATACATTCAATTGTAACTTTCATGGTTCACTGTTACTTTCGAGTCCTCAGTATGTTTCATTTCAATAGGAAGAATATTGATATGACTAGACAGCTATATATGAGCCGAAAAGGGCTTTAAAGGGAACCTTTTTGAGTAACAATTCTTCATAGCATTAAATTTACTGGTTTGTGGAAAAAGGTCTTATAAAGTTACATAACAGTATATACATCCAGGTATGGGGTGCAAGATAGTTAATTTAGGAGGTATCTAATATATGAGAATTTAAATAATATTATTTCATTCTAGGTAAGCTACTAAAACATAAATGGGAGAATGCCTTCACTGTGGACAAAAAATCTTGGGGATATCGAAGGACTATGAAATTAAATGAAATACTAACTACTGACCAACTTCTCTATCAAGTTGTGTCAACTGTGAGCTGTGGAGGTAATAAAAACTATGTATAATTAATAAATTATATTAAAAATGTTTCTTGACCCGTACTGAGGGCTTAGTGTAAGTTTATTTCACTTCTACTCACTCGTCGACAGCGACCGCGTTCGGCGTTGCGATTGGTGAAGATTTCAGTGCGGGCCTAACGCAACGCCGAACGCTGACACCGTACGATCGAGTTGAAGTGAAATAAACTCACACCAGGCCCTCTGCAACTCGAGGACACGGTCAGAGACATAAACGAAATATAAAAATTATGCAATTTGTTTTGCTTGTCTGGTTTCGCACATAATGGCTGAAACAAAGAACGTAATGACAGTAACTTAAGTACCCGAACAAACACATTTTCTTACAAATTAACTGAAAAAGTAATGTGTAGTTTTGTTGGATACAGGATTTTTATGCAATGAAACAATGTGAAAACAATGTAACCACTTACCAATAAACATCGTATTTAACAAATCGTAATTTAAGAAAAGTATAATGCGAGAGATAATGTAACTAAGTATAAGAAATCTTAATAAAGGCGATTCAATGTTCAGTCATTCTTCAGCAGTAAACTCTTCGCTTTTCCCGTAAGAGAAGAGAACTAATAGGCTATGACGTCAGCTAATAAAAGTAAATATTCATTATTTCAGGAAACGCCCTAATCAACGTGGGGCCTACTCCGGAAGGAACAATATCTAATATATTCCAAGAACGTCTGCTGACTCTGGGCTCGTGGTTATCTATCAACGGCGAGGCCATATACGGCAGTTCACCATGGCATTCACAAAACGACACGTTGAATGAAGATGTTTGGTATACCTGCGTTAAAGAACAGTACAATTCGGTTCACCCTACAGCCACGCCACTGAAAACTGATAAAATAAAGGCAATATACGCGATTATGCTGAAGTGGCCAGCTTTGAGCATTCTTAAGGTTAAAGATGTTACAAGCTTATTGCATAGTGGCACTTATAAAGTCGAGATGTTAGGCAACAAAGGAGATTACTTGGATGTAAGTTGATCGAGGTTAAGTACTATTTGCGCAATATTTAAGAGAGAGATTGTCTCGTTTTTATCTGAAGTTGTTTATGAAATGCGTCGTGATTGCTTATCACACTTAGAAAAGAAATATGAATTCTGAATTATCTGTCTAACCTAGCCGATAACTCGAATAAAAATAGTTTTTGATGCTTTTCAATAACTATAACAGTTGTCATCTCGGCTATTGTAACTAAGCCGTGCGCGTGGTTCATCGAATGTTGGTATGAGTAACAGTTTTTTTTTATTATTTAGACTTCCCCTGCTTTTCCAAAGCAAAACATAGATCAACATCCCCCGTAAAATGCCAATACTTTAATTCAGCAATAAATAAGTCTCTTGTAAATTGGCCTGTGTCTGTTAATTGTATGGTTACCGGGAGAGAGCCATGTTTTGGTATCTATGGGCCGTTTTGACCGGCGTGATAATACGGTCTCACAGAAAATTGCTTTTGATGCTTCGGTAACTTTTCTCTAAACGATAGACTCACTCGGTGAAAAGTTACCGAAGCCCAATTCTCTGTCTCTCCCTACACTACTAGTGGGAGGGGGCAATCAAAGAGCGGCAACGAACTTGTGTCTCTTGTCTTGCATGTATATATTGGCGGCGGTAGTCACTTAACATCAGGGGACGCGTCCGCTCCTTTGCCCTCCTATATCATAGTATAAATGATACATAAATTGTATTATTTAATTAAATAATACAATTTGTCTTTAGATCTCTTATAACCGACATATTAAATCAAAGTATATTCGTTTCAGTGGCATATAATAAACGGGGAAACAGTCATAGCATTGCCGGACAAAGCGAACGTCGTGTCTGATCACGCGTGGACATTAAAGTTTACTTTGAAATAAATTACGTTATTTATTCTTGGAATTTTATTTTGTCACATATCTAATCTAGTTTATATTTAGGATTACACTTCAATATCTACCTAAGTTAACTGTAGCAGCTAAGCACCGACCCTCCAACAAATTGGAAACCTTTGTAAGTACCTACTGCACTTTGGGTCTGGCACTGGTTGATCTTTAACAATCCCAATGGGGGTCTCCCATTTCTTTTACTCTCCTTTCTCGATTTCATTGAATCGACTATTCTTAGATTTCAATGTTAAACTCGCAGTCATTATGAAAAGACATTGATAAGACTAAACTGTTATTTACGCCATTCAGTCTTCACAATAAAAGTCTTTACTTAACGTCAAACAAGTGTATTTAATGAAACTTGTATAATATTACAATATCGATACTTACATGGGGTCATAATACATTTTTATGAACAAAAAGAATAAATATAATGGTTTTGTGCTTAACAAATTAAAATAAGATTTATATAAAAGTACATTTCTTATTGTAAGTATACAAGTTGGAAAGAAATTCATAAGTACAAAACATAATTGCGGATATTTTTTGGGTTAACGACCAATGTTTATTATTATTGGTATTTAATTATTTTGCAGAAGAAAGGGGCGACATTCCGAGACAGTGTTCGACATGGCCTACACATTATTATACCTGCTATGTCTAACACTCATCCTCTTTTGAAGATTAATGGGATCACTGTAGTAAACAATGGCGACATTATAATACAAAATATATAAATCAATGCAAGCCACTTATTTTTCTTATATTTACTAATTGTTTTATAGTTTGTAATTGTGGGACGTTAATATAATTATGCATCGTATAAATTCACTATAAATTAATTTATCAACCTTAAGTATGCTGCAAGTTTTTTATATATTGGTTCAAAAACACTATAACTGTCTTTCTGAAAGTCAAATTAGGTAGTTTTGTTTGGAAAAAAAGCCTTTTGCTGCGAAAAGTTTTCGATGCGTTCTGTTACTATATTAATATTCGTAAATCCTATATAATTTAGTAATTAATCGCAATATATAAAAGCATTTATCCATCGAAAACGTTGCATCGTATATATAAAAGCCTGTCTTTACATCTCGACAAATGTGTATTGTCCAAAATTTCAGCCGTTCAATCCCCTGTAGAAGAAATAAAAGCAATTTTCATTTGTACTACACAGCTATTGATTGACTAGGCACATGGGTATATCAAGAAACTGTATTAAAAGAAGTACAGTTACTTCTACAGCCAAATGAACTAAAAGAGCCTCGTACCCAATTTTCGTAATAATATATAGAGGAATGGTGGCATATAAAAATAAATATGACTATATAAATTGCCTGTAAGCCTAGATAATGTATTGCTCAATTTCTTAATTTATAATATTTTACAATCTGCTAATATTAATATTTTAGCTTTACGTAAATAATGTTCACCCTATACAAAATGTGCTACAGTTACGATAAAATAGCTAGAAGGTATACAATGTATCTCGATTTTGACTTTTCGGTAAGGTTCATATAAAATTGGAAGCAATATTAGCTATGTACTCGTTAAGACGTCTAATATATATGTGCGTTAACAGTAAGGTTGTATATTATACACAAGTGTGGTATGATTTCATACGAAAAAGTCCCTTTTACGCCATTTCAAGGTGTGTTGTTACTTTTATGTTTATATAATAATGGATTTGCTGTTATCTAAGTGCAGAAGTAGCTTTACACAGTATCGAAACGAAATGTACATCAAAGTAGAATATATTTATAACACATTTGATTATATACAGACAAATAATGAAGAACTAAATCATGATAACTTGTGGCAGGATTCCTTAGACCTGAATTTTTGGGTGGAATATTTTTTTCAAATTTAAAAGAGAGCCTTTAGTAAAAGCAATTTAAAAAAAATACAAATAGCGAAGACATCGAATTTAAGAATCCAATCGAATTAGGAAAACGTTCAAATTTAGAATCTCCTTTTTGAATTTGGTTGAAAATTATACCGATACCTTCTAATCTAAAGGCACAGGCACATATATATTTAAGATACAATAGATTTCATTATTATTATTACATATTGTATTACAATCTTGCCTTATAGCACATACGCAAAAGTACAAAATATTTTCAAGCAAAGCAAATAAAACTAATGAATTATATTTAAAAAAAAACTATATATATATATGTAATGTTTTAACTTCATATAGGAAGTGCTAGTTTTACTAACCCAAAGTTATTTTTTAGATAAGGTACAAACACATTATTTACTCTATTAACTTAAAAATAGTATGGCTATGAATTATCAGCAATCAATTTGGAATGTGTAAACTTAATTACAATTAGGGGCTAATATAATTAGTCAATTACAAAACATAAATATATTAAGAAATAACTAACAAAATTTTTACAAAAGTCCCTTCAGTACCTAAAATCTATTCGATTTATAATCTATATACACTGTTTACAACAAAGTCAAGCGATTGTTTAGCTAGTGCTTAGCTTAAAGACAGTGTTTAGCTAGACTGGTGAAAGAGATTACATTTAATATGACACATATAGCCGTTTTGCTCTCACAAATCACAAACTTATCAACCAAAAGTTAAGCTGCTGCAAAACAAGTTACAATATTTGTAGCAGCCTTGCTGTATATTTAGGTGAAGCATAATTCAATATTTATAGAACAAAGTTTACACATCTAATTATTGTGATATTAACCGTGTTAAGTGTAATATATTTGAATTGAACATTTAAAAAATTATCAACATTTCGTACAATATGTTTGATAGGGATGTCTTTTTTTAATTAAGGTAGTTCTCCTTGTTTTTTGCTCACAATCCTCTTAGCAGATTTAAACAATAAGTACAATTGTTATACATCGTTTTGCAACACTTTTATAATCTTCACTCATAAATCTAGACAACACAACGACCTGTTACTAAAACACTGACATACGTATATAAATTGGTACGATTTTTTTTTTAATGGACAGAAGGATTCATATGAATGGACAGAAGGTGGTTAATTTGTATGGGCACGTCTAAATTCATCTTCTTACTTCTATAAAGCTGATTCTACATCCCAATAGCCAGCAACTCAACCATTTCCATTGGCTATGATACGCTATCTCTTTGCCTTAAGACCTCAAGTTGTGGCAGTATAGACACCTGTTTGTTGAAGAACTCTTCCAAGGCGGGCTGGGCCAGCATCGTAGCTAGAAATTGTTCTAAAGTTATCGACCATACGCCTTCTGGTTCTGTTTCTTTGGATGGCGAGGGCTTTGGGCTTTCTTGTTCGGCTTCTGTTGCGTTGCCGTTAGGGTCCAACTGCAATTATTATGATATTAGTTGCTTCTGTGACCTCCATGCAGTTTTCAATACTGCTAATATTGTAAATTTCACAACAAATACAATCAAATAATAAATGTATCAGATAACAAGTAAGGTAGATCTAACTGTTAGCAGTAAATAAACTTTTACACTTTGATCGTAGGTGGTTTTGTACGAACCTGTACTACAGGTTGCTTAGCAGCGGCGGCCAGGAAAAGGCTGTCTTGCGATATCTCGCGATCTAACAATGGGCGATGGTTCAGTTCACCCAGTTGTAATAGAAGTGTACCTGAAATTATAATAGGAGATATACAGAGTGTTACAGAAAGGCGATTTCATAATTTACAATTATAAAAAAATGTGTCAAAAATTTCACAGAAAAAAATGTGACTTTAATATAGATCGTATTTGAAAATTGATAAATTCGCTGATAAAGCTAATATTGTAGAAAGAGGGCTAAATAAAACTATGCTATACTACTATGAAGGGTGTCGACGATACCATTAGAAATATACATTCAGATTAAACATTAAATCCCTGCAAAAAGTTACATATTTTACGTTTCTGAAATCCAATTTTTATCGCTTTACTGCAGTGTGGAAGTGATTTCGTATACAAAGGGATGGAAGGTGTGCTCACTGGTCAAATCGTACTCGGTTTGACCGATGAGAGCGCACGGTGACATATGTTAGACGTAATCACATGCGACTACCGGACGGTATGAGGGCTGAGTGCAAGTTTATTTCACATCAAGTCGCTCTCGAAGGCGAGCGTGTTTTGCGTTGCAATCGGTGGAGATATCAGCGCAGGCCAACCGTAGCGCCGAACGCGATCACCGTCACGATCGAGTAGAAGTCGGAGTCCACCAAAGAGTACGCGAAGTGCTCACCGGCCAGGACGACGGCCTCGTAGACAACGGGGTCGCGCTGCGTGAGGTCGTGCAGCACGGCGAGCAGCTGCAGGAAGTGGTCGCGCGGCAGCGGCGGCGCCAGCGGCGGCGCGGCCGGCGTGCTGCCGCCCGACGCCAGCCCGCTCCACGCGCACGCGCGCACGCTCTCCGCCGACACGCCCGCGCCCATCGCGCCCATCGCGCCCATCGCGCCGCCTGAAGACATCGATATTCATGTCGACCTCCCGTCGTGTATCGACAAGGTGCAACTAACTTATTTTTTAGAATTTACTCCTTAAGAACCGATTTTCAAATAAGGCTTACTCTTCGTATAAAGAATATAATTTAGTGACCGAAAGAGCTCGTTACTGACTTTGTCACGTTTTTTGTGCACAACCTATCGTGCGCGCCTTCACTTTTTTTACCGACTTCAAAAACACAAAAGAGGACGTTCAATTCGTCTGTATTTCTGTTATTTATGTTTGTTAATCGAAAGGGTATGCTCCCGAGGTGGTCCCCTTACCACCAAGTGATGATGATGGGATCCTAGATAAATCGAGGGAAACCCTCAAATTTTACAGGGGCGACAATCTGTTTTAGCTTGTTTGTCTAGTTATGTAAGTTTATATTGCGTTTAGTAGTCGGTATGTGATGTTGCTGAGCTGATGATGGAAGGGACCTTTGGGACTAGAAGAGAATATTGCTATTATAATGTTACTTGTTATATTGAGGGTAATTATTATAGTTTTTTCTACTTAGATTTGTAATTATTTTTAGTGCTCTTTGTCAATACTGTATGAAGTCGGTTCATTTTTTTTAAAAACGATTTATTGTAATGAAAGTATGGAATTATGGTAGTATGGAATTTTATGTTCATACTCTTTATTGGTTTGATTTGTATGTATTATATAGACAGACGTAAGACAGCACAAGTATAAACCTTGATGGGTTTTTAGTAGTACTGAAATATGGTATATATGTATGAAAGTATTACTAAAAAGTGATAAGTTGCGCACAAAAAGGCTTCCTTTGAGGACATCATCTCCTCGCAGAAGGAAACGACGGCGCTCTATGCACTCTCGCTCCGGACCATATTCCAAATCAAGGTCGGCAGCGAGGCGCTACTAGCAGGACTGATTGCCGCGACAGAACATACATGAATAAGTTAAAGTATGAATACTCACAATATTGGCTGCTCTCATAATTTCTTTTGTCCATTTGACCACCGTCGCCACAAACATCACTTATAGACCTGTGCATGGCTACTGCCGACGCTTCCGGTGTAGAAGTTTCTTCCTCTAAACTGTGAACACATTTTTGATTTATTTTAAAATTGAAAATAAAACATCTTCATTTCTATTTCCACTGGTATTCAGACTCGAGTGGAAACGACACGAAATATACCTACATAGATAATTGAATTTGACTTTTAAATTTATGTTAAACGAATACGATTTCATCTTTTCAAAAAGTTAGTTTTATTTCGTATCAGTAGTATCCTCGATAACGACTTATCTCGCGTCAGCAAGAGAACACGAGTATAAGAATCGGTAGCACTTACAAAAGTGTCAATTTGCTCGTAATATACTCAGGCACGTGTAAGTCGAAGGATATTTATTTTATCGAAATAGTATAGGAGAAGAAAGAAGGCTCGTAGGTAGAAGAACGCGAACCTGTCAAAGAAGGATATGGCGTCGGCGGCGAGCTCCTCGCCGGTGTCGGTGAAGTGCGTGGGCACGAGGTCGCGGCGCGGCAGCAGCGGCGGCGCGTGGCACGCGAACAGCGCGCGCAGGCGGCGCGGCGCGTCGGCGCGGCAGCTCAGCCCCAGCGCCACCGACAGCGAGCGCGCGCTCACCACGCCGTCGTCGTCCACGTCCACCAGCTGCGACCGCACGCCCAGCGCTATTACCTCAATTCTAACTCCGACCGAACGGACCTAAATATAACCTACTTTGCTACACTACAGTTTGTGCGTGCAACTCACACACGGCAGAAGTGAAACTGCCGAAAAATATATTTTATATTTTAATATATATATTATATTTAATATTTATATATTTTTTTTTTATCTCAGAAAAACCCTATAAAATTTGACCCGGCCCGGGAATCGAACCCACTGAGGCAAGGTTTTACAAATTCCACGCGAACGAAGTCGCGAATACCGGCTAGTATTAAATATAAAGATAAAAATATGCACACTGTCAAAATGTTATATTAAATATAATGCATAATGTATTCTATCTCATTCTCTCGCCGTCTTAATCCTATACATTTATATGTTTGTTTCTTTATCGTGACGCATTTTTAATTAAGTTTCAAATCACAACGATTCTGAAAAAATTTCACTTCAAAAAAGACCAAACAGTGTGACGCTTCCACGATAAATAATAACAACAATATTAAAAAAGTGACATAAATAGCCTAAGTCGGGTAGATGCAAAACTAATATTTTTATAAATATAAACTTAATTAAGTTAAGGAAAGAAATGTATATTATTTTGTGTAACATCTAAAATCGTGCAAGATATTTGATTTATCAACGACCGAGAAAAAACCTAAAAAGACACTCTCACTCTCATAGAAAGACTCTCAAGAAACATATTTAAAAAATAAATAATCGTATCACCATCATAGACTCACTTTGAACATCCTAGCTGTGATGGCCTCAGCGAAATCTCCTTTGGCCCAAGGTGACAGTGCACTGAATAAAGTTTTAAATTGTGAGAAGTCAAGTCTGTACGCTTCGTAAGGAGCCTCCAACCGCTCGCACGGTACTCGCTTGGCCCACAAAAGTTCTTCCCGAATGGCACTCAATAGCTCCTAGAAAAACAGAATAAAACATTACGTTTATAATGTGGTCATAACTTATAGAATTTAAAAAAGTAATATTAATTTGAAAGTATTAAGTAACCTATACAAAGCAAGTGTGTACATTACAAAAAAAAAGCCGTGTGGTGTCGTGGGACACCCGATAGGAACGAAGTTGTGACGATCGAGTAAAACTGATTTGACACGATTTTAATTACAACGCCATCTATGAAAGCGGCTATTACCTACATATTAAAAACAATTATAACAATTTATACATTGGTAAAATCTCCTTGCGAAATGATTTCCTATGTATTCGATAGATGGCGCTAAATGTCTGACAAGATGACACGAAAATAAAGAGCAAAAAGCCAACATCACGTGGTATTCCCAGGCGGTCACCCATCCAAGTACTAACCACGCCCGATGTTGCTTAACTTCGGTGATCGGACGAGAACCGGTGTATTCAACATGGTATGGACGTTGGCGAACGTTAAAGCAAATTTAATGTATGGTATCCACAGTTAGACGTCAATTTATATTAAAAAGTGTCGTGACAAATTTTCGTACCAATTTTTTCCGTCTAGCTTTCACAACGCGCGATAAGGAACTTCGTTCCAAAAATATAAAACTATTATTTTTAAATTTGTTTTTTTTTAAAGTACCGGCACCGATCTTGAGTGCTGACCTTCACCTGCGATTTTTGGGTCCCTTTTAAGGTATGAAGTCTCTTTCAAGAATCTTAACGTCAGCCAGTGATTGGCTCACCGGTATTGTCGCTGCTCCTGATTCGTTTACTCGCACTTAAGTACGACGAGTACACTCCGAGCAAATTAATAGGGTCTTTCTTTTTTTACTAATAATTTAATAATTTCTACTTTCGCTATTCATCAATTTCATATTCTGATAGTTAGAAATTGAGATTTTTATGCGAGTGTATTAGATTGCGTAATGTATCCTCTAATATAAAAATTGAAAAATTATTCTATCCTTTCTAAGGAGAGGCTTGTGTCCAGCAGTGGACTATTAAAGGCTGTTGATGATGATGATTCTCTAATATGTACCTATAACACAGTACGACGATGAAGAAATGGACACCGTACCAGTACGGATTTTTAATTAAAAAGGTAATTTGATTGAAGCTCTCATTTCTATTTGACCCTAATAATTTTATAATTAAAATATTTTTTAAACAAAATTAATACTCACGTTTTTTCATTGAAATTTTAATTAAAACCATTTTCTCTTACCACAGAATAAATAAGAAGATAGTAACTTTACTACGTAACGTCTTATGGTTTTGATCTATTTTTATTCTGTTCTACTACTAAAAAATAAATAATAATAAATGGGTGTTCATTTTATTTTGCCTTAAGTGCACGATGCGCAAAGCGATCCCCACTCTACCGCCGAGCGCTCAAGATCCGTGCTGGTAGCTATACCATTGCCGAAGTAATAAATTCCAAGATAGTTATAAATAAACAACAGAAAATAAAAGTAAAAATCAGCTTTCAAATTATAAGTTCTTGGAGTTATACTCATGGTTCACTCTGAAATAAGCTTTTAGTGTTTAAGAACTTCAAATAGTGAGAGTTAAGTGATTAAATTCAGTACCTGCAACTCGTTAGGGTCGAGCAAATTGTCCTGCTGCAGAGCTCGGAGCGTATGCTTCTCAAGGCTATCTTCCAGTTGCCTGACCACCCTCAGTCGGTGCTTCAGTCGCAGGTGCTCGATGTTCTCACTGCTCACGCTGGTCCCAAATGTCCGGTATGACTGGTAGATCAGCTCTTGAATTTTTATTGTCTATATTAAAAAGAAAGAGGCGATCATTGTTCCACAGGTTCATAATTAAATTTGTTGTTTATCTATGATGTTTAAGATTTTAATTCCGCCTGCTATTAATATTATTTTTATGATTCTCAAATAAACATTTTCTCGGTGATTCACTATTATGCTAAAAATTTATTATATGGCTTATAGCGCATTTCCTATTACGTAAATCATATGGTGACTAATAAATAGGTAAGTGGCCTGAGATATCTACTTTTTCAGCAGTCCTAGGCTCCGTAGACAATGCCATAGCTTCTTCATTGTAGATGCCTTGTAGGTAGTCATTAAGAACTTGCATCGCCTGCCCGTCTTCTGTGCATTTGAGTAGCTTTTCGCTATTTATGTCAAGTATTGTCAATGTCACCTAGAATGAAAACACATTTTTAATGGTCAACTGTATATTGCGGATTATGTTGTAACTAGAAATTTTGCTCAATTTCTGTGCTAAAAAACCTGTTACCTTAGTAAAAACGTACAAAAAATGGCCTTGATTTTGTAGAGCTGAATTTTTACATAATTTAATTCAAAATGAAACATATTATTAATTATGATAAATAAAATTATTAATTTTATAATTGCAAATATTGAAAAAAAATCACTAATTATTAAAATAATATAGTTGTAGTATAATAAAAGAATGTATAGTGCAAAAGTTTTTTGTTCCTAATGTAACCTATTATTATTTTTCATACTGTGCAGGCGCAATGCCAGTGCTCACCTGAAATATAACTTTAGCACCGTCGTAGAAAAAGCAGTCCATGACATTAACAGCGCACTCGTATGGCATCACGCTGATGAAGAGAGTCAGAAACCAAGATAAGGAGATCATCTTCATCATGCCCAGTTCGTCCAGCTTAGCGTGGAGCTCAGGTAAGTGAGCCTCCGTTAGTTCTTCTAGGACCCCTTGATCCACCTGGGTATGACAATATTAAATCTATAGTTGTGTCGGACAAATTAGACATATATTCTCTTGAATGGAAAGCAAATAATGTTGACTAGATACGACAAAGCTACGAGACACTACTGAAAACCCATGGAAAACAATAGATATTCAGTGTATGTATTATCCGTGGGGATTAAGAATACGGCGTGTCACCGCCCCTATTCATCCCGTGAGTGTAGTAATAGCCGTCTCAGGCAGCAAATTACTCAGGACTGTTGTCCACTGCAAAGGGAAGGAAAACTTGAAACAAACCCCAGATCAACTCGTCTGGCCAGCGTTGTATAGTAGGCCAAAACCTCCTTCTTCAGGAGAGGCCTATGTCAAGCTCGTAGACTGCTAAAGGCTGTTGATGATGGGTTGCATGAGATGAGATAGGTATATGCTCTAAAATTGGAAAATCAATCAGGTGTTTTGTTTTTACACAGTTTATAAGTAGCTTCCAAAGCGCGATTAAACAATTAACGAAGCGTGAAAACGCATTTTTAGTTTAAACAATAATGATGTCTTCAATGTTTCACATATTGACTTTATGTGTTTGTCTCAACAAGTCTACTCTTGTATCAAGTATCACGTCATAAACTGACGAGTGTAAGCAACAGCCCGAGAAGGTCAAAGTCGTCACTCGAATTGATAATAGCTATAGCACAGAAACAGTCAGTCAGTCAGTCATACTACTAACCCATACTTTTGTTCCCTATAACGCCAGCATTCACGCTGAAGGTAACATATCGAATCAGGCAACATTACTATGACCTCATCTACTCTAATTAACAAGGATATTTTTCTTACCAAGGCTCCAACAACTCTTGTGTTATAGTAATCTGGTAACAAGGTTTCACAGATGGTTGCTAGCAACCAGAAGGCTTGCTCTTCAGGACAATATATAAGGAGTACTGATGCCACTATGTTCATTGCCTGACAATATCCAATTGTCGGGTTCTTCAGTGCGTAGGCGCATAGCACGCGACGGAGAGCTGAGATGCCTACGACAAAAAATACTAAGTAAAAATAGATAGACAATTAATAGAAATACGCTTATTAACATAGTTTTAGTCGTAATCATATAACACTAAATATAAATACATTTTTTTTATAAACATAGGAACACCCACCAACATCATTCTGAAAGGCCATATGTTCTGGCAAGGACCTATGCAGATCCCTTTCAATCTCGTCGTTTGCTTGATTCTTCGAAGACAGCGCCTCATCAACATGCTTTTTATATAAGCCTTTGTTCTGTGTCTTCTGCAATGTTGAACCTGAGAAAACGCTCCATAGCTCTCCACGCAGTGATTCAGGAAGGCCGTTAACGACCAGTTCGCTTCCTTCTGTGGTTTGGTACATACTGACACCACGACCCACTTCAGCCATGTGGTCTTCCCATTGTTTTTCCTTAAAGAGAAATTATTTAATAAAACTTTATCAATGGCTTGGTTTTTATCAGTGGGTAAATTGTATTATAATTTACTCTATAGATCAACATGAATAATAAAAATGATTAGAAAAATCTCGCTTTACTATTATGGAGTTCACAAAAATAAAACAGCGTTTGTAAACGTTGAAAACTACTACGCAGCCACTACTACTACTAAGCTACATGTCTGTGTGGTGATGGATTAAGAATACGGAGTGTCACCACCCATATTTATCCCATGAGTGTCGTAAGAGCCGACTAATGGAGCAAACTAAGCAGGATAACAGCACTGAAAAGAGAAGGAAAACTTGACACAAACTCTATACCAACCTCCTTTCTAAGGAGAGGCCTATGTCCAGCAGTTGAATATAGAAGGCTGTTAATGTGATGTGATGTGATATTGAAAACATGCTTTAAATATTTATAAGAGGCAAAGAATGCGCTACCAATATCTTCTCAGTCATTTAAACAACGATGCAAGCTTCGAAAGGATTAAATATTAAGAATGAAATTCCATAGTTGTTTTAGTATAAGTTAAAACATCGCTAACTAATCATTCAGTGGTAGCTTGCCATACACTTATTACTCATCAACAAAGTGAGCGCCTAAAATATAAATGTTTAATTCTAAACGTATACTCACTTTTTTCAGTTGTATCTGCCTGATAGGTGAAGTCTGGTGCGTTTTGAAGAGCGTCATGAGAGGGGGCTGAGGCGACCATCCCTCTACTTCGGTGCGCTGCAACGCCTTCGTAGACTTCTCCCTGTACACATCACTATCATTCACGCAATTGAGTCAGTGAACATAAATCAACCTTAATATATCAAACCCAGAGTTAAAATTTTGTTAACCAGTCAAGGCAGGAACGTGCTGTTATATGTAGAACCCTGTTATAGAAATGAAAGAAGAAAAACACGCATTTGTTTGGTTTCGAAATAACTTGAAGCATGCATTGCGTATCTGCCGCGGCAGAAAACAAACCCTGAGGAATTAATAAAATACAATTAACAGACACAAAGTACATCCATTGTAAGAAAAACTCCACAATAGTTGTGAAGTTATAGAAACAATTCGAATATTTGAAATGTAACTTTGCTGCAAACATAGACCTAGATTATTAAAAAAATTAGCTATCTTAGAGTTATTAAATGACAAAATTTCTTACCTACGTAGAATTTTGTCATTCTGAAAATGTTACAATTTGTGTAAGTATTTAGGAGAGATCTATGTTCAGCAATACATATGTATTGTTGAACATAGATCTCGTCGATCGAATCGTTGAGAAAACAAAGATAAATAACATACAAGATGATTAAATTAATGAAAGGTTAACGTGTTAATCAATGATTCAATAATATTAGTAGTCAATCATCTAAGTGTGCTATTAGTCTCAGAACATGCATCTAACAAAGTATTACTTACTTTGGTAACTTGGCAAGGAGTTCTGAAATCTTGTGCACCAGGAAGTCTCTGTCAGATATACTGCCGAAGAGGAAACTTGTGTGGTGTGCAGTGGTTATGAGGATGCTTCCAGAATCGCCTGACGAGCTAGCTGTTCCTCCAGAGTCAGCACGTTCTACTTGATGAACGTTTCGTAAAGGTATAGTAAGACGGACTAGATTTGAGACCTGGTAAATAAAAATATTAATGTCAATAATCCTTCTATTACGCCTATAGACTGCCTCGGTGGTGCAGTGGTAGCGTATGGGACTGCTGTGCTGAGGTCTCGGTTTCGATTCCGGGTCGGACCAAATGTTTGTATGATCTGCAAATATTTCTTTTGAAGTTTGGGTGTTTTATCAGTCAAGCTAGCTTTCATAATACAAGCTCTGCTTAGTTTGAAATAAGATGGCTTGTGTGTTAGATGGCTTGTGTAACGTGTCAGAAAAATGAATGAGCAAGGCGACCGCCTTGACTTGCATGGTTAGAAATGTGTATGGATGTTTGTCGTTATATCATCATTATTTTAGTCACGATACGTCTGCATAGAGTAAAGCTCTTATGAGACTTCTAGAAAAAGTATCCTTCATATTACAGCTGTGGATTAACAGCGACGATTGGGCTCGATCTTAATCCAAGTTTACCCCCGATTAGTCATTGGTGGCTCATTGCCTAGGTTTGCTAAACTAATGTTATTAGAATGCACTTATCAAACAAGCACTTACTCTAACAATTCGTGATAATGCATAGGGGAAAAGTGTGCTAATTTACTTCCCGTGAACAAAGTATAACGCAGTTTGTATTTTACTATGTTGTTGGCAAAACTGTTTGGTAACTAAAATACACAGATTATAAGCATTGTAAAACAACTAAGCTATATATTTAAATCATCTCCGGGTTTACCACACACATGCGTAGATAAAATTGCATTAAAAATGAATTAACAATAATAGAAATCGGTTGCAGCGTCACCTAATTGTAAATTAACCATCGAGGGACTAACTTAAACACATACCTACGAGATTCATCAAAGTCGGTTCAGAGATGTAACAGTTCAGTGACTTTCAGAAGAATTATAGGTATGTATGAAAAAATCTAAATTTAAATCTTCTAACTACCTAACTTTAAATGACCAATTCTTGTGGTTATATGTACATTAGGTTTATTTCGGAACCGACTCCTGAAAACGATTTGGGTGAAATTTTGAAGATTACGGTTTACTTTTTAATGTTTCTTTAAAATACGGTAATATTACGGTAATAATCTTATTGGTCACTGCTTCCCTCGTAAGTGTTGTAGTGTGATATTATAGCCTATAATATTCCTCAATAAATACTCCCAGCCAATACAAAATGTCTCACTGATAGTTCTAAAGGTTATCGCGTATGAGTAAACAAACAAACAAAAATTAGTATAGATAAAACGATGGGCAAAGTTCGGTCGCGTCGATATTAATGATTTTTGATACATTTATTATAAGTTATATTTTATACGTTACACACGGCTTAAATAGAACAATTCAATAATTATGGCTAACTATAAGTAGTAGTAATACTTTGTATAAGATAAAAAGCAACAAAAAAATCGTTCCTATTCTATTAGATTCTATCATTCAGGCATACATACTTCTTTGCCACTTTAGTACACTCTTATTATCAGAATACAAATATATTTTAAAGTATTCATACATAAAAGATTATTCAGTTTGTTATCAAGAACAACAGAGGTTACATAAACTGGTTTGTGAGTCAACAATGATAATACTAGAATATAATAGCTTTTAAAACACTTGTTACAAATTGTAAGCGCGACCAATAAGTAAAAATTTAAACCTTGTAAGCATGCCCATAAAGCAGTTAATTGAATGATTACTGAGCACGTGCAAGATTACATTCTACAATATTAAATTCAAATCAATGTTTATTTTTATATACATTAAGGATTGTAGGATTGATTCGAGACTGGGTTTTCGTATCTTTTGTTTGTAATGTTGCATAAGTGTAGAAGTAAATAAAACAAGATCCTAAAACCAAACCAGTCAGCATTGTCTTTCTGTCCCTAGTAAATACTATCCTAGCTATGGCAGTCGTCAAGTTAGCAGGTAATTTTCATTCTTGTTACTATATTTAATATGAAAATATTTCAAAATAATATAAAAATCTTACCCGGCTGTCAAAACAAATAAAGTTTTGCGACAAATACAGTCTTCCCCAATTATGTCTCTTATTGTAGGGTGTCCATAAAGTACATTCTTCTGAGCCATCCAACTTTTCATTCTGTGGTAATCTGAACCTTAATGTAAATAAGTTGGACTGTTTTCTAGCATCTAAGTCTCTCTTAAGGAAGGAAGGTTTCTTTGGTACGTTTTTGCTTAGTTTCGTTAATAGATCCTTATCAATATTGAAGCTTCCCGACTTGTCATCTATTAACCTGCAAATGAGTAAAAGATATGGTTATTCATTCACATTCATATCAGAATTGAAACCTCTAGGTAAAAGTCTGTTATCGAAGAAGACAGAAGTAGCAGTAGCCAATAGAATATTTTTATAGGGTAGTTCATCGTAATCTAACGGACAGTTACAGATCAAAGATACTTTCTAAGCTGTCGCGAATGTCGCTATAGATGCGTAGTAATTGTAGTACTTGTCATGTACTGTTTTGTTTTTTATATAGGTGGATCAAATAAAACAATAATCACAGGATCAGGCTAGTGCGCAGTATCAGGCATTCCACTTCGAGAACATTGGCGCCAAATGTCAAGTTATCACGTTATGATAGGCCGTAGAAATAAAATTATACTAACTATACTGGTAAACTATATATGTGGTATGTGACAAAACTTTAATTCGCCGGCCGTATCCGCGCCTATAAAAAAGTCTTATTTCAAAGTCATACAAAGTCGCGTTGGATGCAGGGTTCGCCTAGGAGACCGGTTTTCACCTTGGCATCATGGGCCTACGAATTATTTCCTATCTGCGTGGGTGCAAAGTATTGACGACATAAATTTTGCAGAGTTGTATTGTTTTTTTAGCGTGCTGGTATTTCGTTGCTTTTGTCCATGCTTGGTAACATCCTGCTTTCGGCAAGACGCCGATTTGCAGGATCTGTCGAACCAAGGCTTGGATCTGCCACCGATGGAGATTAATGAAAATGGTAGTTCCATGTCCTGAAGCACTACATCGCAAGCAAAGAAAGAACGCATTCCATCCCAGTCCACTAACCTATGGTGCCATACGCGGTAGCAGCCTGCAACTCGCGGCCGCTGCAAGCACATCAGTGTACGTACTGCGGATTAGGCAATGACCCGAGGAGCAAAGTGGGGCCTCAACAGTAATTTTATAAGCGTCAGGATTAGAGATCGGCAGAAGGTCTAACAGTTGAGGTTCATGACTTTCCACATCTGGGACTGGGCGTTAATAGCAGTTGTGGCAAGCCATAGGTCAGGGTGAAATCGTGAACAGGTCTCCCCGCGTGAGCCAAGCCATTCGGCGTTGTAAGCGTTAAAGTCGCGAAGTATCACGATCTTTGCGGATAGGATGTGCTGCAGTATAAAAAACTTTAGCCATTTGGACGTGGTCTATCAGTCGGTCAGTTTCTGTATCACCGCTGTGGGACCTGTAGAGGCATGCGTACACGCTGGGGATGGTCGTCGCTATGGACCTGAAATCACATGGTCCGAGTCCTCCCAGAGGAGTCACCACATACTCCTAGTTCCCTCAGTCTCCAAGGAGCCCGAGATCAGAAGGGATATCCCACCCCGTCAACAAAAAAAAGGTAGGAGAGATAGGATGTGTGCGATGGAGATGACATTTGTGTCTCCGTCACCGGAAACCACACTCACTCGGTGAAATGCAAACAATCTTAACGACCGGTTTTCTGTCAGGCCGTGCTATCGCAACGGTCGAGCCGGCCCATTTCTGTCGAAGCATGTCTCTCCCACTGTAAGGTTTTGGCCTACTATGTCACGCAGTCCAAACGGGTGTCCAGGGTTCGTGTCAAGTTTTCCTTCTCTTTGCAGTGCTGTTGTCCTATGTGGTTTGCGCCTTTAGTCGGCTCTTATGACACCCACGGGATGAATAGGGGTGGTGACACTTCGTATTCCTAATCTGTCACCACACGGACAAAACAAACAAACTGCGTTTAAGATGGATAGACTGTCTAATACTCAATACTAAAACCTTGTAGAGCATATTAACATCACAGCTGTTAAGTGGATTCAATCACAAATTCATTGTGTCTTATCGGTTAGCTTAGTTTGGGCGTGACCATATCGCAAATTACAATTGGTATTGTCTTGGTATCTGTATTGGTTCCTAAACAACGTACGAACTAATCAATATTGATAGATAACAGCTGATTCATTAAACACCCGCTTTGTTCTGTTACAAAGCCATCTAAACCAACTATAATATTGGATATAGTTCAAACTGGTTAGTGGTTAGACTAGAGGCTAACGGCCGTCTGGCCACTCCGGCATTCGGCCAAGTTCTAAATCGGTTACCGGGGAGCTAACTTTCAGAACTATATGCAATGACACTATACATATAATCACTTTATTGTAATTTACAATAAAATCAATGTGGTCATAATTAGATACCTTTGATTTAAGTAACACTATAATTATGGTACCATAGTAGGTAATTGTAGATGCACCATAATTTGCCTGTAGTTGTAGTTTTATATATTCGTGTGGTGATAGATTAAGAATACCGAGTGTCACCACCCCTATTCATCTCGAGAAAATTACGCAGAACAACAGGACTACAGCACTGCAAAGAGAAGAAAAACTTGAAACAACCCTTTTTTTTTTTTTTTTTTAACGTGTGGAAATCCCCTCGGACCGTCACCCCTCCGGGGTTTGCGGCGGGGTGGTGTGTCGGACTCGGACCGACTAAAACCACACGGTGTGCCACTCTGCGCCTGTAACAGGAGGGATCCGGGAACAGCTGTTGTTAAGACATCCGGACCCCTCCTAGCGCCAGCCCGCTCCTGGTGCGGGCTCCGTCTCAATACATTTTCCTCTCTTTAGGCGACGTCCGGCACACGCGGACGCCGCCCCCTCGCGGCTGGCCAACTAATGCGGGTGGAGGGGAAACCCACCCCGTCCACCCGCGGCCACACTCAGGGCGGCATGAGGCTGTGGTAGGCGGGCCTCCGCCGCCCGGTTCGCCGGCGGCGGATCGGGTCCGAGTGGAGGTCGTCCTCCCGGGCCCTCTCCGCCGCCTCCTTCCGCGAGATTACTACCTCGCAGAAGGATGCGACCGCGGTAAAACAACTGTCGCTACCGGCCATGGAGCGTACTACGGCCGGTAGCGAGAGATCCACTCCGATGACTGCAGTGAGGGCCCGGCGCTGCGCCGCCCATGCGGGGCAGACCGCCAGCGTGTGCTGGGCCGAGTCTTCACTGCAGTCGCAGTGGTGGCAGGCGGGACTCAGTTCCCTCCTAGCGACCGTGTGCAGGTACTTTCCGAAGCAACCATGCCCGGAAAGCACCTGCGTCAGTCGGAAGGAAAGGGTCCCGTGCTGCCGCCCTGCCCACTCGGCGATGACCGGCTGGAGAGCCTCCACGGCGGCGAAGCCAGCGCGTGGAGTCTCCAGCCGGAACGACCAACGAGCCATCGTGGCTCGGCGAGCGGCTTCGCGCCACTCGCGCACATCCTCGGGCGGAGGGCGAAATCCGCTCTCCGCCCGGAAGTCAGCCACTCGCCGATAAACTTCGGCGAGCACTTCCGCCTCCAAATCCCACGGGGGAGTTCCGGCCAATGCGCACGCCACCTCCGTCGAAACGGTGCGGTAACCGCGTATGGCTCTGACCGCCATTACCCTCTGAGGGCGCCAGAGGCGTACCCTATTCTGGGCGGTCAGAGCCGCCGCCCACACCGGTGCACCGTACAGTGCCATTGACCGGACAACCCCCGTGTACAGCCGTCTTGTCGCGACGCTGGGTCCACCCATATTGGGCAAAAGTCGCCCTAGGGCAGACGCAGCGCCGACCAGCTTTGGAGCAAGCTGTCGGAAGTGCTCGTCGAAGAGCCACCTCCCGTCGAGGATCAGGCCCAGATATTTCATCTGGGCCCGAACCGGTACGAGGACCGAGTTGACCACTATTGAGGCGCCAGGGGGTGGACCACGACGGGGCCCATGGAATAACAGGGCCTCCGTCTTATCTAGGGCCACCCGTAAGCCCAGCGCCTCAATGCGCCCGACCACCAGGGAGACTCCCCCTGTGGCCAGGCGCGCCGCCTCTTGGAAGTTTGCCCCCCGGGCTGTCACGAGGGTATCGTCTGCGTAACAGATTACACCCAGCCCGGGGGGGAAATCGGCGCGAAGGGCCCAGTCGTACCCTATGGTCCACAAGAGGGGTCCAAGAACAGACCCCTGTGGAACACCGCACGACATGGGCCGACACCTCAGATTACCTTCTCGGTCCTCGTACACGACGGTACGCTCCTCTAAATAGTCTGCCACCAGCCGCCTCAGGTACTTTGGCACCCCATGATAGTGGAGTGCTTCCCTGATGCAGCTGAATGGCAGACTATTGAATGCGTTGGCGATGTCTAATGACACCGCCAACAGCACGCCGCCACAGCTCACGGCCTCTTCGGTCACGGCCCTCAGGCGCAACACGGCGTCGACTGTCGAACGCCCCGCCCGAAAACCAAATTGGGCGTCCGACAGATCGGGGCCCACCTCGCAGAGGTGCCGGACGATGCGGGCAGAAAGAACCCTCTCAAACAATTTGCCCGCCTCGTCCAGCAGCACGATGGGCCTATAGGCCGCGACCGAATCGGCAGGCCGTCCCGGCTTCGTCAGTAGGACCAGCTTCCCGCTCTTCCAGCACTCAGGGAAGCGTCCCGACGCCAAGCTAGCGTCGAACACCTCCCCGAGGCGGTCTGCCATGTGGTTGAGGGCCAGGGCCAGCACTCGGGCCGGTACCCCGTCTGGCCCAGGGGCGGTGTTCTTGGAACGGATCCGTAGAACAGCCGCCCCTACCTCCGATTCCCGGACGGGCGGAACATTGTCCTCCCCGTGCTCCCCGTCGTCTCCGGCCAGGGAGGCCATCGACGGGGGAGTGTGTTCCGCCCGTTGTGGGAAAAGGCCCTCAACCACTTCTCGCAGGAAGCTGGGCTGGAGAGTCTCCGTAAGGGGGGGGCCCGACGCGCGGAGCTTTTGTCGCACCGCGCGGTAAGGGCGACCCCAGGGGTCACGATTAAGACCCTCCAGCATCTCCTGTCTTTTTTCCTCTTTGGCGCGGCTAATGGCCAGCTTCAGAGTTTTCCGCGCCCGTCGGTACTCCTCATGAAGCCGGTCCTCCTCACCGTCTCCACGGTGACGCCGCCGACTGCGCGTGTAGGACCTCCGGGAAACAACCCTATACCAACCCGTCTTGCTAGCGTGGTATAGTATTGTAGGCCATAACCTTATTTCTAAAGAGAGGCCTATGTCCAGCAGTGGACTACTAAAGGTTGATGATCATATAGTTATACTGTAAATATATGCATATGTTTATCCCTTTTTCTATTATGTAATTGTAATTTTATTTAAAGTTGTATTGTATTTAATCGTATATTTAGTGCTGAATTAATAATTTTATAGTTATATGATACATGAATAAAGCTATTAATGTTACTATTTGATAAATAAAGTCAGTCATCATGGGTTATTTATTAAAAATAAAACTCTGTTTATTAAGAATTTAAGGATGAATGAACAATAAAAATTATTCATAGCGGTTATACAGCAGAATAAAAAGAAATGCTATGATGTGTCACTTGTCAAATACATGTTAGAATATTTATTGTTATTTATGTGTAAGTTGAAGTTGGTTGTAATTTGGTTTCAATTAATAATAACAAAAAATAAATAATGCTAAATTAAGAAGCACTTTGTCCTGCTATGAAGTTACTGAAAATGGCTTATGTTAGAATGAATAAGGTTTAAACAGGTCGCGACATTTCTAAATTGATATGTTAATATTTTAAGGGGTAAGAAAGAGTGGATTTGAATTTGGTGATTATTTACGATTAATCTGTTTATTTTGAACTAATATCTGATATCAAGTACGTTATCGGAGAATAGTCTAAATAAATTTGTCAGTCATGCCCTTGCTAACAGTTAAGCTATCACACTAATATTATAAATAATGAGTTTATGAGTGTGTGTTTGTATGTTTATTACTTTAATTAAATAAATTAAATAATAAAATAAATAAATAATTAAATAAATAAATTATTACTTCTTCCCGCTCAAATGGCTGGACCAATTTAGATACAAAAATTATGGTGGTGGCACCCTGGATTAACACAAAGGCTACTTTTTATCTCGAAAATATGTAGTGTTCCTGTAGGATAAACTGCGGGTAACACCGCAGTGGGCAGCGCAGCCGAGGTTCACAAGCCCACTTCCAAAATTATCATCGATCTTTGTCTGAAAAGAGATCTGTCCTTGACGACCGAATGGCGTAGTGGTTTGTGTAACGGACTGCTATTCCAAAGGTCGCGGGTTCGATTCCCGCTCAAGTCAAACATTTGTGTGCATGCATTTAATGTTTGATTTGGTCTGGGTGTTTCTATGTATAATATGCATGTATTTACAAAAAAAAGTATATATGTATTTTATCATATACAATCCATAGTACAAGCTCTGCTTAGTTTGGGACTAGATGGCGTTTTGTAAATGTGGTACAATATTATTATTATTATCTCTTTAAGCTACTCGTAGCCTTATCCGATGGATTAGGAGGAGAATATTCGCGTCATTATAATTTTTTAAATTTTATTCCAATTTAACCGTTATTCAATATAAATACAGAAGTTGCTGCAGTTGTTTGACGACTGGATGGCGTAGTGGTTTATATATTATATTATATATATATATATATATCTATACTAATATTATAAAGCTGAAGAGTTTGTTTGTTTGTTTGAACGCGCTAATCTCAGGAACTACTGGTCCGATTTGAAAAATTCTTTCAGTGTTAGATAGCCCATTTATCGAGGAAGGCTATAAAATATCATCACGCTAAGACCAATAGAAGCGGAGCACCAATAAAGAATGTTTCAAAAACGGAGAAAATTTCTTACTATTGAGAGACGCAGACGAAGTTACGCGGGTCAGCTAGTATTATATACATAGGTATCCTGCAAATAACCGTGCTATTTTATAAAAAAAAATATAAATTATATATTATACATATTTTTATGTGTTAAGTGGCAATAATTATACCTAAAACACAAGATTTGATACCTTTGAATAATACATGTCTTTACATAGTATAAAAAAAGTCGCTTTTTTATGTTGTACGTTGAGATGTTTATAACTAAGCAACGGATTTTAATGCGGTTTTTACCAATAGAGAATCACTCATTCAAGAGGGAGGATAATATGTATAATTCGTGCATATTATAGCAGAGAAAAGAATTTCAAAGATTTGCCGTAAAAACATGTTTTTGCGCGCTTACATTGCAAATGCTGGCTAAACCTTACGAGATAGACCAAAATATTGTACTGCAGTATTACATATCTTAAAAAGGTCTGCAAAAAAGTCCGCGAAAGTATATATATGTCTATCTCCTAAGGATAACCGACAGTAACCATTTTTATCTTTTAAATATTACAAAAAATAGTGGGTTATTTACGAAGCTATTTTAAACAATACATTATGTATTATGTAATGCACTGTATCTACATTCTGTGCACAGACTAGCGCTGTACAAAGTTGTTTATTATGTATGTTACTAATTTATGTATTGGCGAGGAGAGCATATCATTTACGTATTATGTTTTAATGTGTAAACGAACTCTGTCATAAGCTTTGTAAGATCGCATATGTATTACTAACATGTAACTGTTAAATCCTTATCCTATAAAAAATGACCGAAAAATTAGTATTCTCTGACATACTTACTGCTTCATAGCAATATTGGCAAGCTGTTGCATCAAAGCGAAGGTCTCGTTTTTTCTTAGGAACAGCGTGAAATAGTGTTCTCCATCTCTTGTCACTACTTTTATAGAATCAGGGAACAGAATACTATTAGTTTTCGCAAGTTCTGTGACATCTGCCCATCGGATCTTTATAGATGTTTTGCGTCCAAATATATATGAGTAAAAGCACATATAGTGTACTGAAAGATACATCCATCCTTGTCTAGGCATTTTGCCTTTCCAGTAACTGTAACGCGGGAAAATACATATATTATTGACCTAGATCTACCTACCTACCTATAGATATATATATACCTATAGATTTATTACCCTGAACAAGTAGTAATACACTAGTCAGACTAAATCTAGCTCAATGTTCAAGCACTACCTAAACCGCATTTTATTGTTCTAGGAATTCGAAAGCATTTCGTGCCCTCTTTTACGTAATGTTTGTGTTACGATAACTGCACAAAGCCAGAATAGAGATAATGACCAAAGGCGTATAAATAATAGTCTTTAACTTATTTACACTATCGTTTGTTTCCCAAATAGGACATCAATTATTTAACTGATGCACAGATATTTGTGAACGTTGGTTTTATCCCGTGTAATACCCGGTCGTTGCGCTGGTGCACACATTTTAGTTTAAGAGGAAAGATATCTTTTATTGTACATTATTGAGCACTTAACATTGGACACAGTATAGCTCTTTTTCCTTCAGAAAAAAAATATATATTATAGTGTTATATGGCATATTTCTTCTCCTTTGTGTTGCACTGTGTTAAATTTCCGTTAGTAAAAATTGTATGATAGTTGGGAGACTCCCTAATAGGCACACAAGCAATTGTTTTTAGAATAAATTCAAATCAATTCATTTAAAGACTTTCCATAGACGGTAAAGCGTATCATATAATATCACATACGTTCGACTGGGTCGAACAGACGGCTACTCTCTTGGATGAGTCACCCAAACACAAGTAACTAATTGACCAGGTTAATTACGTTCAGCTGAATACAGTCACACAAATAAATAGTACATACCTGCAGGAGTAATAACAAACCAGCTTCTCATCTTTCGGCATTCTAAATTTTTCGTGAAATTCGACATTTTTTAATGTGACGGTGTCTTCCTCTAAAAAAGATAGTTTTTCAATTTATACAGAAAAAATTATTAGTCAAGTCTAAAAATTGTTCAGACACCGGTTTTTGTTCAAATTCGTCAAAAACTAATTAATTTCGTCTTGTCCAATTAGAACCTTTACATGCTTTTCCTTTGGGTGATAAAAAATCGCTTCACGAGTCAAAACCATTTTTGTAATAATAATACCCTAAATCTAAAAAATATCTTAGTCTACTTAAGAACTATTTATCTTATAAGCACACTAAATTCAATATTGACACTGAAATCTGCATCATAAATCTAAAATTATTAATATGGAGAGGAACCCTTCTCACTTTAACAGTACATTACTGTTTCAATAAAAATACCAGCAAAAACTTGTCTAGGAAATGTGTTGTTAACTATATGATACACAACAACATCAACTGTAATATTATTATTTTGAAATATAGGATGTGTAATATTTATATAGCCTGCACAACTCTATTAATCAATGTGTGATCAAGAATTTGGACCATTTTTTAATCTATTTATGCTTTTTCTAATGGTCTAATTAGTTAGGTGATAAAATAGTCATGTTTGCCTAGTAGTTAGCAATACTGAATGCTAAACCAGAGGTTGTAGGTTAATTTCCACCCAGGACACATAATTGTGTGATGATCAGTTGTTCTGTCTGGGTGTATACATGAGTAATATATAAGTATGTCTATCAACAGCCTAATTATGATGAATTTGTAATGTTATTTCATCGGCACTGTGTAAGATGTCACGAGTTATTATTATAGTACTGATATCACCTTCTGTTATGATATTACCTTCTGTTAAATTCTCCTGTTCTGTTGCAATGATGGAGTTAATTTTACAGCAAACAAAGGCAGTGACTTCTTCTTCGGTGTCAAATAAATGCAGTGTTGGACATATATTTTCAAACAGCCATAACCAGTCCTGACGTATCTCAGGTTCAGTTACAGCCGTGGCAATCACTAAGGCAATAAATAAATGAATTCTAATTAATTACATGACATTGTTCAGATAAATCATTAAGGAATATCACTTTCATTAAACTTTAATTTATCTAAGGCTTATTCACATCACTATCATTATAAAATATTTCATACATATTCTGAATATAATGATTATTATAACATAGGGTATCTTTCAAGCAGAAAAAACTACTATTCCTTAGGGATGAAAATATTATTGTCAAGTGAAATCTCAAGCTCAGGGTGCCAAATTGAGGACAATTCTTATAATTTAATAAAAGGCTATCCTGTAGTTTTTTTGTAATAAGCTCTCTTTTTATTGCAAATATTTTTTGTGGGTGCACATTAGTGTGTGGTGGGCACTATGTTCAACCAACTAAAAGCACATGGTGTATCATTCTGTGACTGACAAGTAGTGTTGTTACTCACAACAATTTTCCAATCATGCTTAACTGTCTTTTTTGTAAACTTAATTGTAATTGCAAATTTAATTGAAATCACTCAAGTCATCACGAAAAAGAACATAGTCTTGGAAAATTAGATATGGTTAATAAGAATAAATAAGTGTTATTTTTCCAGAAATATTACCTATTAACTGGTTATAGTGACAAGTCACACTAAAGTAAAATCTGATTTTTAATAATTATTTGTTGTGTCAATTAGTAAAACTTCATGCACATTTATAAAAAGCGATTACAGTAAAACATAAACTAATATATCTTAATGGAATATTCTGCATTTTTTGTACAAATTAAAAATTATTATTGGTTTTTGTTATTAATATATTTGACAAATGTAATTTTAAATTACTTTCATATTATTCCCTCAGCAGTTAGCCGAAACAATTTTATTTACCATAATATATTTCAGAGTTAGGAGTTTGATGTAGAATTCTATACGGCGCTGGCTTAGTGTCACGAACACTGTCTAAAGTACCCACTAAAACCGAGTAGAACCCCTTCGATTTCTCATGTCCTTTTCTTCTTTGAAGAACGAAATATAATGTCGTTTCATCAGTATCCCTAAGACAAATGAAAAAAATATATAATTTCACAACGTAGAATACAATTAATAAGGAAGCAATTAATGTAGCTATCGTAAACAGAATTACCACATCGCAGTTTTCAAGAAAACTTCTTGAGGTTTAACCCACATTTTGATTGTTTGAAAAAACAGCAATGATTTTAAAATTAATTATCACTCAAAACAACCATATTTCACACTTGTCGATTTTTTAAACAGAAAATTATAACAAGGACACACAAACAACAATGTCTTTTGACAACTTTGACAAGTATTTGTTTTAAGGAAATGTCATTTTAAACAATCAATCTGGCCCATAGGCTTTTAGCAAATGTTATGACGCTTATGTCAAGCGTTACCTTAAAAGATGGATGGGGTGGATAAATTGGTAATGAATGGCTAATGGGTCATCATTGTTGATGGTTTATTTTATCCCAGTCTAGAAACTTTCTTCTATATATCATTTATACAGAAAAACATTGTAAAGATTTACGGCTATGTCCTCTGTAGTGTACAACTAAGAGATGGAACACAGATGTTAATTCTAATCATGTACATCCAGAACTTTACATTTGTATTTTTTAAACAAGCTGTGACACATTAAATACATTTAAAGCATGTGGAAAATAATGTATCTCTAATAAACTAACTCTTACGCGCTTTATTTAAAAACATAAAGGACATCATTCACGCTCCACACAAAAAGTACCCAAAAAAAAGTGCCGGCCAACGAAAAAAAATGGTTTTATCGGTTAGAGAATGAAATGAAATTTTTTCTTTAGACGACTAAGAGCTAAGACCGATTACTTATGAGTTATATGACTTAGAAATAATAAAAAAATGCATTTATACGAGTTCATCTGAACAATTTTTACTTCATTACTATAGCAAAAATGAAATAATGATGATAAAGAATAACTTAATTTCGCTTAATAATAATATAATATGACAAAAAGCCTTCATTTCGTTATCTACGTGGCTTTATTTATATGTTATAATGCCGCAGGTCTTATGATAACATTTTCTAAACCTAATGCAGGTGGATTTATGAGAGGTTGTTGGTGCCTCGCGAACGTCATGTACCACACTATGCACATAGTGTGCGCACAGCAGCCCACCGTTCTTTTGCTAACATTGCATGAGCAATAATAATACGGTATGGCATCATGGCTACTCAATGATGTGTCGATGCCAATGTAAACATTTTTCGTACGCCGAGATTGTACTCTTCCTCTTATAATTATTATGTTTTCTCCCAATTCTCTGACGTGTTCTGTTAAAAGTCTGTCGCCAAGCTTGACCGTAAAAACACCATTTGGATTAATGTGCTCGCCGTAATAGCTTTTAGCTTGTTTTATTTGATAAATACCCAAACTAAATAATATTAAATCCTCTTCTGAGAGCCTTGGAAAATCATTGAACTCGCGCATATCAGCGGACATCGGCTGAAATTGTGCTTGTCTTCTATTATAATTATGCCTTACAACTATATCAGCGAGCGTGTTAGGGATTGACATTCTATGGTTTATTATGGCCAAAAAGGATTGGGCATGAATATTGTCATTTATTAGTATATAGTATGCATTAATTATAGCAGCCGCTATCTTAAAACAATCAAACATGTGAGGAAGAGCACGATTTATATTGACATGTCTCAAAAATCTAAAATCCCGTTTGAAACGCCCATTAACTACCTCCAAAACCCACCGACAGATAGTTACTAACAAGCTACAAGATATATCTTTCAATTATAACATTAAAATCCACAATATTAGTAAGTTTAAAGAATGCTTAGTAAATCGGTCAACTACTAATCTACTCACTCTAAAACGAATGCTAATGTTGTGTTCGACACTTTTCATGAATTATTATGCCTTTTCTAGAAACTCTCCTTTCCAAAACTTGAATAAAACCTGTACACTAATAATAGAGGCAAACAAAACTGGATAAGCAAGGGTCTAAAAAAGCTGTGTTACAGAGACAATTGCTTTTTAAATACCATAAAAATAAAACTACTACTAACTAATAATATAGATAAATATTTGACATACTAGGCTTTGGCTTTTGAAAAGTGCATTTATAATTTAAAAAAAAGAACGCCAACATCAAATATATTAATAAGATTGATATATGATGATGTTGTAAACTACATGCCTATTTCTAAGCTCTGTCATGTAGCTAAAATCTCTGAGCGATTATTTTTTGATCAAACATTCGAATGTTTAAAAAATGAACTTATTCTTGAGCAACACGGTTTTATCAAAGCTAGATCAACCACGACCAATTTAGTTATCTTTAATGAATATTTAAGTAATAATATGGATAATAATAATCAAATAGATGCAATATATACAGATTATACTAAAGCATTTGATAGAATAGATCACAGAATATTATTATACAAAATGGCAGGTTTGGGCATAGGTGGCAATCTTATTCAATGGTTTGCATCATATCTGACTAATAGAAAGCAAGCTGTTGTTCTAGATGGGTGTTCTTCTGACTGGGTAGATATCCCGTCGGGTGTTCCGCAAGGATCGTTATTAGGACCACTTCTTTTTATTTTATTTATCAACGACATTGCTTCCTGCTTTTTAAATTCTAAATTTCTATTGTTTGCTGATGACATGAAGATATTCCGTATTATTAATAATGTTGGAGATGCGTTACTTCTTCAGGAAGATTTAGATAGATTAGACATGTATTGTGAACGTAACAAATTGGACTTAAACGTATCTAAATGCTTTTCTATCACCTTTACACGGAAACGCAACATTTTTATCTTCTCATATCTCATATCTTCTCACCTGGGTGTTTTACACGACGGTAAATTGCTGTTTGACCGGCACATCGAACATATTATTGACAAAGCTTACAAAGCACTTGGTTTCATAATTCGCGTTTCCAGTTCTCTACTGTGCCTATGTACGCATGTACGCAGCCATCTCGAGTTTTCGAGCCAAATTTGGAATCCCTGTTATAATGTCTACAGTAATAACATAGAGAAAATCCAAAAACGGTTTATCAGATACTTAGGTTTTAAATTTAAACTACCGCATCTCGATTACGAACAGCAATGCAGTTAACTACATCTTTTGCCTCTTTCTCTCCGTAGGAAAATAGCTGATATCTGTCTCCTCTTAAATATAGCTCAAAGCAGGTTAGACTGTCCTGATGTCCTTTGCAATATTAAACTTAATGTGCCCACCAGAAATTTGCGTTCTAGTAGTCTACTCCATGTTCCATTTTGCCACAGTAATTATCGGTATAACAGCTACATACCCAGGGTTTCTAGATCTTTTAATAGACTAAACCACAGTGAACTCATAGATCTATTCTGCAGTAGCACCAGAAACCTCAAAAATGTTATATCTTTAGATCCTAAACTGTTGTAACTATCTATGTATGTGTAAGTCTATTTAGTATGTATTATTATAGATACCAGCACTGTTTTCTGTCTACATGTGGAAGCTTGTTAATGGCATCTGGATAATTAACATAACATGTATTTTGTAAATTTAGCCGTAAGCTCCCCAAATATAATAAAATAAAATAAAAAAATATTATAATTAGAGCCACGTGGTCAGGTCAAAAATAAATTTAAGAATTATAATCCCAGAAATAACATAAAAAACATTAAAGCCGTCATTGAAATGATTCAGTTTTCAATAATCACTTCATAAATTCAACTAAAACAAAACCGATAAACATGAATAACAGTAGTCGTCATCATCATCATCAACAGCCTTTAGTTGTAAACAGCTGGACATAGGTCTCTCCTTAGAAAGGAGGTTTTGGAGGTACTGTGCCACGCTGGCGAAACGGGTTTGTGTCAAGTTTTCATTCTCTTTGAACTGCTGTTGTCCTGCGTAGTTTGCTCCCTTAGTCGGCTCTTTGCAACCGGTTTTGTGAAACTGCTCTTGTAAATGTTTTATGTGTTTCTACTTCATTACCTAAGTTGTATTTAAAATAGTTTTCTGTATTTTAATTTTTAGATGAATGGGTAAAAAATTACAGTGTTTGGGAAGACCCAGAACATCGTTGATGTATTGTAATTTAGACTGTGGTGATGTTATTGTCTTGAATATTTTTAGTTGCAATCTATTATATATATTTTATTTATGTAAGTCTTGTAAGTCCGTCCATAGCTGGGGAGTCCATACTGAATATGAGAGTCGGCTAGGGAGTTATAGAGTAATAATTAAACACGATGAGGGATACGACGATTCAAGATCTTTGTTTTCCAAACAACATTTTTAAGTTATCACATACTTTATCGATATGGGGTTTCCAGTTTAGTTAGTCGTGAATAATGAGGCCTAGATATGTATGGGAGGTTACAAGTTCCATAATTGGACAACAGAAAAGCAACCACCACTATTAGAACTATGTAAGCATGCGGGTTCGTGAGCTATTAGATGTATGTTGACTGGTGAAGGTTTTAAGTATGGTGACTTGATATGTAATGATTGAGTCTTATGTGTGTGTGTTTGTACTGCTCTAGAAGGAAGCTTTCGTAAGTTTGAACATTAAAAGGGCTTATTAAACCAAAATCTACATGCTGCAGTATTAGTTATAAAACTAAATAGGTATTAGGACTTCTTTCCATTTATTATGACTAAGTCCATTTTTATCTATAGAAGCAAAGACCGAATGTTTTTTGTTCCAGTAGTAGTGCAACCTCTTTGAATATTTATAATTAAAATATAAAAGTGAAATGCCATCAAGATCATATAAAAAACACTATAACCATCAATTTCAGTGACTGATAAATTCATGTGCAGATGCAATCATGGTGACACCGTCTCTTTTAAGGAATTTATATGGACAAATAGAGAAAGTGTGGCGAGATAATGGCTTCATTGCAGGGTACATAGATTTATATATTGACGTTACTAATTTTACTTTCCTTTAATGTTATGCACCATAAATAACTATTTGGTTATAACGATTGCATTGAAATAATCACCACTTCAATACAATCAGTTTAGAGATCTCGGTTTCAAGTTGTGTGATTCTTTGTTGATAGGTACTATTCATTATCTGCATATCTGTTAATTCTTGTTTTAATGGTTTTTGTTGTATAATTATTGATTCCGAATTTTGTTTCAAATTTTTTAGTTCATATTTTGTTTCAGTTATTTCTTTTTGTAATTTTGAATAGGTTTCTTGTTGGGTTTTGGCAAATTCTTTGAAAAAACGTCATTATTTCTGAGCGAAAGTCTTCAAGTTGAGTAAGATATTCATTCTCGGGCTGTTTTCTCTTGCGGTGGGTAATATTGATACTAGGCATTGCATCTAATTTACGCTTATCAGGGGATGACCCGTACCCGCTAACGCTCGTGGACTTGGATCCCTCCGGAGAACGTAGTAGACTCATATTTAGTGGGTATCGTCGCTCGCTGCGTAAATAAGTGGTGGAGTGAGCGGGTTGGAAAATATCGCCGCTCTCGTTTCTTCGCGTGGGTGAAGTGGCAAGCGCAGCGATCACTTGTAGATGCTACGCGATAACCGACTTCTTTATTTTAATTTACTATCACCATTGTTTAATGGTAAACTGTTACTGATCACATATAAGATTGCAGTTTGAATGGCACCAATCCAAAATAAAAAGGCATAACTTTTATTAACACCCTTGAATACGTCTGTTCGCACCGATCACATAGACTTATGTCATCATCATCTTATTTATGTAGTTAACACGACTCGATAAAAGTATCATTATCACTATCGTCATTATCATTTTAGCCGCGGGACGTCTTCTGCAGAATATAGGATATAGATAATATTAGAGATGCAACGGATATTCGGCATACTATTCGGTATTCGGCTATTCGGGCATTTTTCTCCACTATTCGGTTTTCGAACGAATATTCCTAATTATTCGGCCGAACACCGAATAGTAAATCACGAAAAAGGAATGCATAATATTACTCACAAAGATTTTTATTCTACCAATGACATCGTATTAATACAACACTTTTTTCAGCATTTTTTGATAGGAAACGAACGCGCTTTTCCTCGTAAATTATATCTGCTTCGGAAAATAGCCGCTCACTTCCGGAAGACGATAAATAAATCCTAGCAAATTCTGTTAGGTTAGGATTTTTCTTTAGTGGTTGCTGACTATTTTACTGATTCAGGCTTAAACCCGCGAAAGGTATTAAGTGTTGGTGAATATTCAGCGTTTCGGCCAAGACACTCGCTGAATATTCGTTATTCGGCCAAATCACAATTCGTTTCATTTCTAGATAATATACTCTAGACCAAAGATATAGGACTAATGATTTCGAAGCATCAACCGAAGACCTGCGATTTTTACAAGATCATCTGTCCACCTTGTTGGCAGAAATGGCGATTTCTGCTCCGTAATGTTTAAAATTTCAAAATTAGTATCCACCACAAGGCAAAATAAAAATCCTCTTTTACATTTTTACTTGATAATCTTTAACAACCAAAAATAAAAGTCTTGTCTTTCAGAAAGTCAGGTCGCCACATGAAGTTCCCTTATACGCTTAGTGCCAAGATAGCCCAATTCCCAGTATTCTTTTACATGAAAAATAATTGGATTTGGATGTACTGGCCGGTGGGCGCTTCAGTGTCATTGTATGTTTTCGCTAAAATACATGCTCTGGCTAATTCTGAAGCAAATGTAAAAAGTTGGCAACAAACCCAATTGAAGAATGCCGAAAAGGAAGCCCATGGCCATTGAAGTGTCACGTTAATTTGAACTGTTTTTAAAGTCAATAAAAGTGTACTTTTATTCATTAGTTTTTCTTTCTATCAACAAATTTCTCATAAATATTTATAATACAAAAAGCGCCACTCTCAATATGTTATCATGCTTCGGAGTAGAGCTCCTACTCTACTACTCCTAAATTTGATACGGTGTGGTTCACGAATAGACTATTATACAGCGTGTATTCAAACCTAACCCTACACGGGCACTTGAGCACTTGCAATATTACAATGTACTCTGTGTTGCATACACAACCCTTTGCGAAATTTATCTAGTAAACCTTTCTATGATTAAGATTTTTTTCTTCGTGTGTGTAACATTTGCTCTTCAAAGTTTACCGTATGTTGTAGGTATGTAACCTAAAAAATCAGCAGTGTGGTCGCCATAGGGCTATGGCGACCACACTGCTGATTTTTTAAGATTACCAGCATTATTGGCTAAGTGGTAACCGAATGGGTTACCACATTGTAAAGTTAAGCAAATTCTTTTCCTAACACATTGAGATCCCTCTGTGCCTCGGAGCGTAACGTGTTGATGCATTTGAGCATCTGTGGCAATTATTTCGGATGGTTATAGCTTTAAAAAGTGTCCCGCAACAGTCTTTCTCCAGAACTTCGATATCGTCTAGTACTTGTTTTGTGGAGGTCTAATGGCAGTTGGCAAAAAATCAAAATTCAGCCGTATCGTATAGACTTAAAAGCCTAACTTCACACATCTTACACACGGCCGTTTGATCCTAAACTAGGCAGAGCCTGTGCTATGGTAACCAGACTGCTGACAAAACGTACTTATATTTTTAAATACATACATATCATAGATAAATCACCCATATACAGAACAAATCATCGTGCTTATTATTTGTCCCAAGACCTCCCTTCGAACCCAGAATCTCCGGCTTAGTAGTCAGGGTCACTTACCACTAGACCAATTTTTTTTCTAAATGTTTAGTTGTTGACACTTTCGTTACTTTTTCATTTCTAGACGAAATTAAATCTGACAAAGTCCCTTACGTCCCACTCCCCTTCTCTTCTTTCATTCATCGCTCATCGCCTTTTCAATTCACTTACAAAAATTCTCGTGAGGCGTCTAGGAATTTTTGCTAGATTTAAACTAAACTTTTGTTTAGTAATTCAGCCTGAAATACGGTACTGAAATGTGTGACAACGAAAAAGAAGAAGCATCAAATTTGGTTTGTCTCTGATAACGACATAATATGTAAAAATGTTTGTTACGGTCTTTTACTACACATCATGTAATTATTAATAATGTGTAATTGTTTTTAGAAAGAAGAATTCGAATGGGTTCTTCGTGAAGAAGTTCATGCAATATTACATCAATTGCATTCTGTTTTAGTTGTAAGTGGTGCAGATGAAATTCATTCTTACAATTTGTATTACAATTATTTTGTTAAACTAGAGTTTCTCTTTTAGGAGTGCGCTCACAGATTTCCCGTGCCCTTGTACGGTAACGAAGGCCAAAAACAAGATAAATTCATTTTGACATCGCAGCCTGAACAATTGAAATGTATTGTTACTCTCACTGGGGACAGTATAACACATGCAGTAAGTATATACTTTAGAAATCAGTGATTTAAATAGAATTGTTGTAAATTATTTATTTCTTATTTCGTGGTTTTCAAATTGTTATTAACCATATATTACAATTGTAGGACATAAGTTTCAAGGTGCTTCGACAAATGCACACAATATGCCGCACATCAATCAATCAGGATGGGCCATGGAAACTCCAACAAATACAAGATGCAGCAAACCACTTGCAGCAAGCTATTGGTTACATAGACAATGTAGATAAACATTATGTATTTAGGTATGTATACAGCCAACTCCAACTTCTACAACAAACAACAAAAAAACTCCTTTTTTGAAGTCTGTAAAAAAGACAAGTATTTTATTTAGGACAACAAAAGCATTGCAAAATTTTCAATTATAGAATCAATTTTGATTTTATTTACAGGTATAATTTCGGTTTCACCATTAGTTAATCATGGTTATTTCACACTGAATAACTTTGCAAATCTATACAAATAAATAAAATTGAAGTGTCTGTTTATGATGAGAACATAATTGGTTTCTGCTCACGTGGTTATTTGCACGATATCTATGCCTAAAAACCAGTTAAAATATTTTTACTCTCTGTCTATCTGTCTGTTTGTTCTGCGTGATCTTCAAAATGGCTAAACCGATTTTGATAATATTTTACTACCAGGTAGCTGTCTATACCATATTACAGCATTTATTTTTCATGAATGTTGCAAATTGAACAAAAATTTTCAATTCAAATTCCATGCCAGTTACAGGTACCAGCTAGTCCTAACTATAATGAAAATATTGTTTATAAATAAACACATTGCACTCATGTTCATTACACACACACATGATTAAAACTGAAATCTCTCCACGACAATCCTTTAGTAGTCACTTGATCGGTAATGTCCCAGAAAATTGCTTTACACTTTTCTTTGAATATGTCATCTTGCACCAATTGTCTGATTTGAGGGCCAACAAGGCCAACTGCCTCACTCAGTTTAGGAAATTAAGTTAAAGACTGCAAGGATAATGTAGTGGTTTAAGCGGTCGCCACGCCGCTTCTTACTACTCCGAGTGTTTTGGGTGCCATCCCCACATAGGACGACACTTTATGTGATCCACAAATTATTATTCTGAGTCTGGGTGTTCTTTGTGTCCGTTTCATGTGTGTTTGTAAAGTCCCGCGACACAGGACACAAATAAAACTTAGTAGTTAAAGCCTACAGAAGGTTCAAACTATTGAATCTGCACTTCTTAGAATTTTAAATAATCTTTTACACAATCAATTGTATATAGATTATTATTAATAGTCAATGACATCTTTGCAAATGAAAAATAAAAAGTAATATATATGTTTAAATTATGACACAAATATTGAATGAATGGTCATTGTCTGATTTATGATCAGTCACACTCAACTTCTCTAGATACTGTAACTATAGAATAGATAAAGTTATGTTTGTATAACATGTCATCGACGTTCAATGTCATACAAAATACAGTGCAACCTTGCAAGACTGTACTTTCCTCCAAACAGTTAGTTCCTACACAAACTTGATTATTTTCGTTAATATTTTGTTAATAATCTAAGCCATACAGTAAATGTGTTTCACAAAGAGAAAATAAGACGAAACAGTAAAAAACAACAACAAGTTACGTTTTTTACTTTAATTATCTTCATAGATTTGTAATAAAAAAAAAAAAAACTATTTTAGAAAAAATAACACTGGTCAACAAAGTTTTGTAACAAGAAAGGTGCTTACTAATTTTAATGACCTACCTGCCCTTAAGTTATCAAGGTCTCGCTTTCGTGCTACTATTCACAAAATTGAAAATTAACCGTTTTTGTTTCACTTTCGCATTCTGAGAATTTACTTATTTGAAGAGCATAGTGTTTTTTCTGTTTTCTGAGTTAAAGGATTTTTAAATAATGTCAAGAAAGTGTTTTTTTTTTTAAACTCAGCAAAGGAATTTGACACCATCAGTAAGGGCAAAGACAAAATACTGTTCATATAACTTATATATGAACAGTATTTTGTCTTTGCCATCAGACAAGAAGATAAAGTGTGGGTTCTACACGTCTATTGTGTTACATTGTGTGGATCTTCTTACTGGATGGGGGAGAAACTCTTGATCTATGCTTTTTGACCGGTTTGGAGGGAACCAACTAACCACTCATATGATTGTTATTTTTGGCTTACTAATACAAAAGGTATTATAATTGAAACAAACAAAAAGTAAAATTAAGTCTCCTGTCTTGCCATCGGCTATAAGACCGATCCCTCATAGTGAAGAACTACCTGTACCAGAACCACTTCCAATTCCGTTCTGATCGCTACGCCATAAACAATTGAAATCGACACATTAGATCCTGAACTATGGCACCCAAAACACTCGGCGTAGTAAGAAGCGGCGTGGCGACCGCTTAAACCACTACATTATCCTTGCAGTCTTTAACTTAATAGTCCTACCAAGCAATGCATTTAACTTTCTATGTCTTCGGACACATCCATATAGTTGTGTACAGTATGAACAAAACACTTATGAATAAACTGAAAAGTAAAAACTGAAAAAGTATAGTATTGACAGTAATACATGTACTTACTGTTATTCACAATGCTGACATTATCAGTCCTCAGTGGAAGTCGTCTAAATATGTCAAGGGGTCACACTATAACTATTAATTACTTCATATAACCAGTAGTAATTAAACACATTCATTTTAATACATGCGATAATGCAACAATTGAACTTGAAATTTATGTTTCTTCCCCGGAAATGTGTGTTCGACCGTAAGCCGATTTTTGGCCTAGAAATTTTCTAACAAGCTTTATATTATTTTTATTTTGACAAGTTTGAAAAAGTTATGTTGACGGAATTAACATAGAAGTGATTAAAATTAACAAAAGGTCCAGATAGAGAGGGTAACAATATTATTAATTATAATATTTATTTGCTTTAAAATAATAAACAATTCATAAGCAGTCTCGGCAGATGGCGTAGTAGTTTAAGCGGTTGCCACGCCGCGCCGCTCACTACTACGCTGAGTCTTGTGGGTCCGATCCCCACATGGGACGACACTTTGTGTAGTCCACAAATTGTTGTTCTAAGTCTGTTCTGTTCTGTGTCCGTTTCATGTATGTTTGTAAAGTCCTCCCCGACACATGATATATTCCTAATGCGGGAGTTGTCATTTAAAAAAAGAAAAGTCTTAGTTATCTCGACGAGTATCGTAGTAAACTAGACTAACAAATTAATTTATTTAAACATTTTCTAATTTGTCAAATGCTCATTTTCATGACATGAGCAATTGACAAATTAAATTAAACGTAACTATACTGTAACAATAAATAAATATGTATTAATTAGGAGTTCCTACCTGACACTTAGTGTACTAACGAGTGAATAATAATTATTATTCACTTGTTAGTACACTGAGTGTCAATTTATTTAAATATTCGATAAGGCACAAGGAAGGTTCTTTAGGAGAGAAAATAAATGTACAAATTTCTAGGAAAATCTTAAAAAAAACAAATCTTTTCCAATCCAAAACAACGGCGTATATTACACCACCTGTCCCTAGGTGTCAAACATCTGACGTCAATCAAAACAAAACATATGCGTGCTAGGATTAACTTTGGTATGCCTTCAAGTTAATTAGGCTGTATCGGTATTCTATACCTATATTTAAAAAACCCTTGTGTCAGTAGTACTATTCACATGTACCATTGATGAAACTAGTGATACCATTTTGTGTCATTGGTACCTACCATTAAAGAAAAGAAAAGTTATTCCACCATAACATTAATTTTATAATTCATCCAACTTTGTATCACTAGTACCATTAAAGAAACGTAAAGATATTCCCCATAACATTGATGGTACAATTCATCCAACTGTGTATCACTAGTACCATTAAAGAAAAGGAAAGATATTCCTCCATAACATTGATGGTACAATTCATCCAACTTTGTATCACTAGTACCATTAAAGAAAAGAAAAGATATTCCTCCATAACATTAATGGTACAATTCATCCAACTTTGTATCACTAGTACCATTAAAGAATAGGAAAGATATTCCTCCATAACATTGATGGTACCATTCATTCATCTTTGTATCACTAGTAACATTAAAGAACAGGACAACAATAGAAAGGAAAATAAAATATAGCTACACACGGCGCATTAATTTCTTAATTAATAAGTTACATTTGAACTAGTGATGCGCAAAATGTATCACTGAGCTAAAAAGATAGAGACATCATTTCGCTCTAAAGATATATGTTACTCATCTAGCTTACTAGCTTATTTAGATCACTAGCTCAGTGAACCATTACAATTTATTGGTCTCTCCATTGATTAATTTCTTCGTCTAGATCTTTTAGCTCAGTATAAATCACTCACGTCAAACCACTCTCGCTTATACAATCCTTTCCTTTATTCCAATATTAACTTGAATTCAGTTCTTGGCACTTCATTTTTAACTTATTTTTTTCAAATACAAATTTATTCGTTTTGATAAGATTACATAATAATTAACGATATTTAAAAATAAGAAATATTTATAATATTTTTTTTGTACCTTTTATTAGGTTGTATATTAAAAATCATACATATTAAATTGACTTTTCTTCATACTTGGCAGGCTTAATACTCAAATAATAATTAAGTAATGTCAAACTTTGATCCTATAGAAATAATGTACATTTTGCCTAAAGATACTAAATAGCGTGAACTTAACCATCATCTATCTCACTCATTTATCTTTAGTCTCACTCACTCATGAAACAAAGATCGGCGTCGTTAAGCTAGTGATCTTGTGAGCTAGAACCGAGTTACTGATACATTCGGAGCTAGTGTGAGTGATACATTTTATCGACGTGAATGATATATATCATTTAGATCACTCACTCAGGAGCTGTTCAAATTTTGAACATGCTGTATAGTCATTGTACTCAATCACGGATTTAGACCATTTTTTGAACGTCTCCATTGTCATCGCGTTGACAGCGGGGAACGATGCATCCTCCTTGAGTGTTTTCAATAGATGGCATAATGTTTTTGGCCTTCTTTTAAAAGTATTGTTGAATTGCCCATTCCACCCTTCGCATAAGTTAGATGTTCTATGCCTGTCACCAAAGCAACACCACTTTGCTTTCTTCGGCATCCAGTAGCTTTGAATATAAGATAATAATGATTCAAGATTACAATGAGTACCAATAAGTACACCTTCGCCTAGCTCATAATGTCCTTCCTGAATTTGCCCGTATTTATTATTCCTGCCAATTAATTTCGACTTTGCTTAGTACTTACGTACATTATCAAATAGTTTTGTATCCTTTGTACTATCAATGGTACTAGTGATACAACAATTATTATTAAACTAGTATCACTAATTCCATTGTTGGTACTAATGATACAAAGCGCTGTCACTAGTATCATCAAAAGTACTACTGACACAAGGGGTGTAAAAATACTAATTTATCCACTTTTCTCCAAACATACATCGTCTGTCCGCATATATTTATTCAAGCCGAAATTTTCTTTAGTATTTTTGCCGAATGATGACAAAGCCCAATCGGAAGGTATTGCCGGTCATGTAATGCATACATATCTAGACCTACTTTGTCCGGATATTTTATAATACTCATAGCAACTAGGACATTTATGTAATATAATACCTACCCACATTTTGAAACTCACTTATCGTCAGTCTTGTTTTTGAACATATTTTCTATTTTAAATGCGCTGCATTCTAGGAAGGAATGAGTCCTTTTACGATATAATATGAGACATAAATATGTCACATCGACGAGTTACGAACGAAACGGAACATGACAATTATGTATTAGCAATGTACCTTTATGCCTTAAAACCGTAGTTAAAAGACAACAACAAATAAAGTAAAAGTCTAAAAAAAGGATCAACTTACACCACTAGTTGGTTTTATTTAGTAGCTCATATACTTTTTGAGACATTATTTTTTATATGTGTATCTTAAGAATACTACTTTCCACATCTGGTAAATTATTTAGTCAGTGCAGATTCGGTCAGGAATCCTTGAAGTGGGAACAATATTGCCCTCTCTCGATTATGTGTATGTTACTTACCACTACCTCTTCAGTTAATGGCGACACTAACTTAAAATCATACATTCTATTTTCTGTTGTACAAAATTGTTGAAACATAAAAAAGAAGCTATAAAAAATACATTTGTTAAATAAATCATAAAAATAATTAACAATTGTTTGCTACGCTCATTTCTTTATTTATTGCTGTCTCTCTTTTGCTTTATAGATCATCCGAAGAAGTATTGCACATAATACAGTGCTTGATAGGCTCTCTACAAAGAGCACGTACCGCCTTAGTATTGCCTAAGAAGAAAGCGATTGACGAGCTTATGAAAAGTAGAAATATGGTATGTTACTATCTGATATTTATTACTTTTGATTTTGATTACATACTTGTAAGTACTAATGTTTAACACGCACTCTTTTCCAGAAAGCTCTATCGCCTAATTTACCAGAAGATTTAGCAATATCATTTTACATCCAGTCTCACAAGCTTATATTTGTTGCGTATCAACTAAGTTCAGTACATGGAACGATGCGCATAGATTCCTGCCAGTCTGACTGTGCAGTCCCATGGCTCAGTGATGTGTTGTTTATGTTGACGGCAGCACTTCATATGTGTCAACAGCTTAAGGATAAGGTAAGATTGGAATAATATTGTGAAGTAGTATGTATCGGTAGTCATATACATCATGCAAATCATGCATCACAATCTTGAAAATGAAATCTTAACTTTTTATATGATGACACCTGGCCGATTTGTAAACAATATCTGACGTACTCGTATCACCAACATGAACACGCTCTGCATTCAACTAAACTGTAGGTCGATTGCACAGTCTGCAATACTACGTAGTATTTTACGATACTTCTAGTATGGAAGATGTCCGCGTATTCCTTCTACCAGTTTTAAAAACCATTTTCTGTCTGTCTGAAAGCTGTGTAGTGCGTGCACGCACTACACAGCTTTCATTCTAATGTAATGTGCAATGAAAATGAATAAATGCAATGATATTTATTTTTTTATTATAGATTATTGTTTCATACTAATCTTGATAAGCTTATATGATATAATATATCACACTACTGGTGGTTGTGGCCGGTTCAAACATTTTTGAAAACATTAACTTTTCACTATAATAATTTACATACATATATGGTGTCATTTGCTTTGTGTCTTATAATTATTATGTATTTGAGAATCCTAAGAATACAGAAGAATGTCTATTTAATATATCGTCTGCGTGCTAGGCTCGTTTAACCTTGTCATTCATATCTGTCAGTGGTCGCCAAAACATCAAAACAATGTCCGTGGACTTTTTTTTATAAGAACTTCATGTCGAATATCATGTAGGTAAAATACACGTATAATACGTATATTATACGTTTATTTGCATTCCAATTATATTTTAGTATAATGTATTCGTCGATCTATAAATAAGTACCGTTTTTTCAGTAGTATTACGCTACTTAACTGAAAGATAGTAACAGAATCAGTTTTCTTGTGTAAACATATTTCCGACGCGCAGAAGGCAGAAGTGACATTTGCGTATGTGATAATGAGACGTCCATGCGAGCACATCATTTTATCTAAAAAAATTGTAAAGGTGTATGAGAATCAGTTATTATCTAAATCCCTTATCAGTCATAAAAGATATATCTATAGATTTCGTCAGCCGAGATATTTCACATAATTTTGATCTATAAATTAATAAAAAGTTTATGGCAATTTTTTTAATGACATTGAAACTATTATCATTTTATTATACACGCTTTGTTATCCCCATTACATGGCCGTATTATCAATCGTCTGGGCTTACAACAAAGATGAATTTATTTGCAGAATCATATTTTATGTTAATTAAGTTTAGTAAAATTGACAACTTTCTTGATTCGATTGGGGCTAATTTAAAATGTTTGTAAATAAAAATCTTATTGCGAAATATTTTTGCCAAAATTACCTAAATTTGTTTTGAAAACACACGAAAAATATTGTTTTTGCCCTAATATGCTTTTATTGCCTTAGAAAAAGATTTTGGAGTAATCATTTTTAGGACATACTAACTTTTTTTAAAGATATAAAGTCGTTTTTTTTTTGCTTTCTTCACTACTTCGGAGTCATTACCGTAATTAATCTTTCAGAGAAAGCTAGACTTATTAATAAAAAAATCCAATGGACAAGTTTTTAACAATTTCGTTGATAGGGACATCGTTGATAAATATTACACTGGTCAACACTAGTTTTGGTGCCAAGACACGGTATTTTTTTAAATTCAGGACAGTATACTGATTACATTCATAAAAAAAATCTAGAAAACTACAAGTGGGAAACTTGTAGTTTTCTAGATATTGACTTGTGCAGAAAAAAAACAAATTTACTAAGAAAAAAGGTATTTATTCAATTATCATGTATTATAAAATCTTTTTGGCGACCCCGGTTGCCATACAAACATCTGTGGCAATCGTTACTGGTAGCAGGAACCCTAAAAATTCCGACAATAGTTTATCTACAGAACTTCGATATCGCCTAGTACTTGGGTTGTAGAGGTCTGGTGGCAATCACACCACGTAAAAAATCGAAGTTCAACCCTGTCGTGGAAGACTGAAAGCTCGTAAGATGACGAGTAAAGATTTGTAATTTTTTCGTATACTTCTTATTTCATCCAAAAGTAACTTTATAAACTATTTTTAAAAAAAAGCTATGTCACACGATCATAAAGTAGGACTGGCAACATAAAGATGACGTAGGGCGTAATGACGCTGCAGTTTTAATGTAAAGGAGACCGACAGAATCCGGCCATAAGACTGGCAGCAATTTTATAAAAAAAATAGTAATAGTTATATTTTATTGTGAAATAAATAATCTTGGGAATATGGCTGTAAGAAATGTATTTATATTAAAAAAAGCATTATAAAATATTTATATTGATGTACAATTTCATTCAATCTGCAACCAAAAGAACTCGTATGTGTTGCAAACTACAAAAACGTTAAAAAAAAGCCAAAATGCTCAATACTGAATAAAAGTCTCATTTCAAAAAATGTAAAAATCTGTATTTTATTAATAAATATATTTCTAATGTGAGATTAATACAAAGAATATTTTTAAAAATAAATTGTTATGCAAAATTGGAAAATGTATTGGATAATTCTCTTTTTATATTCTAGTAACACTTGGACAAATCTGTCAGCTCATGTCAGTCAATCATTCGCTTACGCGGTAACCATCGTCAGTTTAGTTTTGTTTGATATCTATTCAATTTTAGTTTTCAGGTAGCATTTTCTGATGTTCAGTAAATAATGAAATAAATGTTAATAACAATTATTTCAGTTAATAAAATGCAAATTTTCAGCTTCAAACATCAGTTCACAAGAAAACAAGATGTTTTGTATTTTTTTTTTATTTTTTTATAACTGTTTGGACACTAAACTATCGGTTTCTTCATAGTTTCAGCTACGAAATAGTAATATTGTTATTTCAATTTATTGTTCTTATTCTGTTGGTGTCCTTTAATAAAGTAAATTTAACTTTTAAATAAATTAAATGTTCAGCTTGAGTTTATTTTAAATCACACTGGAAAGTTGGCTGATCCCTTGTTCAGTCGTGGTAATCCAGATAGAATAAGAAGTAGAAGCTTCTGACTTACTGCTATTTCCGTTGCCATGTCAGTGTTGCCATAGTCAGGGATATACTCGTAGTTGCGGTCTACAAATAAAATAATATCTATAAAGTATGTATCAAAATTTTTCAATCCCTTTTAAGACCAATCAATTTACGTACTATAAATAATATAAGTGGGAATCCCCAGTAGACAGAGAATATATAAGATAACCAAAGCGTGGGACTAGGGGTGCTACTCTTCTTAAAAAAACAGCACGACGTATAAAGTATTAAGGACCGATTGAAACCGTCACATCATTAATATAGCACCAGTCAAATCAGCTATGAAATTGAAATTATCGTTAAAGGTTATGTAATGAAAAAGTTAATAACTAATAAAAGGAATCGTTAAATGCCGTCACAATAAGTATAGACGCATCATTAAATTAATTGATTCGTTACAGGTCCATGTACTAGCTAGTATGTGTAGGTAGTATGAGGGTCAAGTTAAACTTCACATTTTATTAGATTTTAAAATAGAACTGAAAATAAAAATCTGGTGCCCGGTTTAATATACTACTTGCATATGATTTCTAACTGTCTACTAAAACCTTTTTGATGGTATATTTTTTCCAGGTGTGTGTGTTTTCGCAATACAAAGATTTCACTGTGGGATCAAGATCTGCGTCAATGGTGTTTAACTGAATAGTATCTACGAGGATGTTAACTAATTCTCAAGTGTATGTAAGCATTATGTACCTATAGGTATGAGTAATATACAAAATGGTGTAAGTACATGTATTTATTTAGTTATAGTTAATGAGTCCATTGTTGATATTCTTGTTGAGTATGATGTAAAGTTATGTATAAAAAATAATGTTAACAATAACTATAGGAAATATTAACGTTAGGTCTGCCACGAGTGTATATTTTGAATAACACTAAAATGTGTAATTCTTTGGTTCTTTATTATCACTACTAATATTTATTTTTCAAGTTTGTGAATCATCGATGTAATCGCTCAGTGTCTTGTATAAACATGATTGAGTTTAAAGGAAATTGTTTTATGACCATATAAGATATAGAAACGAAAGCGCAAAGTAACGTTATCAGTTGTAAAGTACCTCATTAAACAATAGATTGGAGAGTTTGGAGTGGAATGTCGTGGCTAAATCATAGAATTTATGACTTTAAAATGGGGTCGACTGTTTCAGAAAGTGAAGTGATTCATGAAGTCTCATCTTGATCAAACCAATGAATAGTCAGCGTTTGACGAAATTAACAGTCGCTCATGTCGTTTTGTCCATGTCATCCATCGTGTGGATCACATGGACAAAACGACGGACAATTATTCGGACAATTATTTTGTACGTACGTACAAACAAGAATGTACAAGAAGTTAAAATACAATGTTCAATGCAGTTAAATATTTATTTTCTTGATCATTGATGATATGACCTAACTTGAATTGACGTGTCATTAAACTTTGACGGTTAAACAATACGGCCAGTTAAAACTGGCCGTATTTTTTCATGAAATACAACCATTTCAAAAAACGGTGGACCACACATGTAGTTGATAAATTTATGATCTAGGACACGACAACAGTTTTCAGTATTGATGGCCGAATGGTTCTTGTTAAAATAGTGTACATTTTTCTGAACAGGCTATTTTAACACGATGATATCAGTAACTGGGTGTTTTTTTAACATTGCGAAACCCCTATTATACCTACTTCTGTTGAACAACATTTATATTTTATCCAATCCATTTGTATTAAATGAACAGAAAACAGAAGTCTATTAGATAAAGTAAATTTTATTAAAGTCTATATAACTTACAATGTTATTAAATAGTACAAAAATCTTTCAGAATTAGTAACATTATTCTTTTATGGATCAACATGTGTACACGCATCGGAGCTGAATACGTAATTGACTTAATGGCAGCAATGATTGTGACTAAGTTCTTTTCTTTCTTTGTGACTAATGGTGTACCGAGGCCTCGTGTCGCTTTACTGTACGTTAGATATAAATCTACATAATATTTATTATTATAACTATGTTCTGGTCAGACAGCCAGGTTGATATAAATTTTTAATGACCATTGTACGCACACGGTGTTGTAGGATATGAAAAGCAATAATTTAGTACAGGCTGAAAAGCTGTTGTTTAAATATGATGTAAATATGTATAAAATATTGTAAAAGAGAGATACATCTTCAATTACATAGTAATAAAGCCACCCTTGATGTTGACTTGTTGACCAGCCCTGCGATGGATTCCGTCGACACTGTGCTTTAGCCCGAAAGCGGACAAAAATGCTTCACCTATGCGTCTGCACTACATCTGAAACAGGCTATCACAGTAATTCATGTATAAAATATCTTGAGAAAATATTCCTATTCATTAAGGTTATTCACCAAGAGCAAATTTTTGAAATTATGAACTTTTGTGGTATTAGTAGAATGTAGGTATGCTTTTCAAATACATTGCTGCAATTTTAAATTTTCCCTGTTATTGCTTTTCTCAAAACTTTATCGTTTTGGATAGAGTTAGTTCAATTATGTGTTTTATACTTTGAATATTAGCTCTACCTTTGAATTTGATTAGATGAAAAATATATATTCACTTAATCTAACTTAAACGAAAAATATCTTTATTTCATTATAGGAGGCCAAAACCTCCTTTCTAAGGAGAGGCCTATATCCAGCAGTGGACTATTAAAGGCTGTTCAGGATTGGTGATTAAACTTAAACTCAAAACATTTTTATTTCATAAAATTAAAATGTTCATTATATGTATAGATTATATGCCGTGCCTATCTACAACCGCCCGTTTTCAAGGGATTGAGCCTTATGAGAAGAAAGGGGAAACAAAGTCACGGCCATCTTTGCTTTTTTCATCACGTGTGCGCATTCATAATTAAGGCGGTGTAACTTATGACCGCTTATATTTATTTCTTTCGTAGGTCTCTGCAGCTTAAAGCTCTTTTATCTACTTTAAATAAGAATATTTTTAACCTATAAAAAAAATATGTTAACTTTCCCTTGTATATCTCTTGTCTGGACGTCGTTACATACCCTTAGAATTTAACTTAAGTATTTTATAACTTATATAGCCTGCATTATAATACTAGATCTGAATGTGTAAATAAAAAAATAAAATATATAAAAATTTAATTAAGAAGCAATGATCCTTCGATATAATTCCTGGTATTGCCATAGTTATAAAACAAAATAACTCAATTATAAAAAAAATGTAACAGGTATTTGATAACTTATTGTCAACACATTAAAGTAAAAATCTGTTGAATGTTACAATTATAGTCCTTTCTGAATAAGTCTAATTTTAATAATATATAAAAATTGTTATTGAAAATAATTATTTTGTAAGAATGTCTAAAGCTACAATGATACATTAAATTCTAAACATAACATATAATTGCCAAAGTATTATGGATACCACCTTATGTTTTCAATGTCAAGTACAGCGACCAGAATATTTTTATAACATATTTACGGTATGATAATCATGACTACTTAGAAGAAGAAGAAGACTACTTAGAAAGAATTAAAGTAATATATATTATTAATAGCTTTTTCTAAAGCTACTTACATTCACAAGCAGGTTGTTGGTTCGAAAAATCTTATTCTTTTTAATAATTATAATAATTCAAAAATATACCTACTTTTTTATTGTATACCAAAGATAATACAAAGAGTAAGATAGATAAAGCAGTATTATGCGGCTAATACATTTGGCGGCCTTATCGCGCTAACAATATTTTACAGACAGCATGGGGTGGGAAGAAGAAACATTGGAAAATGATATTTTAAGTTAATAAAATAAAATTTCATTGGCTTTTGAACGTACGTAGAACGCCAATGTTACTAGAAAAAATATTCTATATACTCATAGTATTTTTATTTAAAAATTGAAGATAATTATTTAATTTTTCCCTTGAAGAACTGTATAAGTTTTTTATAAATTAGTATTTTTATAGTCAAGGCGTACGAAGGTTTATTAAACAATAATGTTTTACAAAAAAGAATTGGTTTAATAAATAATTCATTAATCTTGGGATGACTTCTCGTCATGATTATCACATCGTGATTTCAGATAAAGGTATTATCAGCAATACATGATTTCCTTTTTTTTGTATATATGTCGTAAAGTTATGTTAAAGTTATGTGATCCCCATCCCGGCCTTTGTACATAGTACATACTTACTTGGATCGAAAATTGCTTAAAAACTATAAGAGCACTTATATCTTAAAATAACACCTATCTTTTAAGTGTTTAAGGCGTTAATTACTTGACTGCAATTCACCAATACATTATTGATGTCTAAGAATGTATGTACATCTAAGCAATTTAACACTAATAACTGCTTTTCGTTCACTTCCTCATATAACTTCAGATCTCAAATTTATAAACCATTGCCAGTATACAGAAAGGTTTCTACCTAATAGAATTGTGCGCAAAGAAGTCGGTAAAATGGATCTTTTTTTTATCAAAGTATAGATTAATTATAAAGTTTGCATGAGGATGTGTTCCATAAGCGCAACTTTAATAGAATTAATATTTCTTGTAAAAATGTGATAATAATTATTACATTGTTTAGTAAACTTATGGCTACAAATTTGCTTCCCAAATAACGGTTAAAAGGTTTGTCAAATAAAAGTAAAAGTTTGTCAAATAAAAGGTTTGTAACAAATCCAACTAGGATTTGTTACAAACCTTCTTAAATAGAATATCTTATTATTTTTGTGGTATTTTGTTTTGTAGCATGAATTGTGTAAAATACAATCACATAAAAGTATGTGTATGTGTATGTAATGTGTTACAGGCGGGAGTATTAGCTCCTTAGAAGCTAGCTTAGAATTTACATTTTGCTAAACGGTTGACCCAATCTGAAAAATAAAAGATATTGTATTAATTTGATTCTCAGACAAGCTCATAAAAAAAGTTCAGTAGTTTGTTTTCAGATTTATAATTATACTGGTATTTAACTCGATTTTATCTGGGATTATAAAATGTGACCCTTCTGCAACACATTTAATACTTATGTCGTGGTCAGTTTGTCAATCTGAAAAATACAATTCAATTCTTCAAGATCTAATCTTATGTAAAAATAACACACGTTGATAAGGACTGACTTAAAAAGGTTTCCAAAAGATTTAATAATTTTATATATTGTTATTAGAAAATACCGTTTACTTTTCCTAATTACTAACTAAAACTTGTTTAAAAAACAATATTTGGGAAGCATTTATTAGATTTCGGAATGTATTAATTAAATATACTATTTACTGTATGATTGTAACGTAATTTGCGATGGAATTGGAGATGAAGGTTAAAATTGTATTTATATGCACTTATTGATAACTTGTATTAAAATTGTTAAGGCACTTTTTAAATGTTGCTTATAGGAACTTCTACTCTTTACCTGAATTTTTTTTTCTCCCCGTTCCTCCATGGTCTTGGGTATAGAACACATAGTTTCTGACTGAAATTGATGCAGACGATTATTCAGGAGAAACCGTTGGGTAAACAATATTTTTAAGACTGGACCCTGATGTAGAAGCTTTTACTTTCATCTTAGCATTACCTCTAAAGCTTCTGTTTGATCTCTTACACTACAGTACCTGAAAATAAGGCTTTGGTCTCTGAACACACATTTGTAAGCCAATCATACTCCTTCAGTTCTATGTTCCCTGAATCATAAAGCTGGTCCTGGATTAATTGTTTTAGATAGCGTCTCTGATTAGTGTACGCAATTTGATGTTTTATAGAGACCTCATTTAGATGTCATAAATTTGCGCCTTTGTCTTCTATTAATTGGATCTGAAGAGACATTATTCCTTACATTAGTACCTGTTTTCTTTATGCCCCATACTCGCTTAGCGCCAACCATTCTTCATCAAAGGTTAGCTTTGCCACGAAATAGAGATTGTAGAGCTAGGATATTCATTGGTCAACATTAAATGAAGGACTTCTATTGTTTATAGGAAAGGTATTATCACTATTGTCTTTCCTCTCTGTACTTAGTGTAAGATGCATTACTGAAAACCAGGTGCTGCATTTTTACATGTCACTCTCCCTCCCAAATATTGTGACTTGGTGTCTCTTGAGTACTTTATTTTTCTTCATTACTCTCTTTTTAATAGTTTAGTCTAAACACTTTCTCAGAGACTTCTGTATAAGTTAGTAACATCAAAGCGTTTTATCAGAACATAACTTTCATCCGTACTATAAGAACAGTTCATTATAACTTCAATTTACTGTTTTCGCATGATGCATTTCACCATGCACGAACAGTTTCTAAGTGTTCTCTAGCCTGAGCAGCCGTGACACTTTGTTCTCGGAAAAGACTAAACATCTGCCTTCTTTGTGTGTCAATTAATATCCAATACAAATTCAACACATTGCAACAAATGCTTTCAAGACGTAGCGTTATAATTTCCATGAACTTCATTATGAGAGAAAATTTCATCTAGTTCTTCCAACTGCATTCTTTCTATGACTTTAATTGATCCAATTTTTATAGTTCTTTCTGTGTGTATATTCCGGTTATAGGCTATAGAATGACTAAGAGCTCGGGCAGCATGCCTACGATATCATGCGACTTTGGTCACGTCGGAACGTATACTTAGAACTAAACGGCCTAGTGTAGCGTGCCCGCGACGGACGATCACTGGTCGCGAGACTTGCGTTTGCCACTGCACATCGCAATTTTTTGTAATTTATTTTATTATAATAATTAATATCCCAAGTAGTCGCACATCACTAGTCGCCCGCACACTGCACTGTTATTCGGTGGTCGATACGAGTCGGTGCGACAAAGACGCGTGACATCGCCGTCACATTGCACGAGCCCTTGCAGTCTCTGCAACTATGGGTGCTTTGGCTTCCGTATCTGGGAGGTGATGTTACCGTGTAACAACAAACCCGTGTGACACTCGAAAGGTTATATGTATTGCCGTCATGGGTTCCTTTATCTTCTGGCAGCATTCCAAGCAGTGTCTTAAGGATAAACGAGTTGTGCTTTCTTCTGAACATTACTGAGTTCAACTACTCAGTTGTTAAACTAAAGGATCTGTTCTAAACAAAACCTTGGAAATAATTTATGATTTTAAAATTAATCCACTCTATAGTACCTACACACCACACTAGGTGTCATCTTATTTTTTATTTTGACACTGCAGTGCCACTATTGTATTGAATGTCTGCCTAAATCCTACTTAAAATGCATTTATTCGAGTTGATCATCACTTAATGATTTGAGGTGCTGGCTTCAAATATGTAAAAAGACCATCATGTTCAAATTATTTATTTGACATGTTTGACAATAAAATTATTGTACTAGTATTATTAGGTAGTCTCAAGACTATTTTATCTATACCTACTGAATAAACAGTTCATGTGATTGTGTTGTATTTCATTAAATCAAAATGCTGTTAAGCAATATTTGTTTTATTTACTGATAAATGAAGGCTTGATGATTATGTTTATTGATTCACTTTTCAAAGGTGTTTGACTTCTAAAATAGTCAACAGCGTTCGCTCCGGTTCCCTGAGAAAACACAAACAAGCAGAAACAGAAGTCGTGTCGTGTCCTGGATGTCAACAAAAATTGTTTAAAATATTTTCTAATGACTATTTATATATTTATCACATTTTATTGATTAACATAAACTACAAAACAACTAGTCATAAATAATTATAAGATTAACTCAGTTAATGATTTGCCATTAAATAATAATGACCAGTGATATAATTAGATGATATGGTGATATGAGAGATTCTGCACATGGTTATCTTCCTATAATTATGAACTTTTCGCAAAACTGTTACACGAAGTCAAAACACTTTCGGATCTAGTGATGGACGCGCTACAGTCAGTTATCGTCGAGTGGGGAGGCTGGCAGCACGGGCATGGCTGCTTGGGGAAGTACCTGCACTCCACCACTGCGATTGCAGAGAGGACTCGGCTCAGCACACGCTGGCAATTTGCGTGGCTTCGGTGTAGCAGCGTCGGGTTCTCATTGCAATGATTGAAGAGGATCTCTCGCTACCGGCCGTCATACGCTCCATGGCCAGTAGTGACTGTTGTTTTACCGCAGTCGCATCCTTCTGCGAAGAAGTTATCTCGTAGAAGGAGGCGGTCGAGAGGGCCCGGGAAGATGATCTCCAGTCAACACGAAACATGTCTGTTTAGCGACATTTACCGTGTATTTGAAGTAAATCTTAAGATTTACCAAGTGAGTGGTGCTAAATGCTCGAAATCCGACTTTTACCGTAACTCGTTGGTAAATCTCCGGTTTTACCAGGAAATCTTAGAATTTACCGTAGTTTAGGCTTTTGCTGTATCATATTAAATAATCTTTTGTTTTTATTTCTGTAAGCCAAAAACTTTTGGGCCTAATTTCCCGCCCATAAAATTTGGCTCACTAGGCTACAGCCTAATCAGCCTGCTGGTAAATCCGTCACTGTGTCAAGATATAATTCCATGCAATTTCTTCCTGTAGGTATATTTCTTGTTTTCATGTGTCCTTCATACATTCCAAATGGAATTGAGGCACCTATGTTTTAATGATCGAAGGAGGCATGTAGTTATTTTTAGTCTACCAATACTCGCTGCAACGTGGTCTTTTAATTGAGAATTTGCCTACATAAACTATGGGTTGGAAGGAAATTAAGTTTAAATTGACCTCTCGTATAATTGATCCGTGACCGTGTGGTGACGGATTAAGAATACAGAGTGTCACCACCCCTATTCATCCCGTGGATGTCGTAAGAGCTGACTAAGGGAGCAAACTACGCAGGACAACAGCACTGCAAAAAGAAGGAAAACTTGAAACAAACCCTGTACCAACCCGTCTGGCCAGCGTGGTATAGTAGGCCAAAACCTCCTTTCTAAGGAGATGCCTATGTCCAGCTGTGGACTAGAAAAGGCTGTGGATGGATGGATGATAATTGAAAATAAATTTAGTTCTGGTATAATCGTAACATACATAGATTAATTTTCTGCGTAGACAGGAATAAAATCCATTGGGCTACTGCACTAAACGTTAACATGTTTATAATAAAAATTGTAAATTATCTTTGTTTTAATTAATTACAAATTTTACAACGTCATAATTCCTACATAGATGTACCTAGCCTTATAAACTATGTTATATGTCATAACGGCTATCGATAGTGTTGTTCAGCAAAGTAGTCTTAGAAAACTTTTTGTTGACTGTTAAATGTCAAGGTTTAGCGCAGTTTATTTCAGAGTTTGAGAGGGTTATAACTCCTATTGGTAGTCGTAGAAAAAACGATATTTTTAAAGACAACTCCACTCTCGGAATAAATCTTTGTCGCAGGAGACTTCAAAAACACATGAAACGGACACAAAATACACCCAGACTTAGAAGAACAATTTGTGGATGACACGAAGTTTTCTCCCATGCTGGGGTCGAATCCGCAACACTCAGCGCAGTAGAAACCGGTGAGGTGACTGCTTAAATCACTACTCCATCCATACAGTCAAAATGTATTTAAATATTTGTTGCAAAGAAAGATTGATGATGATTAAACTCTATTTCTTAAAACATTCTTAGCAAATCAGTTGTCAAGTTGGCTCGTACATGTAACATTCACCATGATAAATAGTCTTTTGGGTCCAACTTTAGTGTGTGTTTAATGTAACAATGTATACTATAATTTTACTTTCCTAATAGGTATACGAAATTACATATTAACATAATATTTGATAATAACAAAATGTCACACAAAAAATGACATGTCTCAGAATCAAATTCACTTGTTTTTATCATTATAAGAATAACTGAATTTGATTCTGATACAATACATTATTGTAACTAGTTTTCACAAATAACTTCTTATTTTACTCTACTTTAATAATAATCAAGAATGAAAAAATCATCTTTTTACACTAGGCACTATTTTGCGCATCTCTAAAACGATCATTTGGCACTGACACTAATGACAGTGTTGTAGTCAGATTTACAAAAATAAATCAAGTTGTGGCGTTGAAGTTTGTTTTCACTTTTATTTTGTTATTGCATTACAAATTGTAGTTACAGTCCTTATACATTAGATATGGCTATTAGACTTATCGGTTGGTATGGTCTGGTCACCATTATCATCACTGGGTTGTTTGGATTTAGATTGTACATCACAATTCTTACATTTCTCGTAACGTTTATTGTTGGGTGAGTTTATATGAATCCATATCTAACAATTGGAACACAATAAAGACGCCTATTATCATTGCATTCTCATAGAAAATTTGTTTTAATTGCCAAATGTTACTTTCCATGTTTACATTAAAAAACTTAAGAAAATTAATTTCATTTGAATTTTATGTCTAGAGAAGTTTTTTTAAATAATATCTTAGTAGTTTACATTAATTTTGCTTTTGTTTTTAATGTTATAATTGTCACTAATTCTTAATTCCTATGATCTTGACAGTAAATTACTCATTTAATGTGTTTATTCCAGGATTATTACTGTTCTGTATTTATCTTATGATCACAAAAAGGTGTTCTCAGTAGACCTAGATACTTTAGATGACCCGTTGCAGCAATCAAATTTCTCTATTCAGATACCTAAGGTATGTAGCCAGTATACCTCCTTGATTGGGATATCAGATTTGTACAATTTATTTTGTTAACACTGATTGAGAGTCACTTGTTAAGCAATTATTTCGTTTTCAAGACCTTTTGGTGAATAATGCTATCGCTTTAATAAAATTATTTTAGAAATGGTTACTTTGTTGGTCATACCTGGTAATTGGAAAACTAAATTTTTTGGGACCTATTTAAAAAAAAATAATAGAATCTAGTGTTGTGGGGGACTTTACAAACAAACATGAAACTCTTAAATAAATTGGTTCACGCAATAGTGTGTATAATTTTATGGATTTCTAATAATTTGATTTGCCAATCTGAGCCTTTGACCTTTAAAAATAGATCATAGCATCAGTAATAAAAAAAAAGCATTGGATGTTTCTGCACTGTCTTCTACTTGTTCCTCCTACAGTGAAAATTTTTATATGCCTGAAGTTTCAGGTCAAGTTTTCCGATGTATATATTGGAATACAAATAAATAAAAAACACATAGAACTTAGCTTAAAGTTAGTCTGTATATTGTCATTTAAACACACACAATTGTAACTTCTTGTAGGTAATAGAATTATTTAAAAAAGATGAAGCTTTGCCAAAATTCGATAACAGAATCACTGGAAGTGAGACAGTAGATTCATTTCTGAATGAAATAATTACTATAATCATCAATGACTATGTTACACCTTGGTATGAGATTCTGACTAACGACGAAGAGTTTACAAATCATGCTATTAAACGATTGGTGTTGGCTGCAGGTGCTAATGTAGCTAATAGGTAAGTGAATTACAATAATTGTACAAATTTACTTATTCAGCTCTGTCCTGTATGACCAGATATTCTGGATGTCTTTAACAACATATTGCTAAGATTTTGATGATGATGATGGTTAATGCAAGAAAAATAAATAATAATAGCTTCACGCATATCACACACATCAGTCGCCTGTGCTGTGGTACAAAGACTACCAATAAACATACTTCAACATAGATAAATTACATCCAGACAAAACAAATGATCATGCTCATCACATAAATATTTCCTTGGATTCCCATCCAGGAGGCTAAAAATGTAATCACCGATGTCTGATTTAGCAGTCAAGGTTACCAACCAGGCTGGCTTAAAGCATCATATATGACCAATTTGGTCATGATCAAATTTAAAACTTTAACACCTTGTTATTACATGGGTTACTTATGAATATTGTATCATCTGGTTGTACAAAGAGGTCAAATTTAGGAATCGACGAGGCTCAGAATTATATTCTTTTCTGACGTACTACTTCATTACCGTGCTTACAGCAACTGAAGCAGTATGCTAGAAATTATTTTTGAAATGTTAGAGTAATAAGAATATGAAATAAAAACTAATATACCAATCTTAGCTACTTGTTATGTCTAACTAGTATACATAATAAGTGTTCACCAGTGATAACAAAGTAAATAAAGTCTTTATCATAGTTTCTTAAGGTGAATTGTGAGACTTTATCTCTCTCTCTCTATCTTGTGAGAGAATAAAATTATAATACTGTTGTTTTTGTCTTTATTTAAGAGTGAAATCTGTAGATTGGATTCACCTTCTGTCCACACGCTTTCCTGAAGAACTGACAACACATTTGAAATTGTTCAAACAATCAAGAGTGAGACTAAAACACATAGATCTGTCAAGTGCCAAAGATGTTTCTAATGGGAACTCAAAACCTAGCCCCAAGAAACAAGATGAGAGGAAAACACACAGGAGGAATAAAAGTGACACTGACTTAACTTGGCCACCAGGTGCATTTCTGTATTTTTTTATGATAAGGGAGGGGAGGGGACGAGTAGACGGGTCGAGTCGGATCATCTCTGCCGACGCACGGCTCTTCCAGCGTCATAAAAATAATTACTGTTTTTACTACATTCCTAGTCTCTTTCTATTTGTCTGTCTAAATACATTAAACTCTAAAAATACCAAATCATTTTTCATAATTCATTATGAGTTGGTATAAATTTGCTGAAGTTATAGGAAAAAAAAGACAAGGAGCTTTAATGACGTGTAAACGAATCGAGTTATTGAAAACAAAGATTTACTAATTACACATTTACTAATGAAATGAATCCAAACGTTTAGGATCAGTAGTTAAATAATTCAAAGTGATTTCTACACGTTATTGCAAAAGGCTAATACAACACTACGACAGCTAAAACATAAATAGCCATTTAATACTCTGCTCCCGATAAACTGGAACAGCTTACTATAGTCAAACCGCCGTAAGCTTGGCCCTCCTGATGGTTTGGGGGACGCGGGGCGGGGATGCATTCAACCAATTAGCTAGTGCGTCGCTGTCCGCCGGCAGTGACTGACGTGAAAGCATGGCTGTACGTGTTATTTTTCCTAAGACTGCTACACACGGTATTATTTTGCAACATGGATAATCTGCCGACTCTGCGTCACAAAAAGATTTAAAAACTTGAAGTTCGGCTTACAGAGGTTCTACTGATAAAGTTTTAATAAAGAATATTTATTATTTTACTTAATTTTTAAAATTGTATCTCAATATAATTTATATGATGAAGATAAGGTGATTTTATTAAAATTATTTTACAGTATTAAATTTTACAATTAATCATAAAAACTTACAATACACTGACATTATAATACATGGAAATAAATTCGATTTTTATTACATCGTGTGTAGATTAAATCTCAAACAAATAAATCTGAAGATATCGAGTTAGTACATCGTGTCATGTATAGCCGAGCGCATCACCCGCCCCGCGTCCCGCAAACCATCAGGAGGGCCAAGCTTACTGCGGTTTAACTATAGATAATTAATAATTATGTGAACTGTAGCCCATAAGCGTCACAACCTTTTGATGTATAATGTTAGCATTTATAGCTTTAGGCTACAATATAGTATTTAAATATTGTAATATTTGTAATCACACCAAAACAGTAAGTAAAGAGGATAAAATATCATAATTCTTTACGCTACATATTGTGTAAATATTAAAATATCACGAACTACTTTCCCAGATTCTCAGACTTTCGGCAAATCAAAATTTTATGATAGTTCTGAAAACATATCTGGGAGAACTTTGAAGGATATATTTTTTGAATTGGAATGCTCCTTTGAGAACAGGCAACTTTGCCGGGACATATTCTGTACGGATCCCGAAAAAGAACATGGTGAGTTATCACTCCTATTTACAATTGTTAATCATGCTGTTTTAAAAATACTTTCATGGACAATATCTTTGCCTCTTTCTGTCAAAATGTCTTATATATATTGTCTATATATTAATTTCCAGAATTGCTATGTGAAATATCAGAAGCTGTACTGTACCTGATCGTACCAGAAGAGGCTTTTCGGTGTCATTCATTAAAACTAATCCTTATAGAATTGCTCTCGGCCGTTGTACTGCACCCAATTATTAATTTACTTAGCGATCCCGATAATATCAACAGAACTATTATTAGAAATGTAAGTTTGTTTTTTGCACTGTAAATCTACAAGTTTCATTAATTCTAAATTAAAAAGGCAATGGCATCTTTACATAGTATAAAATGAAGTCGCTTTTTTTTTCATGTACGCTTAGATCTATTAAAATACGCAACGGATTTTAATGCAGTTTTCACTAATAGAGAGATGACTCAAGAGGCGGGTTTATATGTGTAATACATGCATATTGTTACGACCGGGGTATATAATAAATAAAAGTTGTCGGTTAATTATTTTTATTGCACAGTATTAACAAACACTCACTATAACAAACAAGAAATCACTAAACATATAACTCGTTAGGTGCAGTAGAAATAGAACATGTTAATTCGCTGTGTCGTAAAACGATACTGTCCCGTACGGCCAACACGTTTCGCTTTTATAGTGCTATCGAAATTACTAGAGTAATCCCGAATATTCGATGGAATGTTCCAGTCAGTACAACGTATAACACAAGAACCACTGAATCCTATTAGTTTAAGATCCCAGGGCCACCAGATGTCACGTATTTTCTGACGAACGAGATGTGTACGACTGAGTAGTGTTAGTATGTACTACGATCGCATGCCTACCTGCTAGCTTGGTCAGACGGCCAATTTCCAGGTATCAGGTAATCAAGGTACATAAAAACATTACATACCCCACATAAATTCTCCAAACTAATTTTTAGTATATTTTAGACAATATCGTTAAATATAAGTCGTCAATTTCCCAGACACTTTCCTTCGGCCGTATTACTTTACAGACGCTTTAAGGCCAAACTCAATTTTAATGCCTCTGTGGGTAGGAGCACGAGGGCATTGGGCACGCTCATGAGAGTGAGTGAGACATGTTTTAGCATATATTGAACTCTCTCTCTCACTCTCGTTTACAGTTTACTCATATCAATAAATTATTAATAGTTAAAAAAAAACAGCTATAACTAAAAAAATAGGAGCTCAAGTTGTTAAGGCCGGTTGCGCTGTTAAGGCCCACTTTGGGCCTTGATGTAGATGCTGCCAGACGTCAACTGTTTATTAATACGTAGGTATATGGTATCTGATATTAATGAAGAATTCATTCGGAAGAATGTGAAAAACTTCGATACAAGCAACTTACCACCTCGTAAAAGTGAGCTTTGGTAACAGTTCCAACCGGCTAACTATATTGCTAGTCTTTGGAACAAAGCAAGTACGAAGATAATAAATATTTTCAGTCCCGAAAATAATGGCTGGGCATTAGAAGATGGTAAAAATGACTTTCATTGGTTCGATGGGGAGACCAAAATTACCGTGTTTTGTCAGTCAGTCGCTGGAGGAACAATCAGGTAATTTATTTTCGGTTCTTATATTTTTGTGTCTTTAGTTCTTTCAGATCTTCATTGTTTGACTTGTTTTTTTACAATGGAAGAAAATAAGGATAATGCTGATGATGAAAATGACGATTTAGATTTTCAATATCAAGACTGACTCGATGATGACTTGTCTTATTTCAACGATAATGAAGACACTACTTAGAAATGTTGAGGGGTTATTATTTTTCTACCTTGTTTCTTGTAAGATTAATTCCCAATAAATAATTAATTGAAAAATTGCTGTTATTTAATGAATTTGTTAAAACTTTGTCATGTTATTAAAACGGCCTGTAGGATATTGTGAATGATTGTGGTCGGATGAGCACTTTTTTACTAGTTGATCTAATTATTTACCTCATTTTTTAGTTATTTTTTTTTAGCTATTAATAATTAATTGATATGAGTAAACTGTAAGAGAGAGAGAGGGCAATATATGCTAAAACATGTCTCACTCACTCTAATGCGCGTGGATAATGCCCTCGCACTCCTATCCATCGAGGCATTAAAATTGAGTTTGGGAGATGATTGGCCCCTTGGATCGGTCTGTCTTCTTGTAAAAGGTTTTAAAATCGATGTCTGGCGAACATATATAATTATTATTATTATTGACGACTTATTTTTAACGATATTGTCTAAAATATAAAAATATACGCAAAAATCAGTTTGGAGAGTTTACGTGACGTAAATAATGTTTTATGTATCTTGATTACTTGATACCTGGAAATTGGCCGTCTGACCAGGCTAGCAGGTAGGCATGCGATTGTAGTAAATACTAACACTACTCAATGGTATACATTTCGTTCGTCAGAAAACACGTGACGTTTGGTGGCCCTGGGATCTTGCTCTAATGGCGCAACAATGTTATAGTAGAGGCAATGTGAAAATTGTAATGTGAAGTCAAAAAAAAAACATGGTTTTGTGCGCTTACATTGCAAACGCTGGCTAAACCTTACGAGCTAGATCAAATAATGTACTACAGAATTGTATGTCTTACTCCTAAGTATAACCGGCAGTAACCAAGCTATTTTGAACAATACAGTATTATTCCTTATTCAAATCAATACATTACATACGTTGTTCTTATAATGTTGATTAAAATTGCCTTTTAAATCATATGCATTAAGCGGGCCTATAAATATTGCATATAAAGATGTCCTGTAGTATAAGTCTTATCATAATAATAATAATATAATTAATTACTCCACACTGACACCACATTAGTATCATTAGTACCTAGTATCTACATTGCACCCGTGCAAAGCCGGGGCGGATCGCTAATTCTAGTTGGATATAAATCTTAAAAATAGCCTCATAATATCTGTGGAGATGTAACAAAGGATATTACATATTTACTATGAAGGTTTCTTCTTGATATTAAAGTAATGTAAGCATAGCAATAACCAATAATATATAATTTGTTAATTTTCCCAGTGTTGCCGTGACTCTAGTTTGCCATCAGATTTGTTTCTAATAGTCATACGGTGTTGTGGCGACGCTGAAGAGTTGGACGCCACCTTGGAGTTAGTGCAGAAAGATATACAGAAATTAGTAAGTAAATCTATTTTGTATCTAATAAATTAAATTTTAACTTCTTAGACAATTCGTGCATATCTTAATGTTGTACGCCGACTTTTTTGTACGCCGTGAGATATGTATAACCTACCGTGTTCACATACATACATATTATATTTATACAGCATTCTCGAGACAGTGCAGGGGAGTGGGAATTGCAAGATCGACAAAAACTATCCTCACTGCAATATGTCGCCCGTATTTTACAAGCGAGACGAGCTACGTTAGGTCCTCAGGAAGGTATTAAACTGCTGTTCATTAACAGAATGATAAGTCTTAAAATTATCTGTCATTAATTTTGTTCTACGTGTATTACAGAGGGTAGTAATAAAAAAAACTGTATTGGATAATCTGTAGTTTAATGGTTTTTCTTATTGTGTAAGTAGGTACCATTAGTAAGAAAAATAGTTTTTGCTTACACATTTTGGTAGAGCATGTAATCTGGATATTTAAGTAATTAAATTTGACATCTAAGTAGTTTCAAAAGCACGGAAAAATAAAAAGAGTCATATAATGCCTGGGATGCTTACTAACAATGAAAGCCTGTTAGAATTTTTGAGTTATAATAATGATTAATTCAAACTTAATACTTTCATCTTCAGGTTCTTCAAGTAGCACAAGTGCTGAGAAAATTTCAGAAGAAGTCACGAGATCGTTGAAGTTCCTGAGAGCTATTACGGCCTGGAGATCGAATGCGCAGTATTTATTGGAGATTGAGTTGAATGAAGTTGGTAAGTATTCATTATAACTATCAAATTTTTTTAACTTCTAACATGCCAAAGAGAAACCTATCCAGGGGGCATGTGGGATATGTGTGGGCATACGAGATAAAAAGACAAAGGTAATTATAATCTAAAAACAACAATTTTCAGATGCTCAACATACATCAAAAGCTGTCCTCGATAATCTACGCTCCTCCGCTCTCGAACTGTGTGATCTCTATCTTGCACCTACCCGACCAAGCGTGATGGGTATACCAGATAATTGTCACTCAGAACTTGTGAGAAAAATTACAACGGAAGGCGAAGAGTTCGCAAATAATCCCGTATTATGTTTTGATGATGTGCAGAAATGTGTGTGTGATGCGTTGGAGGTATGTATATATAAGACAAATAGACATGATGTACTGATAGTCGATAATTGAAAACTTCACAGATTATTTTCCTTGATTGTTGCCCAAAAATATTACTGTCTTAAATTTTTTAAGGTATTTATTTCGTTTGGTTGTCCATATAATTATTTTTGTACAACTAAATTACAACAGGTATGAAATTATGTTAATTAGATGTCCGGCCGATAAGTTTCAGACTCGACGGAGGCCACGGTGTTAGGAAGGTAAACTGACGCCTAACACTCCCGTGGCATGATGTTTCTAGTCTGAAACTAAAAAAATGGGTGACTTAGGATATTTGATTTCACTAACTTACTGTTATTAACACAGTCAGGTGTTTGTTTTGTTTTGTAATTTCTTATTTCATTTTCAATCAAGGATTGGCTTTCCATATGGTTTTGAAATGCGATTGTCACATAATGTTGTCAGATCATATTAATTCATTTCCTTAGAATTGTTTAGCCAAGTATTTATAAAACCCTTTTGTGTTCCAGGACGACCCAACATGGCAATCAGATTTTATGATGGACAGCGAAGACAGTTCTGATAAAAGCAGGTCATTATTTTTTATTTTTTTAATAATCTATTATTGTAGATAATGAAAAAATATATTTCTAAGTAATAAAAGTTAAAATAAAGTTTCAATAAAGCTACTCAATTTGCCGCCCACGAGCTTGTATTTTAATGACTAATTTTTAAGATCGTTACTTATACATTGGTAAATAAATTAACGGTTTATTTTATTTATTAATATAAATATATATTTTCATATTCCAGTGATTGTAAAAAGGACGAAAAAGTTGATAAAAAATACAGTGGTAAGAAGCTATTGTTAATATAATTTGTTTGATTGTTACTAATATATCTTTATACCCCCGATCTTACATCTCGTTGCCGTCCAAAATACGCAGACAAATGCAAGAAAATTATGAAGTCATGTCTCAATCACTTGCCAAAATTGTTCTTCAAGTCGAAAGTCAAGTATGATCTGCCGAACAAGTTCTCAACGTTCCCTCGCTCCCTCGCCCGAAGAGTACCAAGTAACAAGAACCACACACTACCTAAATGCAATGCGTTTGGTATTACGTTTCAAAGTGAATAGATACTACCCATAGTGTTAGCGTATTATTTTGTAGTTAACTCCTAGCATCAGGCAACTTGATGATTATTTGCTAGATAGTACTTTTCTATTCTTCTTATTATCTTTTCGATCACACTTTTCTTTGTGAGGTTACACTGAAAGCGAAAGGTCAACCATTAAATCTTAAATTCTAAAACGCATGTATACAATGTGTTACAGATAGGTGTGGCATATTTTAAGGTTAGTTGAGCCTAATTTAATAAAATCATTTACATTATTTATTTATCTTAATAATTTTTAATGCGGACATAACTCATTAATATTCGTAGTATATATTTCAAACCAGCCGTTCCCTGCAGCTTGACTTCCGCTTAAGGTGATGGCTATGCTCCAATGAGCCTACCTCTTCACTGAAAACTCCATTCAATACAAAAATAATTGTTTAAATCTCACAAAAAATTGCTGATATAACGGCTAGTTTAAAAAAAAAAATCTTCAGCCCTTGATATAGGAATAAAATGCGTGTATTTTAGAATTCTTACGAGGTCTGTCAAAGTCAATTTTGAGCCTAATGTTTATTTTTATAACGAAAATATTGCATAACATAAGTGACATAGAAAATGTGTACACTCTTCTGTAATACTTTGTTTAGAATGCTTAGCAGTTACCTATTCGATAACAGTGATACCTCGCCTTATTCCTATCTTTATAGTTAACAGATGTGATAGTGTAGTTCTTCAGAGTAATTCTTACGCACGTATATGTGTGCGTAGTACACTAGCTCTATTTTAAATGAATGTATTAATGTACGATGAATATAATTTTCAGGTGATTTACTACCGGTACCCGGATCGAGACATAACCGCTCCAGGTCAGATATTGTTGGCAATTTAGCGCAAAGGATGATCAACGAAAGTGCAGGTTTCAGAATTATTAAAAAAATATATATATCACATGTATTGTATTGGACAGAATTTAAACGATATATTTATTTGTATTAAATTATTTAACGTCTTAACACATTACAGGTTCTTCGAATTTATCCTCAGCTACTACAAGTAGCTTGTCATTATCACATACAGAAATTAGTCGCAATGCGAAGAATATATTGTCACCGTTATCGGCGTGTATCATTGAAACTGGTATGTCAATGTTCATGGGTCCGTATTCTCTTTATCTCTAAGCAGGCTTACATTGTTTTTAATATTTCCAGCCCTGGTACAAGATAAAGGGAAAACTTTCGGTATCTACGCAATAGCTGTGACGCGACTATCAGACAGTGAGGTGTGGCATATTTACAGGAGATATAGCGATTTTTACGATCTCCATACTTCCGTGAAAGAGAAAGTGAGTAGTCATTAATTTTATATAAAATAAGCTTTGTCAGTGAAAGAAAGTGTGTCAAATACAAACTAGCTCTTGTTTCCTGAGACAGATTTATTAGATTGCCACTCAATTGCATAAAACAAGCTAATGTTCATATAATTCCAGTGGCCAGAACTAGGGAACCTACCTTTCCCCGCTAAGAAGACGTTTCAGAACACTTCCCGTACTGTCTTAGAGAATCGGAAGCGTATGTTGAACAGCTACCTCCAGACTCTAGCCAGTTTGGCAAGAGACGCAAAGTATATGACGTTATTATCTCAAGATTATTTAGGTGGTTTCCTTAGTGCGGAGAATCAGACTGAGAAAACTAGCAACACGGTAAATATTGAAGTGTATTTAATGCATGTTATGTTGTTGATATTTGAGACGCAGGCGACTAACACATATGTTTTTAAGGGGGGGGGGGGGGAGAGCCTGAGCAAACGAGCAGACGGCTCACCTGATGATAAGCGACTATCGCCGCCCAAGAACTCTATTGCCTTGCAACTAGAGCGTCACAAGTGCAATATTAATCAAGTGTCAATATTAATGTACATAGTACATTAATATTTCCGGGAAATTAGATCTATTTATACTGAAAAATCGCAATTATACCGCGGCAAAAACATGCCCTGACGTCACACGGCTAGTCACCTACTAACTAACACACTTAAAAAAACATAAAAATGCGCACTTAAAATCGGTCGAAAAAATCCACAAATTGAGATTTTTTTATTTTTTATTTATTCTTTATTGTACACACTGAACACACACATATACATATAAGTAACAAGGAAATGTCATGTACAAAGGCGAGATAAACCCAAAACTGAGTTTTCTTCCAGCAAACCTTAAGCGAAAGGAGGACCAGAAAAACAAGTTTGTTTTGTTCACTTCGTATCTTTTAATCTATGGTTCACTTTTCACACTTGTGACTATTGCGGTGTCGTCACAGACTTGTGTAAAATCATAGGACGTTTCCGTCTGAGATAAAATGAATAAAAAAAAAAACAAACGCTAAATTTGCTTAAAATTTTACACCAATTAGCGTGAAATAAAGTAAATTATGCTTTTCTATCCTATTCCCTAATAGGATGACTATAATTAGGAGGATATTTTCAATGTTGTCAAATAGCCTATTGCTTAACATCGGTTTTGTGTGAGGTCGTGGTATCACGAGCCGTCCCATATGTACCAAAGGATAATGTATGTTAAATGGTAATGTAAATTTCTTTAAATTTAAGGTAGGAAGTATAATTATTAACCTTACAGATCGACGCATTACTGGTGAACTCATTGAGAGCGGGTATGAGGACGCTTAAGAATATGCCTGATCAGTTTGCGAACACAGTTGATGAAGTTATGGACGGTGAGTTTATTTAAGTATATATTCATCTTCATTATGAACTTTATTTCGGGCTTTATTACCACAGGCTATGGTATCATAACATTAGAATACCAGGTAGTGTTACCAGTTTTGTTGCTAAAATATTTAATTCACTTGTACAACTATCTTACTGGGCCATACTTGGTAGTTCCTACTACTAGTTTTTAATTAAAATTCATAACTCGTACTCCTGTACGAGTTATGAATTTTAATTAAAAACTTAACTCATATCATAACCGAATATAAATTCGAGAAAACTTGACGTGGAGTCAACTACTATTTGACAATAAAAAAGCTACTGACAGTTCCAGTTTTTTTTTTTGGGATAGTCAGAATGTTTTCTACATTCTCATATTATAAATGATTTCAGGTATTTCGAAAGTGTTCCAAGGTAAGAGTGAAGAAAATTATTGCGACGGATTAAAAAGTGGCAGCTCTTCTGACGGACAAGATGCAAGTCTTTTTTACCATTAAAATTCTAAACATAATTACGGTTTAACTTCATACTATCACCGTTGGTATATGAACCGAGTGCAAAATCAAATGTAACACTCTAAAATTAAAAGATATTTAGTCCAAAACCTTCAAGATTCAACTAGCCCTTATTTTATTGACTTCTTTTGCTAGTATTATGTGTCTGAAAAAAAAAAACAAATTCTTAAAAAGGTCCCTTTTTTCAGGAGAATGATGACAGTGTAGCTCTTAAATTGTTTGAAGAAGTATTGGGTATCAGAGGATTGTGGCTAAGGAGGCGTCTTCTAGCTCCAATTAGGACACTGATTGCCGACAGAGTCAATAAGTAATTTTATTTACCAGTTTTTATGCTATATTTGGAGATGGGCGTTCTTCTTACTGGTGGGTAGAGGGTGTGGGACTGGACCTTACGGCTCACTCGATATAATTCTAGTTTGGAGACTATTGACCGTTGTAGCCAGTGGGGTCTTAGCCTTTGTGAGGCCCTGGACTGGTAGATCATAGCGAGGCCCTTGTCTTTGTGGAATTAGTTTTAATGATGATACTTGAAACAAAATATTCAAAGCAACACAATGCTACTTGAATATAAAATCCGGTGACAGTTGAACTGGAAGCCTATCAAAATGACAGGCAGAATGAAACACGGAGAATCCCGGAACGTAAACCGTAGTTTTAAATGCGAGGCGTAAGGCGTAAAATTCAAATAATCATTTTTTACTTTTGTACGCAAGGCTCCTGCATAAGCAGGGGCGGTTGCCCTGCTCGCCACCCAAAGACTGCCCCTGATTGTAGTTTAATCATAACTATCTTTGCAATGCTCAAATTCACAAAACAACATAAAGGCTTTGCTAAGTGTTGTATGCATTTGCACTATAATCCTTTTTCGGAAGTGTACTACAGAAATGTCCAGTATCGAAAATTTAATTTAAAAAATCGTAATATTATATGAATAAAGTAATATTAATACACTTCTTTACTTTTTCAGGAAGGTGCTAGAATTTGTATCGTCGCTGACTTCTCCACGAAATGTCGTTCAATATTTAAAAACTTTCAAGTAAGTCGGCTTTTGGTGCAGTTTTTATATTTTTGGGTGTCGTTAGTGTTGTGTCGAATGCGATGTGATGGTTGTAAATGTATATCCGTCAATACGGATAGGAATAGGGCTGATTAGCGTCTTGATCCGTTGAATTTTTGTTAATGTTGTAATATATGTTTCGAGAATTTCGAACGAAAGTCGGCTTGGAATTATCACCTTGTAATGTTAGCTAAAATATACCATATTACTCACAAAAATTAAAGGAATAGAAATAAACAAATTTTTTCTCTATTTTTGTCAGGCTAATACTAAGTGAATTATGATTTTATGGCAAATCCAAGTTCATTTTGAAGCTCCAAGATCCGTTTCAAAGCAATTCGAAGAAATAGCCTTTAATATTCGTTTTTTCTTGCCTAAAAACCGACAGTAATTTGGACTTTTTTTGCTTTTTGCCTTAATTTTCGTTAGTAGTGTATAATTCATTGATATTATTTTTTCAGGCAGTGGTTAACTACTCGCAATAATTCAAACCATGGAAACAGGGATGCTGCAACTAAAGCTAGAACGAGAATTGCAGCTAAAGTAGCTTTATTATCTGCCTGTTCAGGTATTTGTTTTTCTATTGCTGCAGTCATAATACTCATGGTACAACAAAAAATGTACCAAATAATTTGTAGCTGGTGTTATGGTCAAATCCAGTATAATCTAGTTATTAATCTGCTTTTTAATTAGTTGTGAACTAAGCATATGATATGTTGTTTTCAGATGATTTAAGACACATTGTAGGGTCTGATACGGCGAGGCGAGGTTTACTGACTGTGTTCGATCTGTTTCAAACGCAGGAGATCAATAGGCGCCTCATATTTGTACTCCTCGAGTGTAAGTACACAAGGGCTGTCTAATATTGTATATGGATTGTATTCATACACATTAATTAATGTATGTGGATGGACACTTGTAAAATTATGTTCTTCTTAATGCAAAGTAATTAAGCTACGCTTTCTTAAAAATATTTAAATTTAAATACCCTTAATTTTGTTGAGAAATGTATGTACTAAGAGAATACTCTTGTTTATTTTTACAGCAATATTGACGAATTTATTTCCTGACAACCATATACCTGAGCTGTTCAAAAAAATCTACTCGAATTCTCCGCGTGTGCCTGCTAAGAAATCTGTTAATATTTAAATATCATTACTGTTATTATCCTAGAATAGGGTGCTGTAGAAAATGTTATTTGTTGATTATAATGAGAAAGCTATTGATTTGCAAATAACTAAATGGCTATGTTATAGGTTTTATAACTACGAGGAGATCGAGGTTGACTGTTATCGGCAACAACGTAGTTAATACTGAACATTAAAAGATCTTATATTATAAAATATATATTTTGCCACCTGTTAATTTATATGTAGATTAACGAATTCAGGGAAAAAGACGTGCTGATTATTTTTCATTTTATTAATATTTTATTATTATATTATTTTTAATAACGAGTCATACATGACATGCGTTAGTTCAATTTAATTTAATTACAAACAAATTAAATTCAACTATCACATCACTTATAATGTTTAGACACTCGCCTCGGTAGCGATTTATACATTTCGTAGAATCAAGAATTTATTGCATTGTTAGTTGTAATAATAAAAATATATTAAGAAATTGACCTAGATGAACGAAGTGAACTTTATTGTAATGATGTAACAAAATAAAGAGAAATTGTATAAATAAAATGAATAGTGCCAAAGACATGACTTACGACGAGATTGGCAGTATCATATGAAATTGTGATATACATATAAATATCTACCTTAATCGGTATTGTATTTACTACCATTTATTTGCTGAGTACTAAGTAAATATCGTATGGCTTTGGCTCGACCTCGTTGCGAAGTCCGTTTAAACCTAAATAAGAAAATAAATTCTTATCAACGTTCATTACAATAGACTATATTATTAAAATGTGCTTACAAAGGTACTAATTAATAAAAAAAATAGGTAGATGAATTTACCACAAGCAATAAATGATATTAAGCTTTCAGACATAATGGCTGTTTTCAAGGATCCAGCGATATCGTTATGGAGAATAACACTTGAACGCCATTGTCACATATATGTGGCAAAAGTAAGATGCAGCTATAACACGAACTGAACACCTATTATTTTTCTTAAAAAAAGTATTATCTTTCACGTTCATAATTTTATGTGACAATAGTGTTTATAAAATGCGTCATGCTGCCTTTACAATAACATATACATAAAAGGACTTATGTAAGTGTTACCCAAACATATTTGATTTGTAATAATATTTTACAAAGGATCGTATTATTGTACCACCGATTAATTCGTTCGACATTCTGCTGCCTACTAAATGATTAAACTTCGTTATAAAGTTATCTGGTCTTCCAGGGCTTCATGTAAATTTATTCATTGTTAGCAGTTGAACAAAGCAATAAGTAGATATAATTAGAAACATAAACATATCATAATTTCACAAAATTGTTAAAAAACATTCCATTGGTTCAGATTATATTTTATTATAATTAAGTACCTAAGTATTTATTTGTTTATTAATAAAATATTTTATTGAAGTTATCTTTTATTTAGCCTTTTTCTATTTCTGTTCAAATTAGAGGTGACCGATAGACACCTAGATTTGTATCATAAGTGTGGTTGAAAACCGTGAAACTGATAGTGAGTAGGGGTCACTACAGTTAGTCAATTGGCAACTTTCAAGATTCATATGATATAGCTTAATTTATCATTTTCGTTAGTTTTTTCGCGTTATAGTTGAATTTGTCATTAAAAAAATATGGTCGTTTAAGGAAAGTGAATGAATGTGGCAGAATGTGGCAAAACTCAACTTAACAGAAAACTCTGGTTTAAAAGCAGAGAGATCAATGCTGATCTAGCTAAACTAGTTGTTCAAGTGAATCCTAACCGACGTAGATGAGTCATCCAGCTTAAGTTGTCATCACGACAAGTGAAGCCGGATAATTTATTTAACTTTGACTAAAATTGAAAATGTAGGAAGACTTCCGGGCGGAGAGCGGATTTCCGAAGACGTGCGCGAGTGGCGCGAAGCCGCTCGCCGAGCCACCATGGTGAGATGGTCGTTCCGGCTGGAGACTCCACGCGCTGGCTACGTCGCCGTGGACGCTCTCCAGCCGGTCATAGCCGAGTGGGCAGGGCGGCAGCACGAGACCCTTACCTTCCGGCTGACGCAGGTGCTTTCTGGGTTCGGCACGGTTTCTTCGGAAAGTACCTGTACTCGGTCGCTAGGAGGGAATCGAGTCCCGCCTGCCACCACTGCGACTGCAGTGAGGACTCGGCCCAGCACACGCTGGCGGTCTGCCCCGCATGGGCGACACAGCGCCGGGCCCTCACTGCAGTCATCGGAGCAGATCTCTCGCTACCGGCCGTAATTCGCTTCATGGCCGGTAGCGACAGTTGTTTTACCGCGGTCGCAACCTTCTGCGAGGAGGTAATCTCGCAGAAGGAGGCGGCGGAGAAGGCCCGGGAGGACGACCTCCACTCGGACCCGATCCGCCGCCGGCGAACCGGGCGGCGGAGCCGCGCTCACCTGCGCCTCATGCCGCCCTGAGTGTGGCCGCGGGTGGACGGGATGGGTTCTCCCCTCCAGCCGCGAGGGGGCGGCGTCCGCGTGTGCCGGACGTCGCCTAAAGAGAGGAAAATTTTGAGACGGAGCCCGCAACAGGAGCGGGCCGGCGCTGGGAGGGGTCCAGAAGGCGATAACTACCTGGACCCCTCCTAAACTGGAAGCGCAAAGACACCGTGTGGTTTTAGTCGGTTCGAGTCCGACACACCGCCCCGCCGAAAAGAGAGCCCCGGCGGGGTGACGGTCCGAGGGGATTTCCACACGTTAAAAAAAAAAAAAGGGTTTGTTTTCCTTCCTTAGCTTTCCTTCTCCAACAATCTTAATACTTTTTGTCTTGATTATTATATTATATTATTTCAGAAATTTTTAGGTATGCATAAGGTCGCTGGTTTGTAAATGTAACCAAGCCGAGGTAACCGTTGTAAATCACACGGGCTCTAAAAAAACTAATTTATAATAAAACTTCCATAAAAAAAACTTTACTTATAAAAAAAAAAAAGGGTGTTATATCTAGTCAATTTTAATTTGCAGGATCCGATAACTCTACTAAACTATTACGGATAAATCTTTATATATATAATTCTTCTGTGAGTGTGTATGTCACTGAACTTCTCTCAAACGACTGGACCGATTTTGATGAAATTTTTTGTGTGTGTTCAAGGGGATCTGGGAATGGTTTAGATTCACAATTTTGTCCGCTGGACAATGTTTTTTTAATTATTTTTTTCTTTATTAGTAGTTGTTGATTTTGGAATGTTTTACATTGGATCAGACAGACGGCGCTACCATCGCAGTGTCAAATTTGACAGGACAACGTCTGTCGGGTCCGCTAGTATATAATATATACTATTACGTCTACGCTACGCGTGAGCAACAAGCTAACTGAACTGCGTTTTGCATTCGGTAACTACATATTTTCGGTGGTAGATACGAGTCACAGCACTGATTGTTCTTTTTCATTATTTATTTTTTCAATTCATGATTTTGGATACTTTATAGATATTGCCCCCTTATTTGTCAACCGACCGATCATACAGACGTATAATTATATTATTATTATATATGTAGAGACGTATAAACTTATTCCATGAAATCTTTTTACATATTTCACTAATAATGACTGCTTTGTTGCTACTCTAATGTCTAATTTCAAAAGTATTTATGTAGACTTTATCCTATAAATTCCTAAAAGCAATCGAAACTCAATTTAAGAATCAGAAAAGGGAAAAGAGGGGTAAAATCGGTCAAATATTGCAACATGAATTGAACGCATATTACTATGCAGTGAAAGACTGCCAAATGCTAGCGGTAAACGTTGTAACCACTTCGTCTCTCGAAGGGTTGGGAGGTCGCCAGCAGTGCCCCAATGCCAACTCGCTCCCGTAAATGTGCCCATATTCGGACCAGACTAATTATCTACCTACCTAGACTAATTTGTCCTCAAGCTGTCTCCAAGCTACTTCAAATGGTTGACCTAATTATACAGTACAAAAGTACATTTAATGTCATGCGTTTCCTTATGGAATCTAGCGAACATCCGGGATAGGTAGGGGAACGCAGGGTAATGAGAGCGGTCGGGCAATGGTAGCTATCCTAAGCACTTGGCTGCTTCCGTCAACTATCGACAAACTACGCCTGACGCGCTCGAACTGCTAGTGTCATTCGTTTGGTCACGAGGGACGATTGCGTGTTTTTTGCTCCACGCTTACAAAAAAATGACAATTGCCAGGATCAAGGTAAGCATGAAATTGTATTCTTATTTTATTGTATTTATGCTTATTATATCCCTAGATTAATTTACTAACAAGTCCCATTAGTTGTATTGTGATTGAAAGTAGAATTACATATTTATGTTGTTACTTTTCAAAATTGTGGTTAGCGGCTAATGGGAGCCTAGCTTGGCTCTCATTACGTTTAAGAGACATAAAATACCTTATTTTTTGTTTTAGATGCCACGTAAAAGGAATCGAACAACCACAAAAAACATACCAAGAAAGAAACCAAAGAGATTAATAGTAATCATTTAATTAAAAGTTTGTGTGCAATTTGTTTAGACACTGGAAAAAGTGGAGAGATGTGGTACAGATGCAGAAGTTGCGGAAACTGGGCCCATAAAGAGTGCTCTGGCAGTGATAGTCCAGATTCCTATATTTGTTTGAATCTCTAAAGTCTGGATATTTTGTATTTCATTAATAATTACATATTTACTTCTCCGTTTTGTTGGAAAAAAATATTTTTAAATTGGTGTTACAAATACTTTTATTGTATTGATTATTAAAATAACTAAGATATCATTTAAAGTACGTTTTGTTAATTTTTTGGTATAAGAGTAATTATAATGGCTCCCATTTCCCGTGTGAGCGTTAAATAGGCTCTCATTAGCCGCATTTGTCGGGTAATAGGAGCCCCTGACTTTTTATGTAAAACTATGATTGTACCTTAATACATGTCTGTAGTTGATTATAACTGTGATTAAAGTATTCTTTAATAATAAAGGTAAGAGTTGATAATTAAAAATTACAAGAATTTTGACAAACGTGGTTTTTATCAAAACTTTCCCTTAGTA